CTCAAGCGTGACTTCCGCCCGGACGCCCGTGAAGGGAAGTTAGCACCGAAATGGAAAGGGCCATATCGAGTTCGAGAGGTGGTGGGACCAAGTACGTTCAAGTTAGAGCATACCAGCGGCAAAGGCGTAAAACGAACTTAGAATGCGCAGAACCTGCGAGTTTATCGGGAGGGCGCCTCCGTTCGATGAGGGCCAAGAAGGCAAAAGGTGGCCGTAGTCAAGAGCATTGTTAGTGTTAGAGACAATTGTGTAAGGCGCCGTGTTGTGTCCAAAAGCGCTCGTAAAAGTAGCGCCGTGTTGTGTCCAAAAGCGCCCCGTGTTGCAGCGCCTGATTGAGACTTAATGTTTTCAATTCCTCTTTCGTAAGCAATAAAAGCGCCCTAATTTCGCCCCCGGAAATTTTGTGTAGTACAAAGCGCCCTAACCTTGCGCCCGATCGTGTGTTGTCAATTGGTACGTGAGTAAGTAAAGCGCCCAATTTTGCGCCCGCCAAAGCCAAAGCGCCCACAACTCTGCGCCCAACGTCAGAACAATTAATGCGCCCACATTTGCGCCCTCGAGACATGGCAATCAGTGATAAAGGAAATTCGCGCCCAAAACCAAAAAGCGCCCACACTACTCGCGCCCAAACACAATGATAACACGATAAGTAAATAAGTCCAGCAAGCATGGTCGCAATGTCAAAAAGAACATTTTTATTATACGCAAAAAAAAATACAGAGGAAAATGGGGCGCCCATTTGCACTCACTCAGCGCCTGAGTTGGCGTCACCAGCACTAGGCGCTTTAGGAGAAGGAGAGACAGGAACAGAGTCATGTGGAGGCTCCTCCGCATTGGATGGTTGGGGCGCATTCCCCGCTTCCGGTGGAGTCTCCAACTCCCCAATCACATACTCGGCGATTTCGGTAAAATCCCAAGTAAGATCAGGGTGATCCCTCACCAGTTTGCCGTGAAAGATCTGCAGGCCAGACAAAATAGCACTGGCGCTCATGTTCCTCCCAGTCTCGGACTCCTCGAAGGTATCCAAAGAGTGGCGCAAGTTGGTGATCTCCTTCCGCGCCTCCTTCAGATCCTTCTTGCATTCCTTGTAGGCGTCCTGCCACCTCTTCTTCTCCTCTTTGAGGATGTCAATCTCACTAGCATGGGCGCCCGCCTCCTGTGCCAGCGCCTCCTTCTCAGCCTGAAGGGTGGCTGACTTATTGCGCTCCTCGTCGAGGGCGCCCTGAAGCTGCGACACTTGCAAGGCCACGTTCATTTGCGCCTCGTCGCATTCCTTCACAAGTTGCTCGCGACGCTCCGTCGCGTTATCAAGGTCACGTTGCAACTGTGAGGCAGAAGAAGAGGCTTCGAGCGCCTCTCTTTTCGTTTCAGAAAGGCGTCGGGCACCTCTCTCAGCAAAAAGAAGAATCTACACACACAAAATACAAAGAGTTAGTACTTATGCAAAGTTAAAAGAAACCCAAAAATCAAGAACACAAACAACGGGGAACGTACCTTGGCGCCCACTTTCGCCAGTTCAGCAAAGAGGTGATCTCCATTCACCTCCGACGGCACTTGCCACATCTTGGCAGCCGTAATTGCCATGTCCATGGCACAGCCTCTGTCGACAGCCACCAATGGGGAACATGGCAGCTCGATGCGCCCAACGTCGGCGCGTGTGGGCTGGAATATGGGGGGGCGCCCATCGGGGCCTACCCACTGCCCCTCTTCAGTCAGATGGTATTCGAAGGCGCCCCCTCCCCCGCTTCGGGCACCGGCACCCATCTTCTCCTTCCCCTTGTCAGCCTTCTTGCTGACATTGCCCAAAGGGGAGCCAGCCCGCTTCCCCCGTCTAATCAGGGGCTCAGGTTCCTCTTCCCTGGAGTTCCCCTCCTGCTCCTCCGTGGGCTCCGTAGCGGGCGCCTCAACGTGGGGCGCTTCCTCCTCCTCCTCCGGTGCCGAAGACGCCACGCTGGCGGTCTTTGTGGTACCCCCCTTCACCGCCCTCTTCTTCTTCTTCTTGGGGGCAGCAGTAGGCGCTTGCGATTCCGGAGCAGCCGCAACAGGCGCCTTGGGCCTTGGTGGTGGGGGCGCTCCTCCAGCCATGGCAGCAAGGTGGCTCTTCATGAGCTTCGCAATGCTCGAGAAGTCTGACCCTGCACATCGCTAAGTAAGTTAGCACAAAAGCAACATTCATTAACAACATGACGAGGCAATAAAGACATTGACGCAACATATGGGCGCCTACGGACCATCATTATAATACGCCTCCAAGATAGGAGGGCGATTCTCGGTCTTGCGCAAGTTTACGCGCGTCTCGCAAATCAGCGGGGCGCCTGCCTTTTCTGCGGGGGACAACTCCACGTCTGTATTAAACTCTTCAACACTCCCCAGCTTCCACTCTCTGAGGAAGGCGCCCCCACTCTCGAAAAACGAGTCTCAATATGCCTTCATGAAGAAGAACCCGTTAAACCAGCTGCGCCCCAACTTCGGGCACTTCTCCACAAAGTGATAAGGGCGCCCCTTCCTCTTTTGAAGCGACAAGCAGTTGTCCAGAGGCGCCATCTTGAAAAAGTATCGAAAAAGGTTGAAGGTAGGCTCCACGTTATGTTCGCGACAGCGCAGCTTGAATAGGATGACCACCATGATCACTGAGGGAGATAGGCACCCCAATGGGCAGCCACAGGTCGTCATAATACCCTCCATTATGTGATCAAGGGAGAACCGCAGCCCGAAGCGGAAGTATTCTTGATACACCCCTATCCACTTAGGCCCGCAGACGCCTACTCGTGAGATAGGGGAAGGAGGCGCATACCACCAGTCACGGGGCAGTTGGAGGCTGGTCACCAGCTCATGAACACGAGCCAAGGTGACGGTAGAGGTGTGCTGTGGGCCCGCTACATCGAAAGACAACGATTCCGTCTCCGTCGGGAGGTGATCGGGCGGAAACGAATTCTCACACACAGATATCTTGTAGGACCCATCGGCGGGCATGAAGCCCGGAGTGGAGGCGCTTGATGGACCCGCGGACGTCGACGCAGGCGCCCTCTCTAAACCAATAAACGACCCAGGCGCAATACAGCCACGGAGTAAGTGACGCCCTACCCTAGAGAGCTAGAGTAAAAATAAGGAAAGCAACTAATAGAGCAAGGAAATTCCTTACCGCTTCGACTTGGGCGCCTTGCCTTGCCGCCAGCGTTCGAGGCGCCTGGTCTAGCCTCTTCACCCGCAGTGGAGGCGCCCTGGCCGACAACTTTGTCTGCTTGTGAAGACATTCTCGGACGAATGGAAGGAAAGGCTGACGAAAGCAGAAGAATCTAGAGAGATGTCAGGAGAGAATCTAGAGAGAAGTCAGAGCAACAATCTTAGAGAGAGGCGAGAATGTGGAAAGTGACAAGGACTGATGGGGAGGGGGGTATTTAAATGAAAAGAGGAGCAGAAAGATAGACGCGCGTAGCGTGCCACGTGTCATCATCAAGGGCGGGCTTTTGAGCTCCCCCCCCCCCACCTTTTCCTTTTTGTTGGAATTTTGGCCACATTAAAAAAAAAATTTGCCAAAATTCAAACAAGGAAAACGTGGGGGCCAATATCAAACGCCCGCCCATGAGGGGGGCATAAGGGATTGAGGCGCCTTAAATCTGGCGCCCGAAAAGAAGCCGAATAAGGGCGCGCAGGGATCAAGGCGCCTTATAAAAAAGGGGAAAGAGAAAGAAGGCAAAAATGACAAAACAAGGAGGCCGAGGCGCTCAGGAAATCGGGCGCCTAAGAAGGGACAAAGCAACCACCGAGTCAGCTAGGCGCTCAGCAGCAGAGCTATGAGCACCTAGCTGGGGGGCAATTGTTGGGGGTATTATGAGCAAAGCCCAATGAGCGGCAACTTGGGCTCCCAAGCAGCCCAAGTGGGGGGCAAGGCCCAAGTAAAAGGGAGGCCACATGAAGACAAGTCACTAGAAGCCAAAGGAGGCCAGACTGTCATGTGGTCCAGTGCCTGCGGGCGCCTGTCACGTGTCAGGAGTCTGACAAGGTGGTTGGGATGTCTGGCCAGAAAGAGACAAAGCATTGAATGAAGGCAGGGAGGTAGAGAGGATCAACCTCGAACTCTGGTAAGTATAAATAGGGGCAGTTGGTAGCATTTACACAGGTTGGACTCTCACTCACGAAACTCTAGCTTTGAGACACTTCTCTCTTCCTAGAAACTGACTTGGGCGTCGGAGGATTAACGGGCCCAGGCGCCCCCTCCTTGTTCGTGTGTGCAGATCGACGTCTGGCGAGAGAGGATTTGGGAGAGTCTTACGAGGGTAACGTGTCTCAAACAAAATGGAAACTGTTGAGACACCAATGGAGAAAGAGACTTGTTGGTTGCAAACTATTGGCAGCATGACCAGGGCTGAAAAATTGACAAGATGCAGAACCTGTTACCTCATGAAATTTTGGACCGAATCAGAGGTATAATGATGGATCCTTTATGAGCTGAGGATGATCAAATCATATGGAATCTCACATCTAACAGACACTTCATGGTCCAAGATTATTCCCCAACAAAGAAGCCAACAATTTTTTAATTCTGATTACAGTAGTTGGATCCAAATGAATTTGCTTGATGATTCTCAAGGTGGTTGGATAGGTACTTGGGGAAGCTTCTTCAGCCTTATCTTGTGGTATATTTGGAAATGCAGAGACGAAGGCATCTTCGGGGGAAGTAAGTTTACAGCAGAACCGAAGCCCTGATTGGATGGAGAGCCCCGCCAGCTGGATAAAAGTTAAAATCGATTGCGCATCTCAGTTGAACTCAAGTGTGGCTACTGCAAGAGGGGTTTCCGCAACAACGGTTGTGAGTGGTTTGTCAGATTTTGCAGCAAATTGGGAACAGGTTTAGCCCTTTATGGTGGAGCTATGGGGAATCTATTAGGGCCTTAACTTGGCGTAAAAGAAAGGTATCAATTTATCATCCTCGAGTCTAACTCACGACTTCCTTTGGACCTTATTGAAAAACACATTGATCAATCACATCCTTATGCTACGATTTTAGTTTCTATTCGTCGAATTATGCCCAAGGCTAGATGGTTCGCCTAATTCATACGTATCGTGAAAGGAATAGAATCGGGGACTGGCTCTCGACGCATTGTCTTTGAGCAAAATTACATTCATATTGTCTTTGAGCAAAGTTGAAATAAGAGAAATTTTGGGCCTTAGAAAATCAAACTCCCGTTTTTCTCCCATCTGCAGTCAGCTTTGCCGCCTTGTTTCCATTTCTCCCTGAGAATTGCCGTCAATATTCCCAAATTTGAACCACTCGTAATTAAATTAGAGTTTCCAAAATTTCCCTCAAGGAACAGAAAAACTTCAAAAATAAGCTACGAATTGTAACCTTTGTTGCAAATGGAGCGGGTCAATAAGTAAATTTATTCATCAAAGAGCCAACTGTTCATAGTGCTCAACCACCTAGCGTACCAAAGAAAAAAATAACGTATGCATTAAGGGGCGGAGGTTGCTAGTAGTTAGGGTGTTCCATGGCACACCTTTGGATTGTGACTATCACATAAAAAATAGGGGCATTAGTTTATGCTACAACTAGGATTTAATATGGAACCCCTTGTTATTAACTTTGGCATCTTCCATTAAACCATAATTATTTACGCGATACACTAATACATTTTATTGTATATATATAATTAATTTACGGTTTACAAATAATAAGTAAATTAAATTAAAAAACTCATAATTGTATCCTTATCCAGTCAATAATCTAAAAAGTTATATCTATTAGATGAAGAGATATAAGAGGTTCACTGGAGTAAAGGGGATTGTTGAGCTTTCTAGTAAGATGGTTTCTACAAAGCGCCATCTAAAATTTCCATCTGTGTATCATCTTGTGAAGTTATCATTGCTGCTACCAGTCGCCATTGCAAGTGTTGAAAGAGTATTTTCGGCAATGAACTACGTGAAGAACACTCTTCGGAGTCGAATGAGTGATGATATCATGAATGATTATTTGGTAGGATACATTAAGAGTGACATTCTTGATACTATAGATGATGAATGTATTTTACAGACTTTTCAAACTATGAGAACGCGTCGTGGGTCACTATAAAAAATCTATAGTCATTTTAATTTTTTAAATTGGCACCTCCTTATCCAAAATCCTGGCTACGCCACTGTATGCATTATACCTTTTGTTGCAAATGGAGCGATCTCTATTGATTGATCCACATGTTAGATATGAATTCAAAGTTCACTCACTGTATTTCAGTTAACCTATGCTTGTAATTACATTAATTTATGAATAAGAGATTGAAGTAAATATTTACCAAAAATATATTTCTTTCTTTTTGTTTAGAAGATGGGACACTAATTGCATTACGAATTCATAGCACAACCACATAAGTCTTCATTTTCTCATATCCTAATTGACATAAATCAAAATCAAATTAATTAGATGTAAAAGTCAAAGCTAAAAACAAAAAGTAGCTAAAAGTAGAATATACTATTAATGAGACCAAAAGCTACGCCAACCCTTAATATCCCTCACAATACTAAATCTGGCACCAAGCCTATCAATCTCCTTATAAATAAGGTTACCATCAACTCCAAGTTAATCAAAGAAATTAACAATTATTTAGTGTCTTAAATAATCCACTTCCTGTATTGGAGAGTGGTTTCTGCCTGAGCTAATAATCAAATTTTTTTCGGCTTAGCCAAAGGAATAAAACTATTTTTTTTCTTTTACCTTTAATTTTTCATTTTGGGTCGGGGGTTCTTTTCAATTGTTAAGGTTCAAAAAGGGAAAAAACTAAAGTTAAAAAATGAAGGGCTCATCAATGACAACAGTAGTGCTACTATTGGTGATGGTAATGTGTGGAGGAATGAGCAACGCTCATGATGATCAACCTCCACAAAGCGTGTTCGATATCACAAAATACGGTGCAGTTTGCGACGGAAAAACTGACATTTCTAAGGTACGAAAAAAATTTCATATCAAATACATAATACTTGGTTGATATCACAAATTATAACCAATTCATCGCCCGATAACATGGATGTCCATGTTAGGCCCTTACCAAGGCATGGTGCGATGCATGCGCGTCATCTTGTGCATCCAAAGTGGTGATCCCACCAGGAGACTACCTGTGTGGGGTTACCAACCTAGCTGGTCCGTGCAAGGCCCCAATCGAGCTTGAAATTAATGGAAACCTCAAGGCGCCCTCTGTTATTAAGGGTGAAGACTGGCTCGTCGTTCAATATGTGAATGACGTCAAGATCTTCGGTACCGGCACTCTAGACGGCCAAGGAGGACAATGCTGGGAGAAAAAGGGCGACCGCGCACCGGTATGGTTATGTAAATTGCTTATACATTAGTCTCAAGATCAAGCCAAAATTCGAATACAAAAATTATTCAGACAAATTGGTTCTGCGACTATTTTCATTGTAGAACATGAGGTTCCAGAACATCAACAACGGCTGGGTAGAGGGACTGACTAGCAAAGATAGCAAGTTCTTCCACATGAGCACCTTATATGTGAAGAACATGACCCTGACCAAGTTGCACATGATTGCTCCGGCGGAAAGCCGCAACACCGACGGAATCCACATCAGCAGATCCTCTTGCATCACTGTCACAGACTCCACCATTGCCACCGGCGACGACTGCGTCTCCATGGCCGATGGCCTCGACACAATCACCATAAGGAACGTCAAGTGCGGTCCTAGCCATGGCATCAGCATTGGCAGCCTTGGCAAGTACGTTACCGAGACACCGCTCAAGTCAATCACCATTCAGAACTGCACCATTGCCGACTCCGACAATGGGATTAGAATCAAGTCATGGCCCGACATGTTTTCTACCTCCTTGACTGACGTCCATTTTGAAGACATCATCTTAGAAAATGTCGACAACCCGATCATCATTGATCAGATGTACTGCCCTGATGGCGCATGCAAGTCTAAGGTGCGTGTGTATATGTGCTCTTAGGCCTTGTGAATACTAAAATCAGTATCAGCTTATAGGAATATTGTTTTGGCATACGTAGGGTCCATCGAAGGTTCAGATCAGTGACGTGTTTTTCAAGAACGTGAAGGGAACTTCCAAGTGCAAGGAGATCATCCAGTTGATCTGCAGCAGCTCTCACCCTTGCCAAAATGTACAGATGTGCGATGTTGACATCACCTACGAAGGAGGTGTTGGACAGGCAGTTTGTGAGAATGTTAAGCCTGTAATTTCAGGAGTCATGAACCCAAAAGGGTGCTAGATGATATATGTAACTACTACGTTCTCTGGGCACAACAATATTAATGCATGCATGCCTAGCTAGCTTTCCCTCCTCAACTATTGACACTTTCTTCCTGTTTATATTTTCCCCGACCCATTTAACGCATTGGGATTTTGGCCCTTTGTGTAGGGAATCACTTTGTAATATCCAGAATTAGAGGTGTTTTATAATCTATTATATTAGTTTTTACCCGGCCAGTGGGCTGGATAAATCTTATTTATAAAATTTTCATCTTGTTATCAAGTTTGTTAATTTCTATTGAACCATTAACTCGGTCATTTGACTGGAAGAGTTAAAGGTTCCACCAGGGTGAACCCGATTCCTAATTTTATCTTATTTGAAATATTTATTAGGCAAATATATGATGATATCTTAAGGACTAGAATGTAATGTATTTTACAGGTATCAAATGGTTGGGTCAACTGACTAATCCAATATTTTTCTATTTTTAAATATATATTATGTATTTATTTGATATTATAATGTATTTTTTTATCATTTGGTATTTTTTTAGTGACAAATAAACAAAAAAACTTCATTTAGTAATTTTTAACATTAAAAGAACCATATGTTTTTCAACTTTCTTACAAATCTCTTTCTATCAGTGACAAACTTTTGTTCATTACCTTCCCATTTCTCACTTTCGGTCCATTCTTTTCTATTTAAGTTTCCATTCCAGTTCAATTCTAATTTCACTGCAATCTCTATTTCGAGTCATCCAAACAACGCCTTTCTTCTTCTTTTTTCCCAAACTTCCCTATCTCTCAAGGGTGGTGGCCTTCAAGAAAGGACAAATTTTATGCTCGTGGCTTTCAGTGGCAAAAAAGGTGAATCAATCAGAGGCGACAAATTGGCTTAAAGTGGTGAGATCAAGGCTTACATCCCTCATGGAGTATAGACCATGGTGTTTACTGTTTAGTGTTGTTTATATGTCTTCTAAAGTTTCGACTTGAATGTTGCTGTCCTTCTGATGTGCTTAATTTTGATTTCACCCTCAAGGCTTTGTCGCTTCATTAAGCTTTTTTTCTGACTACGAGGTTTGCCTCCTAATGGCGTTGGTTGTGGTCGACCTGTACTTGGATTCTCTTGGCGTTTTGTTGTGCTGCCAGTTGTGGCCTTCTTTACTGATGTGGATGGTTGATGTAGATAAGACCTTGCTTCATGGATTTGGTGATGGATTTGATGATAGATTTGGATTCATTATAGAATTTATCCAAAATCTATTGTTTACTTGATGCATTTAGGGACAACAAATCCGTGGGTCCCACGAATGTTAAAGGTCCAAATTCGTGGACCCCACGGATTTGAAATATCCACTTATTTAGGTGGGAATTGATCATGGACTTTGAACTCCATCATTTAAGACCAAACTATCTCACCTATTTCATTTCTCTTCTCATACCAATGAGTGCAATAAATGTAAATTTCACTTCATACATACAAATCTAATTAACCAATTCCATCATGAAATCTATGAAACAAACAATGGTATTTTTCAAGTCAATGATGAACCCAAAATCCTCGTATATGATATATCCATGGTTTTACAAAATCCAAAATTTACCAAAACCTTTATTTTTCAAATCGAAGAAGCAAACGACCCTACACTGTGTTTGGCAACTAGAGGGTACAAATTCGAGGGGGGTACAAGTTGAAGGGTAAATTGGTGGGGGGTGCAATTTGTTGGGGGTGTAAGTGGAGGGATAAATTATAGTTTGGATGAAAAAATAGGGGGTGCAAATTAGTGAAAAGTGGTATCAGAGCTAAACTCGATCCCTTGTCTAGGGTTTTTAGCTTCCGAGTCAAGGCAAAGTCCAAGCTACCTTCACAGTAGCCACTGCTGGTAGTCAATTCAATGTTGGCGTCCCTCCAACATCATCTTAGCGTTCCCTCGATAGTCATGGTTGCCGTTGAAAGAAGAGCCGATGTCACTCCGGCCTTCTACTCCGGATCCGGTATCATAGTCGGCGAAGTCCTTCCCGCTGTTAAGAATGAGATCTCTAGTCCGCCGTCGTCGTCATCATCGATTGTGCTCTTGTTATCAATCGTCGTCCTTGCCACGGCTGGTTGTCATCATCGTTGTCGAAGCTTTCGTTGCAGCGTCGCCTTGCATCGAGGCACCTTCGCGTCATGTTCAGCAACGATGACCTTGTCATCAATCGCGCGGACTTGTCCGTCTCCAGATTGCCAGTAAAAGTCCATTATTGCTCGGGTCAGCGGGGATCTCTTCATCAAGGTCACGGAGAACTCCTAAAGTTTGACGACTTCACCCGTCGAGTGGCGGCTTTAATCTCTTGCCGCAGCATCCACTATCGCAAAAACAAAGGTTTGGTTAAATTGTCCATGTTCTTTGGTGGAGTCATCTTATTTAGTGGTCTTCTCCTCCACATAATAGCCAGACTTTCACGTGAACTCCATGATGGGGAAACTTCAATATCTAAGTTCTGTGCACCCCCCGGAATTCCATGTCTGGGTCTGTTTTGTCATTTTGTGGTATCATTTGGTCAATTCAGCTTGGGATCACGGTTGGTAGGAGTTTGTCGGTCAAAGTAATTACATGGTCATGGTTGAAAATCAGTTCGTAGTGGAGATTGGTTGAGTGGTTTAATTGCAGTCCTGAAGTCGCCCAACATCACTCAGTCTTGCCGTTTGCCGCTTCGGTGATCCATATCCGTTCTGGCTCTTCGTTCTGCCTCCAATCATCGCTCAGGACCGGTTCTTCCTGTTAGCATAATAGTCAACCTCAAGCTCAAGATTCATCAATTGTGGTTGTTGGTTTTCTTAACCAACATCGCAGTCATGACATTGAAAGCAATCATGATTGGCAGTGGTCATCTCTTCAATAACTAGTGTTGGGGAGTTACAGCTTTCGTCAACAAAATTGTCAAGTCATAAAGCGAGGCTGTCACGATCCCAGTAGCGATCATCCCCTCAGCATTCAACATCGGTCAATGTTGAGTCATCACCATTCTAACTTTCAAGCTGGGCATTCACATCGTTCATGCGTCAGCTTGAGGGGGAGAATAGGGCATCATCATACGTGGTCAATCAGTTAAGCATATCGACGATGGTGTATCAGTCAAGGAGGTTCCCCAGTCTTGTTCAAGAGAGGTGATAGTCAGAAGTCTCTCAATCTATCTCATTCAAGAGAGGCGCAGTCAACAGCCTCTCAGTCAATCTCATCCAGGTAGAGGTGCAGTCAACCGCCTCCACCATATCGTTCGGATAGAACCAATCAATCATCTCCGTCAAGTCATTCAAGAGACGTAGTCAACCGTCTCTGTCTGGTCGTTTAAGAGACGTAGTCAACCGTCTCCATCACGACGTTCAAGAAGATGCAGTCAACCGTCTTCGTCAGGTTATTCAAGGGAGAGAGTCAGTCGTCTCCAAATCAATCTCGTCCGAGATGTTATTCATCTCGAGTTTTGTTGTTCAAGCTTGTCATGCTTGTTCGTCACATTTCCTTTTTCAAGCTCGACATTCTTGTCACTCATGTCTTCGCTTGAGGGGGAGTGTTGAGGATATTAATTATTTAGTAAAAAATAATTAATTCCTTGTCCTCCAAGTCCCTTGTTTCCTTGTCCTTGTCAAAGAAGGAAACCTGGTTGTCATTAGGGTTTTAACCCTAAGTCTCTCTATATAAGCTTAGCTACGAGATTGTCGTAAGCAAGCCGTCACAGTGTAGTCCCTAATAAAATATCAGTTGTGAGCTCGTTCCGAGCTCACCGTGGATTAGTCTCGATCAATCAATCGATCGAGGATACCACGTAAAATCTTGTCAACTGTTCTTTCGTTCTTCTGCGTCATCAAATACTAAGAAAAGTAAGTAAATTATATTATTATAAAATAGATATATCAAATTTGTAAAAGATTGTTATAAAATATTCACACATAAATAAATATGAAATGAAAAATAATAATATTTATAAATATTAAAAAATATAATTTAATAAAATAATATTAAAATATTAATGCTCAAGTAGTAATTAATTATAAATATTCATAAATAAAATTGTTGGGTCCATAATAATAATAATTGGTTGAGCGACCTCGAATGACTATGCTAGAAACTAAAGACATATAACTAGCTCATGTCTCCCACCCGGGCGTTGATTTATCAAAATGATGGTTAAATCGGAGTGAAACGGACATTATTAAATCGATTTAAACATAAATGACCATCCTATCTCGATTCGACTTGACGAATCTTGACTCACTTGTTTGACAGAGCCAAACAATTGAAGCCAATTTGACAAACTTTCTCATCGTATATCAAATGATGTCTCCCATGTAAAAATCATAATAATTATTATTTAATAATTATAACAATGGATACGACTCGTATGTTCCAAGTGCATAGCATGCTCCAGGTTCTTAGATCGTTGATCTAATCAAACGGCTAGTATTAATTGTATTAAATTTATTTAATAAGAATTGTGATTACAAACTTCACCCTATAAGTAATTGAGCACTTCTACTATGCTATATAGCATTGGTGCTTTAATGTACAATTTGAAGTTGTACCATAACATTAGGGCTGTCATTTCGGTTGCCGGTTAGCGACTAACCGTTAACCGCCGGTTAGCGGCTAACCGAAAACCGAGGAATACGTGCATCGGTCGGTGGCCGGTATAGATGAGTGGTTCGTCGACTAGCCGATAAACCGAAGTCGGTTAACTGGCTAACCGACGCAACCGTCCGACAAGAGACGGCGCCGTTTTGCCAGCAGTATATCTAAAAGAATAAAACCCTACCTTCGTCTTCTTCGACTCACAGCAGTAGCCTGCAGCAGCCACCTCCTGTACCCTCCTAACGTGACGATCCAATCCCCGCCGTCTCCCCGCGTTCCACCGCCGACCGCCGCCTTCCCGAAATGCCGCCGAGACATCGCAATCGCAGGGCCGCCGAAACTTTCGAACTTCCTGCCTGCCAACATCTCCCCGTCGGCGCTAAGTCTCCTAGACCCACTCTTCCACCTTCTCCCTGCCCCTCGTCCTCCTCCCCCGCCGATGCTAGGTCTCCCGTCTCCGAGACCCCTGCCCCGCCTTCTCCCTACCCCGTCGGCGCCTTGTCAATCTCCGTCCGTCTCTGCAGATCTATTCATCCATGGAGAAAGAATGAGAGAGAAGGAGAAGTGGTTTGGTATGATGGGTGTGAAATGGTGGAGGAAGGAAGGAGAGAGAAGGAGATAAGGATTGACCTGGTGGAGATTTTTTTTTAATTAATTTTTATTGTTTTTTTTAGAAAAGGAAGGTTTTTCGGTTGACCGGCTAACCGATCCTAAATCCGAAACCAACCGGTCGGTTGGCCGGCTAACCGTGACCTCCCTCACGGTCGGTGGTTGGAAGCTATAGCGGGTGGCTCGGTTTAACCGATAATCGAGTTTTCGGTTTCCGGTTAAACCGAAACCGACCGACTGCCACCCCTACATAACATTACATGTATAAGTTTAGGTTGTACCATAAAGGAATTTGTATCATTATGTTATAGTACAACTTTACAACTTGAAGTTGTACCATCACACAAGGTACAAGTTTAAGTTCTACCATAAAAGAATTTGTACAAAAAGTATAGGTACAATCTGAAGTTGTACCATAATGTTAAAGGTACAATTTCATATTGTACCATAAAGGCAAAAATTTATAGCACTAATGCTATATAGCATTGTAAAATTCCTCTAAGCAATTATGCATGCTATAAAGCCCACAATAATATATATCTCGTATGATATCTTTTCGTAGAGCTCTATTCTTCAACACCCAAAATTTATATATAATTGCTCAAAAAAATTTCCATTAAAATTTGACTAGAATGATCAATGAATCAAATCCGTCGTGAAATGCCATCGTCAACGTCAAAGCAGAGAATCTTTTGAGACTTCGATTCTGAAAGATTCATATAAACCCACGTCCACCTTCCGACTGTTTGTTCCGGCATCGAGTTTTGAATTCCAAGGGTTGGATCACGCGGATGAGTTGGGGCTGATCGTGATCAATGTCAGAGAGAGGCTACTGGTAAATTTGATGAAGTGATTGGCGCAACCGAGCTCCGCCAGAGAGGGAGTTCAGTTGGTGAGGATTGACGAGCCTAGGTGGATTTCCTCGGGGGCGGCGGTGGGGTTAAGAAGCTTGTCGGGAGGAAGAGGACTTCGCTTAGATGTGGGTTTGTTGAGGCGGCATGTGAATTTGCTGTTGCGGTTCCGGCTCCCAAGCTCCGACAGATAAGAGATCTAAAACGTCAAGTTTAACGAGCCTAGGGTAGAAATCAATCGGGACGATAACGAGGTTCAATGTGTTTGACTGGAGTGAGAAGATGATTGTTCCGTCAATTGTTCAGAAGCCATGAACTTCGGCCCCTTCTAATCTCATGGCCTTCGATTGTTGAGAAGATGAATTCGATCAGCGGCGGAGGCAGTACAGAGGCCGTGACCCCTTTGGGAATTTCATGGTCGTCGAGTTTTGAGAAGATGAATTCGATTGGTGGCGGAGCTAGCGCAGAAGCTGCGGTCGCAGCTTATCATAAATTCTCCACCAATATAAATTCCTCTTGCTCGAGCTCTCAATCATACGATTTTCACTCACCCACTACAGCCGCGGGCATAAAAAAAATGAGAAATCATCGAGTTCCAGCGCCAGAGCGAGATACGGAATGCAGAGAAATTCAGCTGACTGGCGATGGGACAACGACTTGGAAGGGATTTTCAATTTTTCAAGATAGTGAACTGGGGGATGGTTTTAATGAGGAAGACGATGACAGGACATGGCCTGTTTGGCTGTTCCAATCACCACAAATGGATTTGATATGAACTCCAAGATAAAACTGTCCTCACTCCTGTCTATGTTAGTTTGGAGAAGGATTTTCGTTTATGATTTTAGTTGAGGAAGAGATGAAACGAAGTTGGAGGAATCATTATCAACCATATAAAGTTTGGGTGATTAAAAGACATTAAGTACTTTAGTATAAAACGCAAAAAAGTGTCACGGGACTATAATGCATGTATCTAAATTTAATGGGTCAAGTTTGTAATTATCATTTTTAATTAATAATTGCTTTTTTATTTGAATTAATAATGTACATTCGATTAGATCAACGGTGTGGAAAATCTGCAGCATAGTATGTGTCAGGAACATACGAGTGTGACCCTTATAATAATTATTCTTAGTATCATAATAGTAATAAATATTATTGTAGAATAATGATTACATTACATTTTTAGTCACAACAATCATAAAACATAATCATACATATAAAATATAATATATATATATATATATTAAGTTTATCTTTTATCCATCCTTCCACTCTTTCTCTCTCCATTTGTACTCCAAATTGGAGAGTTAATGAGAATAGTAAATTTGCCCCCTAATTGCACCCCCTACACTATTCATAATTATCCAAATGGGGGCAAATGCATTGGAAAATGCATTTCCCCCAAAACTTGCTCCCCTCCCATTAACCCCCATTCCCAAACACAGTGAGACTTCACAGAAAAGGTCTACATGCGTGGCACTTATTGTGAGAGTTTGGCCTCTGTGGCGAGTCGTCATTAATAATTGTGCTGAAGCTCTTTTCTCGTGACTCTCGCTTTGATAGCTGTATCTGAAGCTTTTTGTTTTCACATCTGGAATTTCCTCTTTTAAAGTTTAATAATAATGTATATATCAACTTTAGCAACAAAAAAAATCCTTATCTCTCATTTTCTCTTGTCATATTTTTTTACGCCTCTTATGTTCTTACAATCCGTATTAAAAAATAGTAGAAAATGAAGCAACAACAAAATAATACATTTGAGGCAGAAAGAACTGCTTTATTTGTCGGGATTCCTATTCACACTCTTCTGGAAGATCTCCTGTTTCCATATACGTTTTGGGGAATCAAAGTGCGGAAGAAACTCTCTAATTGATCAAAGGCCCTCTGACTTAGGTCGGATTCAACGTTTTATTTTGTTTTGTAAAGCAATGATGTATGAGTGGCAGATTGCAGTCTCCCCTTTTCTTTCACTCTTTTTCCTAATTGGAAGTTTGAAACCAAAAAATTATGGAGTTTGGCATTTGGCCTGGAGGTCGTTGAAACTGGCCAATTCTTCCTTTTTGATCGAGCCTAATTTTCAGTAAACTGGATCCCTAGCACCAGATAAGGATCACGAGTCCAATCAGAACCAGCTCAACAACTGAGTCCATACAAGGTTGACAACCATACTTGTAGTAAGATATTCTTAAAAGGATGTTTATCGTATATTATGTGTCACTTCTATACACTTTAACTCATAAATAAGCAGTGAAAATCTAAGCAAGGGATCTCTAACTCATTCACTCTAATACACTATGCTCATCTATAAACCATATACATGAAAACTTGAGTTGTAAAATGCTATCAGAACCAGCTCGGTGGTCGGGTCAATATCGGGTTGACAACCATGCTTGTTGTGCATATTCTTTTTTTTTTTTTTTGGTAATGATGTAATTCATTTATTAGTAAAAGAGAAAGTGAAAGTTACAAAGAAAGAAAGACCAGAAAGATTCAAGGCCAGACAGGCGGCCAACAGTAGTGGGTTCCAACCAAAACATAGTAAGCACCAACACAAACAAACAGGTATCCAAGGATCAAACACGGCAAGCACATTCGCACGACAAAGAGGAACAGGACACCAACTAACAAAACAGCAACTAAAGAAAGGGGAAAACGATCCAAGCATGATCCAGTCCTGCTGCAAGGAGCACATGATCAGGCAGTGAACAAACTCGGCAACTTTGCAGCGCCGATTACGGCCTGGGAAGACCAGTAGCAGTGAGGGCCGATCTGAGATTCTCAAGCCAAGCCTCAACTATTTGTTTGTCAATCTTACCAGCCACTGTGCAATAAGCTTCCCAGCCGAGAGGGCAATGATGAGTGGTGTGGTCCGCCTGTCCTCGAAAATCCTATAATTCCTTTCTCTCCACACACCAAAACAGCACATGAATCAGGGACTTAGTACACCACTCTCTCGGTTCTTGCGGCTTCTGACAAGGCCAACCTCTAATAACTTGTGCAACGTCTCCCTGAAGGTGACTCCCACGAACTGGAACGAACCTCTTGATGACTTCCCACACGCGAGAAGTGAAGCTGCAGTATAAGAACAAGTGATCCACGTCTTCTTCATTCAGCAAGCAAAGAGGACATCTGGTAGGGAGGTTCCAACCTCTGCGTTTGAGTGCATCTTGAGTGAGGAGTTTCCGTTGATAATCCAACCACACGAACAAGCAAATTTTGACGGTATATGTGGCTGCCAAATGAACTTATGGGGGAAATCACCAACATCCAAGCCTGTTGAAACATCAGAATAAGCCTCTTTGGTGAGTTGCCGATACATACTGTGCACGGAGAAATTCTGCTCAGAGTTCAGCAACCAAGAAATCCTATCGTCTCCTGCTGAAAAAACACAACTTTGGCCTGCAACTAGATTAAACAAGCTCTCTCTTTCTCTCTCCGCCCCACCTCTCAAATGAAATTTAAGTGGAATATCAAAGGACAAACTATCATTAACTCTAAAAGGATATCAGAAGTCTTGTGCGAGGGTTCTCAGCAGCAGCCACAACTCGAGGGAAGCAGTCAGCAAGGGTGATTTCTCTGATCCATCGGTCCTTCCAAAAGGAAATTCCTTCTCCTGTGTTTCCGGGACTAATGACAGCATACTTACAGAACTCGCCTTTCAATTTGTATATCTGACTCCAAGGGCTGCAGCCAGCTGAGTTAAAGGGCTTACCAGGACTCCACTTGGAATCAACATTAGGATACTTGGCGATCATCAACCTCTTCCACCAGCTCTCCTCCTTAGCAAACTTCCAGCACCACTTAGACAGAAGTGCTATGTTATGCCTGTGCAAGTCATGAATGCCCAAACCTCCCAACTCCCTCGGCCTTTTACAACGATCCCACGAAACCAGATGGAATTTCTTTTGATCATTATTCCCAGACCAAATGAAAGAGCATTGAATTCTTTCGATAGTCTTAACCACATGAAGGGGTGCAAGAAAAAAGGAACACATATAGGTAAGAAAGCTAGCAAGGCAGGCTTTGGCGAGAACAATTCTGCCTCCAAAAGACAAGAGACTCCCCTTCCAGCCTTCCAATCTCAGTTGAATCCTATTAATAAGCGGGTTCCAACTACTGCTTGCAACAGGTGATGCACCCAACGGAAGTCCCAAGTATGTTGTTGGGAGGAACTTCCAATCGCAACAGAGAAGATCCGCCAATCTCTCCAGCTGTTGAACCTCACCAACAGGAAACAAATTACTCTTCTCAAGATTAATTCTCAGTCCCGATACCTGTTGAAAACATAACAAGACTGCAAGCAAGTTCTTAATTTCACTCTCAGTAGCATCACAAAAAACGATGGCATCATCAGCATATAAGATATGAGACACTTCACCCCTCTGACTCGTCTCATCCATACAGAAACCTGAAATAAGACCTGCAGAGTTTGCTTGTTCCAACATAAACTCATGGATGTCCATCACCAGATTGAACAGAAAGGGGGACAATGAGTCCACTTGCTTCAAACCCCTTTCCATCCCAAAAAAACCAGTTTCTTCCCCGTTCACAAGTACCGACAGCTTTGAATGAGAGACAATACCTTTGATCCATTTTTGAAATCTGTGATTAAAACCCATGGAATCAATAATTTTAAACAGGCAGTTCCAATTAACCGAGTCAAAGGCCTTTTCAATATCCAATTTTAGGATGAGTCCTGGTTTACCACTCCTCCTTCTGCTGTCAATAACTTCATTGGCGATAAAACTAGCATGATGACTCTGTCTACCCCTAACACCAGCAAACTGATAGATAGAAATCCAGTACCTCAAGTGCGGTCTTAATCTGGCAAACAAGACCTTACAAATGATTTTATTAAGGCTTCCAATAAGGCTAATTGGCCTAAAATCCTTCACCTCTTCAACCGCTTCCTTTTTGGGGATCAAGCAAATGAATGAGTGCGCCACCGAGTTAGGCAATTCACCTGTGAGAAAGAAGTGATCAAAAGCTTTAAGTATGTCGGTCTTGATGATTTCCCACCCTTTCTTGTAGAATTCCAAGGTGAATCCGTCAGGTCCAGGCGCCCTATCTCCCCGACAATCCGAAATGGCTTTTTTGGGATCAGGCAAATGAATGAGTGCGCCACCGAGTTAGGCAATTCACCTGTGAGAAAGAAGTGATCAAAAGCTTTAAGTAAGTCAGTCTTGATGATATCCCACCCTTTCTTGTAGAATTCCAAGGTGAATCCGTTAGGTCCAGGCGCCCTATCTCCCCGACAATCCGAAATTGTTGTGCATCTTCTTAAAAATGATAATAGTGTTTATGTGTGACATTTTTGCAGTTTAAAATGGACTCGATGTCTTTATTCCTCCCACCTAAAAAATAAGCTAATAAAAAACCAAGTAACCAGTATTTGTAACTCATGCACTCTAATACTCTATACTAACTATAAAGCATATACATGAAACTTCGAGGATTAAAATCCCAAACGCACCTCATGCAACAATATACATCTACATTTATTTTATTAATGAACCCATATATGTTTTCTTTGGCGAGCTTCAATAGTTATTTTTTTATCATCGATATATATAAATTATGAGAATTTTGAATGATTTATGGTTTATGAGTAGGTGTCTTAGTCATGGATATTTATCATTGTTACAAAGAATATAGCACTTGTTTTATATTCTTGGTCTCACTAGACCACTACAAATTTAATGTATTGATTTTCATTGTCCAAATTAGCCAAAGTTCCAGAATAGCCAATTCAGAATTTTCAGATGTACTAGTACTAGCAAGTGCATCAAAGATGCAGTCATCGATTCTCCCGAACGGCCACAATTAGCGCGAGCAAACATATTAATGACGAAGAACACATTAAAATATGTCGATTCGGTCCGGGCATACTATATGTAAATTTTACACCATCTGTAAATATCTTTTATAATGATCCGAATTTATTTTCAAGTCACAATTTATGCCCCAACACCATTCTAACTTATACTTAAGAAATGCACTTAAGTCATGATTTAATCAATTGACACATGGTGCATGCAAAAAATCTTTTTTTTTTGTTGTTGTTGTTGCTACACTTACACTGAACTCGGTTGCTTGATGAATTTTAACAAAATGAAGTTATTCGAATAAAATCAACTCAATGTCCTTAATCTTTTGGCCTTTAATATAAGGAGTAAATAACCAAGCAACCAAATTCGCTAGTACACATAGGGATGGCAGCGGGTCATGAACAGGGCCGGTAGTACTAAACCCGTGCCCTGCCCCGTCCATAAATTCATGCCCCGCCCTGCCCCATGCCCCCAGACGGGTCGACACTTTTTGCCCCAAGCTTTGACCCGTGCGGGGCAGGTAATACCCACCCTGCCCTGTCCTGAAGGACATATTCTAAGTTGTAGTTTGGTAAAAAAATATTGCAAAGCTGTAACCAGTAACCACCATCATTCAAGCAAAAGAACTTCAATCGTCAAGAAAGTGTTCTCTGGTTCATCCATATGAAAAGTGCAAATGAAGTAATAAAGTTCCAGATTTGTAAAATAGTATATGAAAGTGTTCACTGGTTCATCCATCAGAAAACTTCATCTCATTTCTCATAGGGTTCTTCAATCTCCAATTCTCCATGCAACAGCAACACTTGCAAGCCTTCCACTAGCCTTTATAACATCAATCTCCCCTCTTTTAACTTTGAGTAGCCTTTACTTGCAACTGTTTGCGTAAATAAGCCATAGAAAAGGTTAGTATCATCATTGATATGATAGATCAGCAGCAGCTCCAACAAAATCACTATGAATGTAAAAGAAACCATCCAGAACCACTACAAATATGCCTATATCAGTGGCAGCTCCGAGAGTCATATAAATGTCAAAAACCAACCAAACAGCAACACTATGTTGCAAATTGAAAAGGAAAATATTTTGGAATCAATACCTTAGGGTCATCCTCTGTCTCTCCATCAGAATCTTGTTGTACTGTACCAAGTGAGTACTTCTCTCCAGTTGCACCAGCTACATTCATATATAAACAGGTTAGAAAGACTCATAATTTTTGTGTATATGCAGAAAATATTTGGAATTAGGATAGTCATTACCTCGCAGCCAGCTTTGAGCACACATTAAGCCTTCTACATTATCTGGTTCCAGTCTACTTCTATGAGAAGAAATCACCCTCCCACTAGTACTAAAAGTAGACTTTGAGGCCACAGTAGATACGGGAATAGCCAAAATGTCTCTTGCAACCTTATTTAGTATATGATATTTACTTCTGTTGGACTTCCACCAGCACAAAACATCGAAATCAGGACTGTTGGGTATGATTCCATCCTCCAAATAGGAATCCAACTCTGACCTAATAGGCTTTCTTTTCCTTCTATCAGCATACAAAGCAAACTTGTGGGGTGTTTCCCTCTCAATTGTAGCAGTTACTGAACAGTTCACTTCAACTGCATTGTCTACTTTTTCTTGCTCTCTTTCCTTCTCTTCATACTCTTCAATCAACTTACGACATATACTAAGAAGCTTCTCCTTCTGCGTCTTACTTTCCCCACCAAAAATCTCAGGAAAGTAGCAACCCATTACATCAGTTTTATACCTTGGATCAAGTATAGCGGCTACCCCCATCAAAGCATGCATCTCAGACCAATACTTGTTAAACTTTTCTAACATATTTATGGCCATTGTTTCAATGGTTTCAATTCCAAAAATACACCACTGATCCAAAGCAATCTTAATCTCACAAATTGCTTCAAAACATATGTTGGCAGTTGGATATTTAGTGCCAGAAAACAGTTCAGTAGTATTATGAAACTTTTTCAGCCTAGTACAAATCTCTTCTGTCAACTTCCAATCACACTCAGTAGGCAAGCATTTGTACTTTGGCTCCCTATTTCTTAACCGATTAAAAAGTTCTTTATATCCCAAAGCAGTTTTCAGCATTAAATAGGTAGAATTCCATCTAGTTTCACAGTCAAGTATGAGTTTTCTACCAACTTGATTACGAATCAGACGTGCTGCCTCAAGCTGTTGGGTAGTCTCCTGAAACTTTTTCCATCTCTTTGGTGTTGCCAACTAGAAACGAAAACTCTCCCTGATTCTGTTTATGCCATCTCCAATAACCTTAAGACCTTCCTTTACAATGAGATTCAATATGTGTGCACAACACCGCACATGAATCATACTTCCATTGTCCAAGATAGACTGTAAAGGAAGCTTCTCCATCAGTTGACTCATCATTGCATCATTAGTCAAGCAATTATCAACCGTGACAGCTGATAATCTATGATCCAAGTTCCAGTCCGTTAAACAGTCAAACAGAACTTCACAAAGGACTTCACTAGTGTGTGGGGAAGGCACATAAATGAACCTGTAAAATCACAAGTGCATAACTTAATTCAACTTTTAGTCTTATACATACGGAATACATCTTAATTCAAAGCAATCGCAACTTAATTCATACAGTTACAGCTTACACATAAAAGGAGAGAACTAAATTCACACTTATATAGGCTGATTCAAAGAGGCTAATTCAGTATTGATGCAATATAACTTGCAGCAACTAACAAAATGTCAACATCTAACATATATATTGGTAACTCCCAGAATTAGTGATTATAAATTGATTCAGTTTAATGATCACAGAATGTAATAAAAGAATGCAACCAAAAGTACCTGATAATTCGACTATGCAAAGTCCAAGTATTATCAATGTAATGTGCAGTCACTTCCATGAAACCCTTCTTCTGAGAAGATGTTCATATGTCTGTGGTTATTGCCACTCGACCTTCATTCTTCCTCAAAAGCTAAATTACATACTGTTTTTCAAGATGATAAATGCCAAGATAGTCTTACTTTATGGTGTTTCTGCACACCATCTTGAAGCAAGGGTTCAGACTCATGCTGTAACTCCTAAAGTCTTCATTCTCTACAATTGAGAGAGGATACTCGTGCTTTATAATCGCCTTAGCCAATTCTTTTCGAGAATTTTCTTGACTGAAGTTGAATGGCATCAGCTGGAATTTCTCCTTGTTCATATTACCTTGTAGGAGTTGTTGTTTTATATCTCCCGGACGCTTCACTTTAGGACATCGATAGTAATGATTCTTCAGGTGAGTTGTTCCTTTTGACGGGTCTCCAACAAGATTCTTCTTACAATATTTGCACTCTGCATTTGGCTTGCCATCCAAGGTTACCTTATTATAGTGTTGCCACCACTTGGAAAACACCTTACCAGATTTCGTACCCTTGCGTTTATCCTTCTCATCATCATTTGCAGTTGCAGGGGGTTTCCTTATCCACAGCTTCAGCAACAACATGCATAACATTATGTTGAGCCATATCTGGTTGAGGTTGGGAAGTTGTTGCCTCTAGATTCAAAACTGCAGAATCAGCTTGAGGCACCTCCTTATCCATGTTCTGCTACCCAATAACAAATTGCAAGATGAGTTTCATTTAGTCATTATATTGATGAATTAGAGAAATCTCACCCGCACATAATTAAACAAAGCCACATTCTAATTCAAAAAAAACTACCAGAGAAATAGGATATTGATATTACCTAACCAACTTCTTAATTCCAAATACGCTTTTTTCTTGTAGTCCTTGTTGACCACCTTGTTGCTGGAGATATGTTGCCTTTCCGTACTTCCTTTGCTCTAAGGGAGAATGGGAGATGCAGCCAGGATAACCCTTCATCTGCTATTCACTGTTATACTTATATCAAGAGGAATTGGGGATGGGCAGATGGGTGATTGGGAATCAGGTGATTGGGAATTGGTGATGGAAGATGAATCGTAAAGTTAGAAAGGCTGGAAATGAGATAGTGGATTGGGTTTTTGCATAGAGAAGTTTCTCGAGTGTGGGTAGTGTTGGGAATTGATGGCGGGTGGGCGAGTGGTGAATGGGAGAGGAAGCTCAATCGTATTCATCCCTCTTCAAAGGAGATTTGGACGGGGCAGAGCGGGTCGGAGCGGGCATAGAACAAGATCCTACGCGTTCAAGCACAGGTCAGATTTTATCCGCTCCATTACAGGGCGGATCGGGGAAAATCCAACGGATCAGATCTGATTTGCCATCCCTAGTAACACATATGCCTAAGACTGCATTTCTCGGACTATCAATTGTATTCCTGAAACTTAAGTGCTAATTCTTATGCAAAATCTCATGCCATTAAACATTAACCTCGGCTCATTAATTCTTAACCCAACTCATAAATATACATTATTATCTACTAGCTTATAACCCGACCCGTTGGCCAGAATGCTCATAAATATACTTTACCAATCCGTTTGATTTCGTTAACAATTCTTCGCTCGAGATGATACATAAAGAATAAATGTATATGCCAAACATTTGAAGACATAACATCATCATTTAATAATATAAAAATGTATCTTTCATCCCATTTCAATGATAATTAAGCCTCCACTAAAATGCTATTGGTTAATTGATTGTCAAGAAAGATAGAGTATAAAAATCCATTGGAATTCCCACACGACCCATAGATAATTGGAAACTAAAACTAAAATCTCACAATCCTACATAAAGGGTTCAATGCTCTCATTTTAGAAACAACATGCCACTAATAAAAAAGAAATGGAGAGTTGTTGATTCAAGTCAACCATATACTAACAACTCAACTAAAAGGGGACCACCCCGTAAAAAAAAACTAAAAGGGGACCACCAAAACTTGAGAGCAAATGACCAAATTAGGGTTACCTCCAATGTACTAATAGACTCTATCAAAGAAATAAGACACAAAATTAGACACTCCTTATCTACTAGTTCCAATAGCTTGAATAGATAATCGACCTTAGCTTCAGTAAATCAAACAAGGATTCATCATTTTAAGATCTAATAGCCAAGAACCAAAAACAATATTAAAATTTGATCGGTGAGCTGAACCATAAGAATCGAGATTGATGAAGAAAAATATGGTTGCGGAGAATATTAGCTATGTCAAAATAGAATATTGAGCAAAGAACAAAAAAATACAGCAAACAAACAACCAAGAAAGTAGATAGGGCAATAGGAAAGTACAACTGCCCCTGTTTTACACAAACATCTACTTGATTTCAAACAAATCTAGCACCCAATCCATCGTTCAAATTCATTTCCTATATTTTATAAATAAATCACAAACAACTTAGATAAAGTGGGAAGGAAATAGTAGGATACCAGTTCAAGTCAATGAACCTTCTATGAAGATAAAAAAAAAAACTCATTGAAGTTGAAACTTAAGAACAAATAGAGGAGCAACGACGCAAAAGATCCACCGGGCTTCAAACATCGTATTAGGAAATAGGATCAAAATAAATGGATCTTCGGCATGTTCTTCTCATGAGACAACATGAAAATAAAAGGTGTTTTGTTATTAATCAGAAAGATAAAACCATGAGACAAAGAGAAGAAAAGAATGGCTTACATATATGAAGCGATTAACCTTGGACGAAGACCAAAAATCCATTCAAGTTCAAAGTCTGGTATAGGAAGATGAATAAAGAGGGAAGATATAACTAATCAAACATCGTCTTCATCAATAGAAGCAACAAAATAGTTCTTCTAGTAGTTCATCGATATAGGAGAGATAGAACCATCGGGCGATGCCAGTACGGAGGAATCGAGCGAGATAGGCAAGACCCTAACTACTTGATTGAACTCCATTATATTTGCCAGGAACTTATATCGGAGTTGAAATCTTCTACTTGCCGAGCTTCCCCAACGAGCAAACCGTAGTTCTAAGAGATACTAGAAGATTGATTTTCATAGGCGGCCTTGTATTGGGAAGTGAAAGGAAGCAAACTATTGCACTATGGAGGGAATTTCACAGGAGCTCATGAAGTGATAATAACAAAGATAAAAAAGTGCAAAAAATGAAAGGACTCAACACATGGTTTGTATTTAGAGTTTAAATTCATCCATGGTTTGTATTCAAAAAGCTACAGCAAATTTGTTAAGTGTAATTGGTTGTTCTTGTTGTGTTTGTTTAAAGAGACCCTAGTTCAAATCATGATATTGATATTTTTTTATATGAATTAGTAAAGAATGGTAAAGACTAAAATGCCTTTCCAATTTTCACTCTCGTTACAGGAAATTTAAAATGGAGAAAAGTACACAAAACTCTATCATATATTATTGGAGGATTCCTGTGAGGTATGGTCCAATTACTCGGTGCCAAAACCATGACAAAGGGCAAAAAAAGAGCATTTATTCACATGTTATTAAGCACCCAACTGTCCATCCTACCAAAACTAGTTTTTTACCCGGCTTGTTGGCCGGAAAATTTCATTTTATCATTTATTTAAATTAATTTATCTATATGTATAAAACCTTTTTGACTGTTATTTACCCGACATGTTGGCCTATTGACCGTTATTGAATCAGCATTCTATGGGATGAGGGGTTTAAGGAAGGCATTACGGGAGAAGAACGCCTTCGGGCCATGGTTGTTTACTGACCGCCGGCCACCGCATGGAAGTTGCTAACATGAGCCTCCCCCACCTCTTGCACTTATACCGATGACCACCATCAGGACAAAGAGATGGATCGTCGCCGCCACCTTTCCCCTCGATGAGCAGCTTCTTCAACTCCCGAATATCCATGTCCTTTTCATCCCGCAGCGTATGGTTTTCCATCTCCAGCTCCTTTACCACCCGCGGCAGGTCGACCCGGGATTTCGATGCCGTGCTTGGATGATCGACTCGATCTCTGGCAAAAATGACCACACAACACAGATTTCAGTATAGAAGATACACCAAACAGATCCACAAATCGTTCGGCGAGATTTATACCTTTCCTGACCTTCGATTAGGGTTGAGATTTGGCATTGCTAGATCTGGGATCGTCGAAGAAGAGAGGGAAGGAAGGAATAGGGGAAGATTGGAATTCAGAAAGTGGACGATGAGAGAGGTTGATTTGGAACGAGGGAGATGAGGATGGAGAACGATCGGGGAGAATCGAAGTCTTTCGACTTGGCTAGGGCTGAAGATCTGAGAGCGTAGAGCCCATTGGGGATGGCTGAATCGAGAAGAAGGGTTAAGGGATGTCTGAGTGAGGAAGTAGGAGGGGATTGGAGAATGGGAGGAGGGGTTTAAGGAAGGCACTACGGTAGAAGAACGCCTTCGGCGCCATGGTTGTTTACTTGTGGAGTTTTTATTATTTATTTATTTTATTATTTGATAAATGAAATATGGAAAATAATGTATTTAATATTTTGTTAATATTTAATGTCTTCATGGCATCCACACCAGCATAGAATGCTGATTCACTAACGGTCAACATTGTTGACCGTTTAATTTGACGGAAATTCAAGAGTCGGGCCAAATTAGACGACTATATGGTGTATAATTGGGACTAGGATAACAATTTCTAAAATCACGTGTCAAAGTTAATTATTAGAGTATAGTTGAGGTCAAAATAAGGTATTAACACAAAATATTACGAAGGATCGTGAGGGAGGAGTTAGTCTTAATAACGTATTAACACAAAATATTACGAAGGATCGTGACTCGTGAGGGAGGAGTTAGTCTTATTAGCGGGGCCATGAATCACCTTTTTGTTATTGGGCTTAGATAAGAACCACAGCCCATTTGATTCCTTGAGGCCCGCGTTTGCTTTGCGCATCCCATTTGGTTTCTCCGAGAACCAGAAGGAAAGAAGTCAAATTTTGTTGACTTGGTCTCCTTCTTCTTCCCGATTCCGAAACGGAAAATGATTAATCTCCGGCCAGATCACAGTTCCAATTACTTGCTGCTGAAGAATGAGGGCAAAATCTCATCCCACTATATATGTGAATATATAGCTCTCTCACTTACCAATTTTCCTCCATTCTCAACCTGAAATCCTTCTCGCGTCTACTCTCTGGTTTTGCTTCCTTCCCTTTTTCCGCTCTCTGCTTCTTCGACGCCGGTGAAGATGCAGTGGGAAAAAGGAAAGCGCTTGGGAAAAGGAGGCTTCGGAGAGGTGTTCGTAGCCCAGCTAATGAACTCCAACATACCAACTATGGCGGTGAAATCCGCGGCGGAAGACAAAGCCGCGACTCTGTTCGCCGAGCACAAGATTCTCACCAGATTCCGAAACGCCCCCGGAATCATCCAATGCTTCTACGATCAGCCTATCGGAGACTACACAGAGGGGACCGTCAGCTACAATTTGTTTATGGAGTACGCTCGCGGCGGATCGCTCACCAATCTGATCGGCGGCGGAATCCCGGAGAGCGAAGTTAGGGTTTACACCCGCATGATCCTCAGAGCTCTGTATTTGATCCACTCCGCCGGATACGTCCACTGCGACATAAAGCCAGACAACATCCTCGCTTTCCCGCGGGAAACAGGAACAGGGGTTTGCTGGGAATTGAAGATAGCAGACTTTGGTTTGGCGGTGGAGTCATCGAAGTTGATTCAGGGGAGTGCGGACTACAGGGGGACGACGCGGTACAAGTCGCCGGAGATGGTGGCGTCCGGCAAGCTCACGCCGGCGGTCGACGTGTGGGCTCTGGGATGCACGGTGCTGGAGATGCTGACGGGGCGGCGTCCGTGGAGCGAATTGAAGAAGAAGGAGGAGGTGAAGTGGAGAATCGCAAAAGGGGGCATGCCGGAGATTCCCCAGTGGGTGTCCGAGGAAGGGAAAGATTTCCTCAGAAGGTGTTTCGCCAAGGATATCAACAGCCGCTGTTATGTCCCTGGGTTTCTCGAGCTTCCCTTCGTGGCGGCGGATCGTCATGGCGGTGGATTTAGTGGAGCGGCGGTTGTCGGAGGAGGACGAGTATTGGGCCTGCGGCGGGAAATAGAAAGACGTTGGCAAGAAGAGAAGAAACAGAGCAAGAGATCCCCTGCTGCTGCTGACTTTCCGATGCTTCCTCATCAGCTTTTGGGACAGGGAATCAAGCCTGTTCTGAGGTGCAGATGAGCTCCCGAGAGGGGATTTTGTTGAGTTAGTATAGTAGAGAGACCTCTGTAAATTAGTTTACCAAGTTGTAATTAATTAATTGCTCAAAAGCTCCATTGAATTGAAGGACAGCTTCTTCATTCTGTGACTTTGTGAAATTAACCCAGAAGCCATAGTTATAACTTCCTTGTTAGTGAATATCACCTTTTCATTCAATGCTTTTCCAATTCATTCTAGTTCTTCTCACATTATTAGCTATCAAATGGCACTACAGGAAAATGATCTATTTACGGCCGTAAAACTTGTCGTTGATGTAGTAAAAATCCGTCGTTGTCTCGTTGATATATGACAAACGTTGTGGAATGGGGTTGTGGTTAGTATTATAAACGACGGTTACCAATTTCTCGTCGTTATAGATCGCACAAAAACGACGGACAAAATAATATGCATTTCCTTCGCCAACCATATTACAAGATTGACGGCACGACTCACCAAAGTAAAATTGATACAATATCCGTAGTCAAACTGCATGAATGTACCAATGCTGTTGCAAATTTGTGATTGGTAATTATAATGAATGTAAAAAAGTTAGTAAAGTAGCAAGAATTGCTTGTCAAACAATCTGTCTTATAGTTAACAACAATCACTATGCCAAGCTCATGTCACTACAAATTAGTTTGACAGCACATAACTAACTAACTAATAATTCATCCAAATTGGACATGTAATCTGAAATTCTACTTCAGGGTTAAAGGTTCCCCTGCCAAAATAATGTGGTGGAATGCATGTCACTTAAATTTCTTGCACTCATATTTTCAGATTCCTCTTGTAACATCTACAAAATGCAAAATCCTTCACCATCTATTGAGGTTGCATCTCTCATCTGAGGACAGTGAAGCAGAGGAGAAACACAACCCAGCTCTACAAGGAGTTAGACCTCTTTGCTTTCTTCTTGGAACGTAGGTTTCGCACTCCTTTTCTGAAGCAAGCTACAAACCATTTGCTTCATCTCTTTGAACTCAACCTCCGTTTGTTTCATTCCTTGCAAGTTGGTCTCCAGCACTTAAGAGCCACATTTTCTTCTAGTTACATAGCTGTCTTGGTAGAGTTCGACTCTTTGAAACCCTTTGGAGTCACACGATCGACACCATCTCCAAAGCCCAACACTCGACTCGACTCGACTCGATCACTCTTTTGAGGCCCAACCCAACACTTTTTTCAACTACTTCACATTGTGTCAGTTCTGGTTGACTTTCTTGAATCTGGATTCTATGCAAAACAATAGAGATGCAAAGAAACAAAGAAACACCAATCAAAGCACAAGTCATATAAAGAGATGAAAATATGACACATACGTACCAGGGTTTCAATGCTATTGCTAGCCAAATCAACCAGTTTGCGGGAAGTGTGCTGTGCTGAGCGACACTATCCTTTGATGATATTGATATGTTAGGGGAAGTTGATAACTACTGCTTCATTAATCTTGCTGCTCTTACTTGAGAATCCCTCCACAGTTGACCAGGAGGAATAACATTTCCCTTAGAATAGCAGCTGGTTTCATTTTGGTATGCTGTAAAAGATTAAGAATGTTAATATTATTAAGTCCTCACTCATACATTAGTTAGAAAGATAAGAGACAACTGTATCATAAAGTTAATAACCCCTTTCACAAAAAGGCAAAAATCACTAAGTAATTACTTTATGGTATTCATTGTCCCCATCCCCTGTTTATATATAGTTATACACCAATCAACGTGGTTGTTTTATATATTAGCTAGTTTTCTATGAAAAGAAGAACAAAAGCTCAAAAAAAGATAAGGGCAGGCTAACCTTGATTTCCATATGTCAAGCAATAAAATATTGACTATGGACACCTAACCTAATCACACATACAAACACTAAAGATAAGAACATAATGCCTTCTTCTTATGTGTTCAATGTACAAAAAGTCCAAACCAAGCATCCATCCATGTGTAATGTAATGTAATGTAATGTTCTTTGAAAATCAAACTTCCACTTAATGCAATGCAAGTCTCACCATCCATCCACGTATCATGCATGCTTCCAAGTATATATATTATATTATATTGTGTCCATTTACAAGAAGCAAGCTATAAATAAACTCATTGACAAAATCTAAGGGTTTGGTTTAGAATCCTCTGTTACTTGCTCAGTTTCTGCTATAACTAACTCAATCCATCTCTTTTGATGTTGCTCAAATGATCTGAGCTAATAACTCAATCCTCTGTTACTTGCTCACTAATTCTCACCATTCCAGTTTTGGTAAGCGATGAACCTTCTTGACACCAAATTTTCAACTCAAAAACCTTTTGGTTCACAGACTGAAGAAAATCTGGTTTCATTTTGGTGCTGTAAAAAAACTAAGAATGTTAATTTAACTCCCACAGCCTATGAAATGATGTGAAAATCAATAACCCCATTCACAACACCCTATGAATCTTGGCAGAAATCAATTTTATCTACAGGTTGGGTTAGAATCTTGTGTATATAAATCGATCCATTCCAATGTCTTTTTGCTCTTTTGATGTTGCTCAAAAGATCTAAGCTTAAAAGCCAAACATCAACATAAAACGAACCATCCATCAAAAGTGAATTCTTTAAAATATAAAAAATGGGTACGCTTTATTACCCACAATTTCTTACTACTGTTTCACTACTTGTCGCTTAGCGAAAATGGGTTTTTATGGGTTCTCCGCAGGGAAGCTGGTAGCGGCGGCCGGGACTGCTCCACTTGCGACGGGTCAGAAGCCAGTTCCGCCGCTGTCCGGTTAAGTCAGCACCCATGCCTCCCGTACGCATGCTCCGGTTCGTCCTTACCACAAGACCTACAAGGAATAGTGTTCCTTTTGTCCTGCCGTCACTTCACCATGCTGCTTTCCCGGAATCACCGATCTACCACTCATAACCCATTCCGCTCTGATCAACACGGCACTGTCCTTCCTCTCCCTGCTACCCTTTCATTAGTGGAAAAGCGAATTGGTCCATCTCATTTCTACTCGGTTCGTCTTTGCATCATCTTCGCTTCCTGTTTCCTCTATCCTAGCATAACCTCTTCTCCCTAACTCGCTCCAATGAATCACGTCATCCTCTCCAACCTCACATGGAGGGACAAAGCTCTCCTGCTCAAATACTGTGTCGTTTTCTGTGTTTTGTGAACTAGGGCTCTTGGGTCTTCGCGCAGCCAGCCCCCTCGGCGGAGTAGCAGGCGTCTCCCGCACTGTCGTTGCTCAATTTCCACTCGCCTCGACCGAATCACTGCCCCCTCGACTCCGTTTGCGGCCGAATAGCAATGCTCGGGCAAGAGACCTTGCAATGGCGGAGATCTTTGCACTCGCCCACAAAGCATTAGCACTAGCCAAGTGAGTTTGTTCACTAAATAGTCAGTTTTGCAGCAGCTGTCTTATGTAATTTTCTGTATTGAATGATTGTGTTGGATTTATAGCAAGAAGGCGGTGCAAGTTCTGATGCTTTCCTCCTCCTTATGGTAGGTTGAGCAGGCAGCTTCACTTGGACCAGAATTTTCGTTCGTGGGTGCAAGTTCCCTCACCCTCTGCATTACAAATTTATTGTAAGGGTGAGAGTCTTATGTTATGCAAGAAGGCAGTTCAAGTTCTGATGGTGTCCTTCTCCTTATGGTTGGTTGAGCAGGCATCTTCACTTGGGCGAAAATGTTTCGGTCGTTGGTACAAGCTCCCTCACCCTCTGCATTACAAAATCTTAGTCAGGGTGAGTGTCTAATTTTATGATTTAGAGGAAAGATTGTGCCTTCCATTCCTCTTCCTTTGTGCGTTTAGGGTTTTGCTAATGGGTAAAGAAAGCAGGTGGCGAATTTCTAATATTATATATGTTGTTAATGGTTATGGTATTACTTGAGGGAAATTTGGTATATGCTGCTTCTGTCGTTCAGCTGGTCATAAATCTAGCACAAGTGTGGGATCAGACTGAAGTATTGAACTCTTCAAATATCTATTACCATCTGACCACTCTACGTTGTTTTCCGTTTTTTCCTGAGTACATCAACCCTGACCTGGCATGTCTCAGTTGAAGCAAAAGCTTTTGTTTACGTAATCTCAGTAGAATAAGGGCTTGCACCTCTGAGTGTATCTCACACGCCAAAACACAATACCAAACTGCGACCAAGTATAATCGCAGTCCGGAAATGCAGTAAAGTGGCAAGTTCTATTATCAACCCGGGGTCTAGATCTACTGCTTACTCCGTGATTATCTATTATCTAGCCAACTAAGTCAAATGATTTTTGTTTTAAGCAAAAGCAGTAAGAAAGCAGGAATTGGTTCGGTTTTCTCAAGCAAAGAAGAGTCACTCGGGAATGAGACCCTCTAGCTCCTTAGTTAGGTCTCAATTGTAATTACCCTGGGTTGATTAACTGTTGATTAGACTGCGGAAGATCCGACAGTAGCTTGGAATCTCTTAAGCTGACCAAGCCCTCTCAGTCTAACTACCCGGCAGACGACTAGTCTTCACCGGGATATAAATCTGAAGCAATAAGCACAGAACTCCACTACTGGAATTGGATTCCAGTACAAAGCAGTAAACTGGCTAACTCTCGTATAGCCAATATCCTACTAACGAATGATGAAGCTCTAACAACCTAATCAGATTCTATCTATCTCAGGTTGCAATCAAATCAAGAAAAGCTGATCAGACTTCAATCAATTCAATAAAACATGCATCATTCGATTAAAACCAAACAATATAATCATCCCAAGTTTTTACAATCAAATCCCTAACACATGGAACTAGGGTACTTCATACCCAAGTGAGAGAAGGGTTCTACTCCATAGAGAGAGAGAGAGAGGAAAACAGAATACAAAGTAGTCATACTCATAACAATGGGAAGAATCTGCTCTGGGATAATGATTTCCACTCCTATGACGATCTCCAAGCTCGATTTGATGAAACCCAGCTCCAAGATAGCTTCTAGGATGTGTTCGTCGTACTTTCTCTCTCTAGGGCTCTGTTTTTGCTCTGAAAATTTGATTCTCTCACTTATGGCCCGAAATTGGGTAAAAACCAGAAATTCCCGACTCACACGGGCAGGCCACACGGCCGTGTGGCATACCCAGATGCCCGTGTGAGGTCAAAACGCCGCGTTCCGATTATGTGGGTTTCGGGCTTCCTACACGGCCAGGGGCACACGACCGTGTAGCTCACCCAGCCTGCCCGTGTGAAGCCTCGCAGAATTCCACACGGCCAAATTACTCCTTCACACGGCCGTGTGGATTGTATTTGTGCCCGTGTGAAGGCTCGCACAATCCCACACGGCCACCTTGGTCACTTGCACGGCCGTGTGAGTTTTGTGTGTGCCCGTCTGGCTTCCTCAGCGACTTGCCTCACGCCCGATCTTCGTCCAATCGACCCCGAACTCGCTCCCAAACCTTCATTCACGTACTAGGACCTGAAATATCACAAACAAGCACAACCTAGCGTGAAATTGGCCTAAGACACGACAATCAACACCTCAAACGCGACTCCAGAATAGGGGTAAAAACATGTGCAATTAACGGCTTATCAAACTACCCCACACTTAACCGTTTGCTTGTCCCCAAGCAAACCAAGTCAGACACAAGGTAAGCTCACATATTTCAATCATACCAACTTTGGGGACAAATCATATAGGCACAGAAACATGCGAATCATACTGGCTTTCAAACATCAACACATGAACAACCTCAATAGCAACCTGGACAACCACCACAGAAGACATTCGAGTGCAGCAAAATCGAGTAAAGGAGGAGTCTCCCTTCTGTTCATCAACCAACCTAGACTTGACTCAACCACTTACTCAAGACAGTCAACTCATGCATAAAACTCAAGACATCAGAATCAAGACATATAGGTCCTCACCGGGTAAAGAGTGTAAAGAACAAGGAAATGAATCGCTCACTCTCGACCAGTGGGGTCAGGACAATTTGATGCGAAAAATGCGCATACTTATTCTCCCAATTCCTAACATCTCTTCACCATGATGACAACCTCTAAAAGTCAGAGTTCACATAAATGGTTGTCATCACTAACTAATCCGGAGGTCTTAGACACAGGTTCAAGTGACTGGCTAGGGTCTTGGACATGGAGAAAAGGCCTTTTAGGTGGTGGAAGTATTCATAGCACAAGGTTCCACATTTCCAAACCCAACAAACTCACAGTCAATCAAACCAGTACTTTCTTTCTGCTATTCTGCATTACTCAAATTCTTCAGAGCACAAGAGCGAAGGAGGTCACATAAATACCAGTATTTCTAAGCCAGACTGCTAAGAAACACTACTTAATGGGCACTATTCAGATTTTTGGTGGTGGCTCTCTTTTGCTTTCATTTTTTCTTTGTTTTTCTTTCTTTTTTTCCATTTCTTAAGAGAACCACCACCTCTGCACATTTTCAAACACCTGCCCAACTTTTTAAGAACTACCTCCAACTCTCACATTACATTTAGTAGAAACAGCAGTGAACATGTAAAAATAACTCTGTGGAACCTTCTAAAAGATGCAAAAGGGGTGACTTCTCATTGAAGACCGAAAGAAAGGATAACACACGACTCAAAGGGGCTGACTAGGGGGTATGACACACCAGGACAGTCAATATGGTCGTGGGCTAATCATATGCCTCCATCATCTTAGCTAATGACAACGTGAATGCTACACATCAAGGAAGAGGGAACTATCGCACAAGAAAGAAACGAGCAGGCTTAAATCTCACATGGCTATCTATATGCTCTATCTCTCATTCTAATTCCCTGAACTAGATGCATAAACGACTGTCAAGAACAAGTGATCCATTCAAGTCACATTTGGTAAGCAAACAGTTGAAAAACTGAACCCCTACACAACTCTACTGCACGTCTCAGACATCATTATAGGTTGTCCTAGTCACCATCCACTTGTCATGCATTAATCCGAAAACCATTCAATTCACCAATCAAAACATAGTGTCAATATGATCAGACAACCGTACTTGGAACCCTCAAATCTCAAATTTGGACAGCGGACTAGGCTCCAAGCACATGTATATAAATTCCAACCGATACAAAGCACCCCCCACACTTAAGCACGACATTGCCCTCAATGGAGCAGAGAGAGAGATAAGGGGAACAATGTTACCGGATGGAAATACCGCAGAAGACTGGAAATGGACCAGTCAGCGGGGGACATATGGAACGAACGGGCATTTATGCACTAAAGGGACAGCAAGAACACACTAGCACATGTTCGTTAGGGATCAGAGTTGGCCCAGATGGCCACAAAAGAAACAAAACACACGACAAACTCAGTTCAAGCTCCTCAAACACATGGAGCAAACATAAAAAGTCTAAAACAAAAACACACACACTAAGGGGCGACAAGTACAGCCTACTCGTCGCCAAGGTTGTCCAGATCGATGTCATTCATGAATGCATCATCATCATCAGCTGGTGGAGGTGGAAGTGGAGAGTCCTCCCAGGGAGTCCTCCAGACTGGCTGCACGCCCGGTAGCAGCTGGAGCAGATACTGCTGGACCTCCTGCATGCGCCGAGATCGGGCTTGCACTCTCTCGATGCAAGCCAGGGTCACCCCCTGCTGGGTCTCCATCCGATCCAGACGCTCATCATACGCAGCCAACCGGGTCTGGTACTCGGCATGGTGAGCCGAATACTGCTGCTGAAACTGGAGCTGATGGTCGTAGAGCTGCTGATTCTGGAGACGCAGCTGCTCGAACTGCTGAGTGAAGTAGTCCTGGCTGGGAAAAGTTGAACTGCCACCCCCGTACTCGAAGGTGGTGGGGCGGGCGGCAGCAGTATCATCCACATCCTCGGGATGGACCTCCTCATCACCCGCACCCTCAGGAACCTCCGGCTGGACCTCCTCTGGGATCTGAGGTTGAGGAAACCCCTCGATCCACTTAACACCTCACTCTTCTCGAAGCAGGTGCATTTTACCGATCGTAAACTCGCCAAAGGCACTAGTGTCTCCCTGCTCTGTGCACCCCTACAGTGATATCTGGAAGTAAGTGGCCAGGCGGGTGATGAGGGAAGTGCAGTGGAGTTTCTTCAGCTCGGAAGTACTCTTGTCAAAGGTCCTCGCCACCACCGAACCCAAGTGGAGGGGATGATCCCTCTGGCGCATAGACTGGATGAAGTACATGGCTCTCTTGGTGATGGCGCTGGCACTGTCCGAAGCTGGAATGTAGGACTTGGCCAGCAGGTGATGGAGAATGCGGTTGTCGAGCTGCAATGTGCTGGCCTTCGTCTTCCCTGCCGAGAATGGAAGCTAGCCTGGCCGAGCGAGGCGGGTGTACAGTGTCTTGAAGTTCACCCCCTCTTGCTCGATAAGCTCGGTGATGTAGTCCCTGTCATCGACCACGCCGAGGGCGGTCGCCAGCTTGCGGTAGCTCATGGATCGGGGTTCACCGCCGAGCCTGAATTTGACGGCTTCTCCGTCCTTCCAATTCTCCGTGTCGGTGTGCTGGAAGGTCGTGTAGAACTCAAGCACGAGCTCGTGGTAAACCTTGCCGCGAATGCAGAGTAGGCGGCGCCAGGGGCGGTTGATGACAATGGCGGAGAAGTGCTCGTAGCAGTTCAACTTCTCCAACTCTCGCTTGGACCAGCAATGATGCTGCCCAAACTTGCAGGCCAGGACGTTCTTAAAATGATCCTGGTGGGGCCCCCTTCTCAAATCTTGAACAAACGGGTGCATGAGGTTGGGCTTCGTCATGGTCCTGCAAAAGAACAACCCAAAGTGGAACCAAAAGAGCCAAGGAAAATGTTAATCACACCCCCACACTTAAGAACAGAAAACAGCCGAACCATGGTTTCATCCATAGTTCAGGGGTCAAAAACTCAATCAAACAAGCATAATCGGGGTGGGGGTGCACATCCATGGAAAATTAGGCAACTCAAGGTTCACATCCATAGCAAACACACCATCAAAGCACATCATTAAGGGCTCCAATCGACTCCCACAAAATGGTACGAAAACATGCATTTTATCGAACACCTTGTGTGCACTATTAAGGTAAAGTGTATGTGGCATAAGAGATATGAACTGGGTCGCTAAAGATTCGGTGGGAAGTTCAGGGGGAATTGTTATCTGTTGGGATAAGTGTCGTTTTCACGATTTATCAAGCTGCGTCGGCAACTACTATTTGGCAGTTGAATTTTTGGAGATCATTACATCAAAAATCTGGAGATTTGTCGCCGTGTACGGTCCACAAGACAGGAGAGATAAGTTGTGCTTTCTCAATGAACTCCATACCTATTGTCAAAATCAAGTTGCACCGATTTGCATTGCCGGGGATTTCAATTTGGTGAGATCACACGAGGATTACATTGGGGGTAGAAGAAACACTGATCTGATGAACAGTTTCAACTCTTTTATTGAAGATAATGATCTCCTGGATCTCCCTATCAGTGGTTGTCGATTTACATGGAGCTTAGGGGCTAACAGCAACTCTCAGTCTCGTATTGATCGGATTCTGATTTCTCCGAGCTTTGATACTCTCTATCCGGATTGCAGGTTATTAGGATTGGAAAAGGTGGAGTCTGATCACTCTCCTCTTCTTCTTCAGTGGGGATAATAAAAAGCTCAATCGTCCTTGGAGATTCGAGAACATGTGGCTGGAGGATGTTCGTTTCTTCACAGGTCTTTCCTCTTGGTATTCTAATTCGTTGCAAGGTAGTGGAGCAGTGTTTCGTTTCTGTATGAGATTGAAAGACTTGAAACAGAATATCAAAGTGTGGAACAGGGATGTTTTTGGCAACATTCATATCAAGGTTGATAGACTCCTTAAGGAAATCAAGGGGTTGAGTTTGATTAAAGAGTCCAGGCCACTCTCTGACTTTGAAGCTGAGGATTTAATAGAGAAAAGACTTGATCTAGAAAAGGCTCTATCTCTTCAGGAAATTAGCTGGAGACAAAAATCAAGGGAGGTTTGACTTAAGCTGGGGGATCAGAATTCAGGATTCTTCCATAAAATGGCTAGCTTTTGTAGGAAAATGAACTTCATTTGGAGGATTAAGATCAACAATACAATGGTTGAAGGAATGGATAATATCGCTCAAGGGGTGGTGGAGTTTTATTCCAATCTTTTCCTTGAGGAATACCAGACTCGTCCCTTCCCCAGCAACTATAATCCTCCATGCTTGAACTCTGCAGAATCTGCATCTCTTGAAAAGCCCTTCACAGAGGAAGAAATATGGGAGTGCCTCTCTGATAGTGATGGTACCAAGGCGCCCGGGCCGGATGGGTTCTCTTTTGAATTTTATAAGAGATGCTGGAACTTTGTCAAGATTGATGTTCTGAATTGCTTCAGTGAATTCTTCGCTACTGGCAGGCTGCCCAAGATTGCTACTCATTCATTTATTTGCTTGGTTCCTAAGAAAGGCGCTACTGAAGATATTAAGGATCTTCGTCCCATTGGTTTGATGGGAAGCGTGAACAAGTTTATATGCAAAGTGCTCTCCAAAAGACTAGGCCAGGTTCTCCCCGCTGTTGTCTCGGTTTCCCAACATGCTTCAGTTCGAGGTAGACAAATTTCGGAGGCTGGATTAATTGCAAATGAGCTTGTTGACAGCAGGAGGAGGAGCAAGAAACCGGGTCTTCTAATCAAACTCGACATCGAAAAGGCTTTCGACAACGTTAGTTGGAGCTGCCTCTTCACCGTCTTGGCAAGATTGGGTTTTAAGGAGAAATGGAGGCAATGGATTCTTGGTGCGGTTTGCTCCCCTACTATTTCAGTGTTGATTAATGGTGAATCGAAAGGATTTTTTACAGCGCACAAGGGGCTTCGCCAGGGGGACCCTTTGTCCCCAGGGCTGTTTGTTCTGGTTATGGATATCCTCTCATTTATGCTGTCCAAACTCAAAGAAGATGGTAAAATTAAAGGTTTCTTTATGAATGAAGAGGAGCAACGGGGAGAAGTAACTCACTTATTGTTCGCCGACGACACACTCATCTTCTGTGATGCTTCTCCCGACCAGATTCTCCACATCAAAGCCACTCTTGCTTGCTTTCAGGCGGTCACAGGATTAAAGATCAATCTAGACAAGAAAGTCATTTACACGGTTGGAGATGTTCCCGAACCTGAGTTTTTTGCTAACATTCTTGGCTGTAATTGGAGTTCCAACCCTCCTAAATACCTTGGCTACCCGCTTGGGGCTAAGCTTAATGTCATCTCTTTTTGGGATCCGATTCTTTTGAATTATAAGAAGAAGCTGGAAAGCTGGAGCAGTAGGTACCTCTCGGCGGGGGGGAGACTGGTTCTCCTCAAGTCAGTGCTTTCAAATCTCTCAGGATATTACTTCTCGCTCTTTAAAGCTCCAAAGAAGGTGATCGAGGATATGGAGAAAGTGCAGCGGAAGTTCCTATGGAGTGGGGTTGGGGATAAGAGGAAAACCCCTCTGGTCGAGTGGATGATTTGCAAATCGAACAGAAACAACGGGGGTCTGGGAATTAGAGATCTAGCCACTTTCAATAGTGCGATGCTATGCAAGTGGTTATGGAAGTACGGAGTCAACAGCAATGGGTGGTGGAGGACTCTCATAGACATTAAATATTCCAAAGGTAAATCTCAATGGCACACTGGTGGAAGTCGAGGGGGCAGCTCGAGCTCCGTTTGGGTCACTATCATGAAAGAGGCTGAGTTGTTTTGGAATCTTGCTCAGGTGGAGCCTGGAAGCGGTGCTTTTGTCTCCTTCTGGTATGATCGGTGGATCTCGAACCCATCTCTTGCGGTTAACTTCCCTCGAATAGCAGCTGTTACCACTGACTTGGATGCTAGGATCAACGACATCGTGGAACTCTCAGGTGATAATGTTTCTATTCAGTTACATACTAATATTGACTTGAGAAGGGGTGCTGAGCAGGAGAGGCATAATTTGATTTCGCTTCTTAATTCCTATAATTTCATTATCGGTGCCAATAGTCCGTGCAGACTCGTGTGGCTTCCTGACCAAGAGGCTGGCTTTTCGGTCAAATCCATGTACAGAACTTTGCTTGAGGACAGGTGTCCAGGAGTTCCCCATTTCCCTGCTGAATCTGTTTGGAGGAAAATCGTACCTTCAAAGATTTGCATCTTCATTTGGACAGTGGCGCACAACAGCATCCTAACGCAAGACAAGCTGCAAAAACGTGGTTGGAATTTGGCCAATAGATGTGACCTGTGCTACATGAATGAAGAAACGACAGCCCATTTACTCGCTGACTGCAATTTCACCAAGCAAGTCTGGAGCATCATCAGGAGAAGCTGTAAGCCGTCAGTCTTCCCTTCAGGCAACGATCTCGACTCTATTTTGAAGAATTGGCCAACTGACACCCCTGATTGTATGGAAGACTAGTTTATATACTGTGCTTTCCACGCTGTTTGTTGGTGCATTTGGCTGGAAAGAAATAACAGAATTTTTAATGGTATCTCGAGGAACCCGGATCAGATCGTTAGGAAAGTCTTGAAGAATGTTGCAGGTTGGGGAGTTGCGAATGGAAAGATCGACTGTCTGGGGGCTGCTTCCTGGTTTCGGGAACGTATTCGACAGATTCAATGAATGAGGAAGTGCTGGTTTTTTGGATCCATTTCGAGCGGGGGCGCTGTTTCGAGCAGGGATTTTTTGCTGGTTCGGACAGCTGGATCCTTTGCTTTGCTTTTCCCCTGCTCCCTTTCTGTTTGGGTTTGGACTGTTTGCTGGTTTTCTCTCTTTTTCTTTTCTGGTTCTTTTGTCAGAGAGATCATCCCTCCTGATCTCCTTTGTACAGCTTTGAACTCTCCTTCCTTAATAAAGCTTTTCACCTTCATCAAAAAACATGGAATTGACAAAATTCTTGCACACAAGGGCTCAAACAAGCAAGGGGGACAATGCCCAACACAATTCATACATAATCCAAGCATTCCCCTCAATCAAGTGCACACAATTCACATGATTCAAAGAGGTTCTCTAATCATGCACCCTAACACCGAATTCTCCATAAATAACATAGTTAAGGTCAAAATCAAACTGGTAGACTCAGGTAGAGGTGTAGGGGATGATGAGGGGAAGGCAATGGAAGCGACGAAAGGCCGAAAAACTGCCCAGAAGTGTTCATCGGAGCCTCGCCGGAGTCTCGCCGGAAATCTCCTCTGGCGACTCAAAATCAAGCCAAATCACCTCTAAATCGAGGGATAGGCCGATAATGGGGAGGAAAGGGTGGGTGTGGTGTTGGATTGGATTGGTAAAAAACCGACCAAAAATGGCCGAAAATCGACAAAGATGGCGAAAAGTCGCCGTTTTCCGGCGAGGGGGAGAGGATTCCGGCGAGTGAAGGTGGAAATTCTGACCACTCGAACGTGTCGGCCGAATTTATAGCCCGTGGCTCGGCCACACGAGCAGGCTCACAAGGCCGTGTGAGGTGCACAAGTGCCCGTGTCGGCCGACACAGGCAAGCCGAGGAAATCCACACGGCCGTGTGCAAAGCACACCTGGCCGTGTGAAAAATAGCGAGAGCTCACACGGGCTGGGGCCAAATCCACACGGCCGTGTGGGGGACCCCTCTTGCCCGTGTGAAAATTCCAGGGAATCCACACGGCCAAAACCCATTTTCACACGGCCATGTGACCTTCAGGGCTGGTGGTGTGGGCTGCCAGAACTCCGAATTTGACATGTTTTCACTCCAGAACGACATACAACTCGTAAACAACCCCTCAAGACTCCAAAACACAAAAAATCAAAAGAAAAAAAGTAAGAAAATGCAAACCTAGGTGGGGTTGCCTCCCCACAAACGCTTCTTTACCGTCTTTTAGCTGGACGCCAGTAGAGGAACTAAGGGTCCTCGAGCTTGATCAGCAGCTCTGCGCGCTCGACAGCACCTCCCAAGTACAACTTTAGGAGGTGGCCATTCATCTTGAATGGCTCAGTTTGAGCATTGCTGCTCTCCACCGCACCGTGCGGGAAAACTTGAGTGAGCGTGAAGGGTCCCGACCACCTCGAACGTAGCTTGCCTGGAAAGAGTTTCAGGCGTGCATTAAAGAGCAGAACACGATCACCTACCTGAAACTCCTTTGGGCCCCTTAACCGAGCGTCGTGGAGACGCTTGGTTCGCTCTTTGTAGAGCAGAGTATTCTCGTAGGTTTAGCAGCTTAATGGCCCAGCTGCAACTTACGTTCAGTACCTGCAACACTCAAATCCAGGTTTAGCAGCTTAATGGCCCAGAAGGCCTTGTGCTCTAGCTCTACTGGCAGATGGCACGCCTTCCCATAGACAAGCCTATTGGGAGAAGTGCCAATCGGGTTTTTATAGGCCGTCATATATGCCCAAAGAGCATCATCGAGCTTGGTGGACCAATCCTTGCGGGACTGATCCACCGTCTTTTCAATTATTCGTTTAAGTTCCCGGTTCGTCAGCTCGGCTTGCCCATTTGACTGGGGGTGGTAAGCCACCGACACCTGATACTTAACACCATAGCGAGAGAGGAGTTTAGTGAATTGCCCTTGAAAATGGGTTCCTCTATCACTAATGATGGCGCGGGGTGTCCCGAACCGAGAGAACAGCTGCTTCAGAAATGAGCAGACCCGTCTTGCATCATTGGTGGGCATGGCTTGAGCTTCTGCCCACCTCGAGACGTAGTCCACTGCAACCAATATGTACAGATTGCCAAAAGATGGAGGGAATGGGCCCATGAAATCGATACCCCAAACATAAAAAATTTCACAAATGACAGAAATATGTTGGGGCATCTCATCCCGGGAAGAAATGTTACCTGACCTTTGGCAGCGGTCGCACTGTCGTGCGAAGGTGTCTGCATCCTTGAAGAGCGAGGGCCAGTAGAAGTCCGACTGTAGCACCTTCCGCGCTGTGCGTTTTCCTCCATGGTGACCTCCAGTAGGTCCCTCGTGGCATTGAGACAGGATGTCTCCCATCTCGTGCTCCATGACACAACGCCGGATCACGCCATCTGCTCCGATCCTGAAGAGGTAAGGATCCTCCCAGAAGTAATGCTTCGGATCGGAGAAGAACTTGCGCTTTGCATGAGTGGCCATCCCCTTAGGTAGCTGCTTGCCCACCAGATAATTGGCAAAGTCAGAATACCAAGGGGCCACGCTTTCCACCAGTTTCATCGCCAGCAATCTCTCACCCGGGAAGGAGTCATTGATCTCTTCCACGAAGTTGTCCACTGGAGGGGCTTACAACCGTGAAAGATGATCTGCAGCAACATTCTCGGCTCCCTTCTTGTCCCCGATTTCGATATCAAATTCCTGCAGAAGCAGCAGGAACCAGCGGATGAGCCTGTGCATCGTTCAAGGTCTTGGACGCGTAGTAGATGGGCTGGAAGTGCTTCTCGCGTCTCTGACCCAGAACTGCTCCGACTGCATATTCACTTGCATCGCACATCAGCTCAAAAGGGAGAGACCAGTCAGGAGTCACCATGATAGGTGCATGGGTAAGCTTCTCCTTCAGAGTCTCAAATGCAGCTGTGCACTCGGGAGTTAACTGGAATGGTGCATCCTTCTCCAGCAGCTTGGTCAAAGGCAGGGCAATCTTCGAGGAATCTTTAATGAAGCGCCGGTAGAAGCCTGCATGACCCAGAAAGCTGCGAATCCCCTTCACAGAAACGAGAGGAGGTAGCTTACTGATCGTCTCAATCTTCGCGCGATCCACCTCAATCCCCTGCTTAGAGGTCTTGTGCCCGAGTACAATTCCCTCACGGACCATAAAGTGGCACTTCTCCCAGCTGAGTGCCAGATTAGTCTCTTCACACCTCTTCAGAACGAGTTCCAGGTTATGGAGACAATGAGTGAAGGAGTCTCCATAAACCGAGAAGTTATCCATGAAGACTTCCATGATCTCCCCGACCAGTCGGTCGAAGATCGCCCTCATGCATCTCTGGAAGGTCGCCGGTGCATTACACAGCCCGAATGGAATCCTCCTATAAGCAAAAGTGCCAAAGGGGCAAGTGAATATGGTCTTCGCCTGATCCTCTGGTGCAATAGGAATCTGGAAATAACCAGACATGCCATCTAGGAAGCAATAGAACTCATGACCAGCCAACCTCTCCAGCATCTGATCAATGAAAGGTAGGGGAAAATGATCTTTCCTGGTGGCGTCGTTCAGGCGCCGGTAATCGATGCAGACTCTCCAGCCGGTCACGGTCCGCATCGGGATCAGCTCTTTCTTCTCATTTGGGACCACAGTCATCCCGCCTTTCTTCGGGACCACCTGAGTGGGACTGACCCATTTGCTATCAGATATAGCAAAGATGATCCCTGCATCCATGAGCTTCACAATCTCTGCCCGGACCACTGCCTCCAAGTTAGGAGACAATCTCCTCTGCGGCTGCCTGACTGGCTTAACCTCATCCTCCATCAGAATTCTGTGGGAGCAGAAGGATGGGCTAATGCCTCTGATATCTGTGATCTTCCATGCCATGGCCCGGGCATACTTCTGCAGCAGAACCACCAGCCTGCTCTTCTGCTCGGGTGTCAGATCCGAGCTGATAATGACCGGGAGCTTATTCCCCTCCCGGAGAAATGCATACTCCATGTGAGAGGGGAGGGGCTTAAGCTCCAGCTCTGGTGGCTCCTCCAATGATGTAGCGATCCGGGGCGAGATAGGGATCGGCTTGAATGGTATCTCTCGCCCCTCGATCGCGGCCTCGTCTAGCTCCGCGAGCTGCTCCTCCAGCTGCACGTCCTGTGATGCCTGTTCCCCTAGCAAAAGACAACGCTCAAGGAAATCATCAGTACCCGCACTCGTGATGGCGAGTGCGGTTTCAAAATCAGCAACAACATCACAGTAATCTAGATATCATGGAGCTGGGGGTGTTTCATATTATCAGAAACAGAGAAGGTGATTTGTTCACCCCCAACTCGCAAAATCAGTTTTCCATCATTCACATCAATGAGCGCCTTGGCGGTGGCGAGAATGGTCTACCCAATATCAATGGCACATCCACATCCTCATTTATGTCCAAAATCACAAAATCAACAGGATAAGAGAATGGCCCTACTGCGACTATCAAGTCCTCTGCAATGCCCCTAGGATGCACAATGGATCTATCAGCAAGTTGAATGCTCATCCTAGTATCACTGGGTTCACCTAGGCCTAGATTTTTAAACAGTTTATATGGCATGACATTTATGTTAGCGCCTAAATCCGCCAAGGACTTCCCTATATGCAAACTACCAATCATGCAAGGGATAGTGAAACTCCCTGGGTCTTTTCGCTTCTCCGGAAGCTTGTTCTGCAGAATAGCCGAGCACTCCTCGCTGAGCTCCACAGTGGCCAGCTCACTCAGCTTTTGCTTCTTTGAGAGAAGATCCTTCAGGAACTTCGCATACTTAGGCATTTGAGATAGTGCCTCCAGGAAAGGTACTTGGACATTCAGCTTCCTAAGCATGGACATGAAGTTCCCGAACTCTGCCTCCAGCCTGTCTTTGTGCAACCGAGTAGGGAAGGGGAGTTGAGGGATATAATCCTTCACTACTGGTTGCGGGTTAGGCGCAGTCACCTCAACCTCCTTCTCTGCTTCTTCTTCAGCCGCTAGAGATGCCGAGGCAGGGGCCTCCCTCTCTTGTGCCCGAACAGGTGGATCAGCAGTCATCTTGCCACTCCTGGTTGTGATGACATTGCAGTGCTCATTCGGGTTCTGCGGATGAGGGATGGTCTGACCGGGTAAAGTACCAGGAGCCCTTTGTGCCACTGCTTGAGCCACGCTCCCCAGCTGGGTTTGGTATCCTGCAAGACAGCCTGTGTGTTCCTCTGGCCAGCCTCAAGAGCCAGGAATTTAACCGAGGCTTTTTCCATGAACTGCTCAATAGTGTTGAATTTCTGAGCACTAGAACTGGCGAGAGAACCCACCAAGTCCCGCAATTCAGCCATCGGATCATTCTGCACTAGGGTGGCAGGAGCTGCACCTGGCTATTGGAAAGGTCGCGGCTGTGATTGAGCAGCATGCCCCTGCATGGGCTGGTAGAGGGACTGCTACTGCTGCTGGAATTGCCCTTGTCTGGCTGATATGGCGGCCTCTGGAAGCCCGGTGGTCCCTGGGGGACTGGTGGTCTGGAATTTGCCCCACCCCAGGAGAAGTTGGGATGCTGGCGCCACCACTCGTTGTAAGTGTTACTGTAGGGGTCATTGCGCCTAACATTATTGATGAAGTTCACATGCTCATGGGGTGTGGTCGATTCCTTCATCGCCTGACAGTCTTCCACCGTATGATGGGTGCTCTCGCACCAATGGCAGAGCATCGTCTGCTGCTGTCCGGTCCCTGGAATCATCCCGGAACGATCGATAGCTGAAACCAGCTTCGATACCACCTTCACCAAATCAGAGGAATGGGTTCCCACAGAATGTACACCTCGGCTTGGTGCTCTCCTCGACCTCCTAGCAGTGCCCCAATCATACCCATTCTCTGCCATCTCCTCAAAGAGTTGATTCAGCTGTGGCAGTGTTTTGGTCAGCATGTTCCCGCCACAAACCGAGTCAATCAGCTGCTTGTCTTCTGGGAAGAGGGTGTGATAGAAGGTGCCCACCTTGAAAGCTCATTGAAGCCATGATTGGGACACCTAAGGAAGAGACTGTTTTATCTCTCCCATGCGTCCCGGATGGTCTCATCCTCATCCTGAGCAAAATGGGTAATTTGCTTCTGCAGGTCCGCCGTCTTGGATGGAGGATGGTAGCGGGTTAGGAACTTGTCTGCCAGGTTGGAGAATGTGGTGATGGAGCCCGGAGGTCGAGTGTCTAGCCACTCCTTGGCCTGCCCCTCTAGGGTGAATGGGAAGTACCTCAACTGGATGGCATCTGCTGGGACCCCATTGATCTTGATTCCATCGATGAGCTCGTGGAATCGCCTGAGATGTGATCGGGGGCACTCCCCCTCTTTGCCACGGAACACCACCGAACCGCGCAGCATGGTGATTACTGAGGTGCTCACCTCAAAATTGTTGGCTAGGACATGAGGGTGTTGAATGGGTGACCTCATGTCTGCAGCCCTGGCGGTCCAGTAATGTCCCATGGTATGCTCCTCGGGAAGGACCACATCATGGTCCTGTGGATCCCCCATCTCTTCTTCTTCAGTGATCTGCAGCTGTGCTAACTCCTCCTCCGCAGCCAGTCGCGCCTTTAGAGCCCGCTTGAAGTTCCTGCAGGTTCGTTCAAGCTCCGGGTCTAATGGTAGTAGAACTCCCGACTGGCTACGGGTCATGCACTACCCTCACACAATCAGCAGAAGCAACCCGTGAAGGCACACAGGTGGAAGAGATAAAATGCAATAAAGTAAAAGCTGGAGTAACGAATTTTCACGTTTCCCCAATAACCTAGAGGCTCCCCGGCAACAGCGCCAAAAACTTGACACGCCAAAACACAACACCAAACTACGAACAAGTATAATCGCAGTCCGGGAATGCAGTAAAGTGGCAAGTTCTATTATCAACCCGGGGTCTAGATCTACTGCTTACTATGTGATTATCTATTATCTAGCCAACTAAGTCAAGTGATTTTTGTTTTAAGCAAAAGCAGTAAGAAAGCAGGAATTGGTTCGGTTTTCTCAAGCAAAGAAGAGTCACTCGGGAATGAGTCCCCCTAGCTCCTTAGTTAGGTCTCAATTGTAATTACCCTGGGTTGATTAACTGTTGATTAGATTGCGGAAGATCCGACAGTAGTTTGGAATCTCTTAAGCTGACCAAGCCCTCTCAGTCTAACTACCCGGCAGACGACTAGTCTTCACCGGGATAGAAAGCTGAAGCAATAAGCACAGAACTCCACTACTGGAATTGGATTCCAGTACAAAGCAGTAAACTGGCTAACTCTCGTATAGCCAATCTCCTACTAACGAATGATGAAGCTCTAACAACCTAATCAGATTCTATCTATCTCAGGTTGCAGCAGAAATCAAGAAAAGCTGATCAGACTTCAATCAATTCAATAAAACATGCATCATTCGATTAAAACCAAACAGTATAATCATCCCAAGTCATTACAATCAAATCCCTAACACATGGAACTAGGGTTCTTCATACCCAAGTGAGAGAAGGGTTCTACTCCATAGAAAGAGAGAGGAAAACAGAATACAAAGCAGTCATACTCATAACAATGGGAAGAATCTGCTCTGGGATGATGATTTCCACTCCTATAACGATCTCCAAGCTCGATTTGATGAAACCCAGCTCCAAGATAGCTTCTAGGATGTGTTCTTCGTACTTTCTCTCTCTAGGGCTCTGTTTTTGCTCTGAAAATTCGATTCTCTCACTTGTGGCCCAAAATTGGGTAAAAACCAGAAATTCCCGACTCACACGACCGTGTGGCATACCCAGATGCCCGTGTGAGGTCAAAACGCCGCGTTCCGATTATGTGGGTTTCAGGCTTCCTACACGGCCAAGGGCACACGGCCGTGTAGCTCACCCAGCCTGCCCGTGTGAAGCCTCGCAGAATTCCACACGGCCAAATTACTCATTCACACGGCCGTGTGGATTGTATTTGTGCCCGTGTGAAGGCTCGCACAATCCCACACGGCCACCTTGGTCACTTGCACGGCCGTGTGAGTTTTGTGTGTGCCCGTGTGGCTTCCTCAGCGACTTGCCTCACGCCCGATCTTCGTCCAATCGACCCCGAACTCGCTCCCAAACCTTCATTCACGTACTAGGACCTGAGATATCACAAACAAGCACAACCTAGCGTGAAATCGGCCTAAAACACGAGAATCAACACCTCAAACGGCTCCAGAATAGGGGTAAAAACATGTGCAATTAACGGCTTATCAGTATCCTCTTTCAGTCTTTAGTTATCATTGTTGTTTGTTGAAGAGAATGGATGGTTTGGCTGTTGATGGAAATTCTCCTGGTGCAAAATTCAGTTATCAACTCTCCATAGTGACAGCCCCCACCTCCATTTCTGTTTCGAGTTGGATGACAAAGTTTTGTTGGAAGGCGAATATTTGTGTGGTGTTCAATGAATTTTCTAGGGTAGTAACCAACTTGATGCTGGTTTGTAGATTCACACCACCAGTCAGTCTTCACCAATGCAGAAATATAACCTAGCCATCAATGATCTCGACAAGGAACTTGACCACTTGAGATCTGCATTTCAGCTATGGAATATTGGTGCCTTTTTCTTGACTTGAGAGGCTTATGTCATAAATGAACAAATTTATGTAGCAAGTAGTTAGAGATAAAAGGTATTCATTGAACCTGAGTTGTTTGCAGGTATGAAGCTGAGGAGTTTTGGGTTGGACTGTAACCATCTTATTTGAACTACAACATATAAATTTGGCGAGATTTGTAGGTCACTATGTTGAAGGTCCTCTCCTACAGTTTCAGTCAAAAGGAGGAATGCTGCTAACTTTATGTTCTACAGAAGATGTGTCTAAAAGCATCTTATTTGAACTACTGCTTTCCTAGAGTCCAGAATTCAGAGATAATGAGCTGCAATGGTGACTTACTTAATTTGCATTATTGAATCGCAGAGCAGGATAATCAGGAGGTTTCTGAAATTAAAGCTGGGTTGGCAGATGCTGATACCTTGGTAATATCAATAGCTTTATTTGTACCCAATTTTATGTTCCATATAAAGTCTCTTTATTAATAGGACATCATTCTTATCTCAGGTCACCAAACTTGTTTGCAGATGCTACATTTTCCAGCCAATAAGTATTTGTTCGTCTTAGGACATCAGCGATGCAAAACCTTTGCATTACATATTTACATTAGTTGTCAAGTGCAATAATTTTTACGCTTTACAACATGTTAACAAATAGCAGGAGAGAGAGCAATGCCCATAATGCCAGTCCAGAGCTTCATCACCATATTTCTAACATTTTGTAAATACAAATTGCAGCTGAAGCATGCCTTTAAATGTCCAGTTTAACATATATAATATAATTAAATTGCAGCATTGCATTTTTTGAAATTTAAGTTTGAACAAATATGAACTGCTCACCAAGTTCCCTCCAAATACCCATAATCCCAGCATGAAGCATGCCTTTACAAATATAATAATTCTACGATTAGTGCTCTTTTTGAAAATGCATTTGCTTTTTACTTTTGCCTTTAAAATGTGGAACTCAATGGCAAAGATGTACGTTAATTGAGCAACATGCTAATTAACTATCAAACTCAACATACAAAGTTTCATGAACAAACTTTCAATACTCTAAAACAACACACTGCCAATAATACGACGATTCATGTTATCGTCACCTATATGATCATGTTGATGCAACTTTAGTCCCCGTGGCGTAGCCACGAGTATTGATTCTAGTATATAGAAAAGCAAAGGATTGGATTGGATCGGAGAATACTCACCATTCTGGTCTAGGTAAGAGACAACCCTTCTTGACACCTAATTTCCCAACTCAAATCGGTTTTGGTTATCAGGACGAAGAAAATCCGTCCTCAACTTGTTTGTTACTTCCACAAATCACCTACCTATTCTTGACAACCCCAAACCCAACTCTTAAAATGGTTAAGAGTTAGAAAGCTTGACTTGAGAAGGGGTTACTTATAAATGACGAACCTGTGATTTAGCTCCATGCTCCCCTTAAACTATGTATCTTTTCTCCCCCGAAATTGATGTTAGGGTTTCGCACTGCAGGGAATTAGAATGGAGAGCTTTTAAGTTGCTTTTGCTATCAGAAAACAAAGGGCGGAAACCCAAATTTTCAAGCCTTCCAAAAACCTCGCTTTATTTTGTTTCTGAATCGCTATTCGTCGCCCTAAAATTCAAAGTTTGTGGCCCTAAAATGCACCTAATTGACCCTTTTATCCTCCTGACTCAATTTCTAACCAAAACCTACGAACAGTCTCTTACCCTGCCAACCATCGCCGAGCTCCTCTATCCTCCGCTCGCTACTGTCGCTGCCAGATTCCTCTCACCAACAGCTGACCACCGTCGGATTCTACTGTTGCTGCCGGATTCTACTGCTTAAATATATGTGATATGATAAAGAGTGGTCAAAGACTTGGATCTCTCTGTATATATGATTCATTAAATAATGTCTTTGAATTCCTCGGAATATCTTTTCTTGGTTAAACCATTCGCAGTAATAGGACTCTGATTCCATTGGAGAAAGACAACTTTATATTCATCAGGGGAAAAAATACAGCTTTATGCTTTGCAGTTGCAGCCGTCCACATTAACTATGTGCTTATGCATATCATATAATTGGAAGGGAAGGGGGAAAGAGATTCAGCCAACCGACCATCAAGAAAGCCGACATGTTCTCAACTCGCCGGAAAATGAGTTTTCAATCCATCCGCTGGTTCCAGCGGCGGGTACGAAAAATGCCCGGATATGGAAAGTCCTCTGAAAATAGGAAATAATTTGAGTCATTTTGATAAAAAATTAGGGCGACGAATAGCAATGCCTTGTGTTTTCCCCCCACAAGCCATATTATTTTATTTTGCTTTCCCTCCATAAAATTAGAATCATCAACGACGACAAGAAATCATTTTTTATCGTTAACCTTCACTTCACTATCTGCTTCCAACGATGGCTTTCTTCGCCTCGTCGTTAATTTTTTGTCGTTAATTGTAGTGTGGTGCAATGACTCTGTCCATGCACTACATAGTAAGTGAATTTAATCTGTGGTGGAGTTGGAAATCATACTATGATGACGTGGGGATGAAGATTGTAAGTTTCCATTAAGTGAAAATTGAACAAAAATGTCCTAAGTGTATAGATTAACTCGCGATTACACACTAATTAAGCTATAGTTTCATTCATCTTACTTATATTTAAAGGTAATAATTTGCCGGATGGAACTAATTATCTCGTTGGAGCTAAAAATGTGGTTTGTAAACAAGACATTTGCAATGTTGATCATCTTTCGTGAAAGTAAGGGTTTGTCAAATTAAATAGAGTGAATGACTTGTCCTATCATCAAAGAAAAATGAATTTGACAATGTTTATGGATTGCGAAACTCAAATCTCTAAATCAAATTCATAATCTAAATATACTTACTTGAAATCAAGCAATGTCACACAAACCATAAGTATTGAGAAAAAACATGTTAGTACTCTCCGATGACTAACATTTAAGTGTCAAAGACTAATAAAAGCTAAGTTGAAAAGCCTCTATCTTAATCAATCGGCTAAGTTTGATAAACCGATTCATCTTATTTTTAAGAAATAATTGATTGAGATAAATTTATACAAAGAGGATGAAAAACTAGCCAAATTTAGTTCATGCATGATTCAATCTAGATATCAATTTAGAAACGATTCAATCAATTTCTTTCTCCTTTCATTTCCTCTCCTTCTAAATTTCTAGAACAGAATTTTACAAGGGTTTTTGTTCCCACCCTTAAATTTTCCCATTTATTCCTTTAATTGTAAAAAAAAAAAATTAAGAATACCATCTTTAATTTGTCTCCCTAAAGGATTAATTATCATGGTCTGGCTAACGAACTGCATCTTCTCAATCCTCAACGTCATGATCATGTTGTTGGGCATCGCCACCATGGCGACGGCGGGGATAATGCAGCTGGGCGGAAGCAATTCCGACTGCCAGAAATGGTTGCAGAGCCCGTTGCTGATAATGGGCTGCTTCCTGTTCTTCATCTCGTTGATGGGCCTGATCGGCACCTGCTGCAGGATGAGAGCGGTGCTGTGGATCTACTCCTTCTTGACGTTTCTCATGATACTGGCCGCCTTGGCTTTCGTCGTGTTTGCCCTCGTCGTCACCAATTCCGCCGCCGGGAAGGCACTCACCGGCGTCGGGTACGAGGAGTACCGGCTGCGGGACTACTCCGATTGGCTCCGGGATCATTTCGTCAGCGGGAAGCGGTGGAGCAAGGTCAAGAGTTGCATGGCCGACGCCGATGTTTGTCTTGATCCTCATGAATCCAAGTCTTGGACCATTTTGCAGGTGATGCATTTTGGCTTGCCTTCATAGGTAGTTCTTTGACTTTGAAGCCTTAACAATTTATGCCTTAATTATTAGGTTAGTAATATGAGATGGAAGACCTAAATAACGATCATGAATACGAGCCGTCAAAGATTTTTTTTGAAAAGTTTGTATTTTAATTAGAACGATGAACATCATAAGATAGGAGGTCTAGATAACGATCACGAACCCCATATATCGTTGCTACTCCCAAAGTATTTGCTAGCTTCATAGGTAGCCCGCAACGCATGTAATAAATTTTGCTTCCTTAACAATGGAATCGATGTACTAACTAATTAATTAATCAACCATCTTAATGATGATGACGATGAACAGGCTAGCTGCTGCAAGCCACCAGACGAGTGCGGGTTCGTCAAATCGGGCAACAAGAAGGCGATGTGGGTGATGCCGCCGCGGCCGCGGTCATCGACCAAGGACGCGGACTGCGCCGCATGGAGCAACGATCCCAGCAAAAAGTGCTTCGACTGCAGCTCCTGCAAAGCCGGCGTGCTGGAAGACGTCAGGAAAGAATGGAGGACGCTGGCTATCATCAACCTGTGTGTTCTTCTTCTCTTTGTCCTCATTTACTCTGTTAGTTGCTGCGCCAGGAGAGGGATTAACCCTTACTGTACTAAGAACTACAAAGGGTATTACTACCCTTGATTCAGTTCTGCCCTGATATGATTATTGTGGATAGGTAAGCTAGTTCCGTAGTTTGTTTCTAGGATTCAAAGTAAAGTGATTCAAATCCTTTCATTTCTTCTCCACTTGTTTTGGTGGTGCCTCATCCTCGTGTAGTGTATGGATTTATGCTATTTTAGGTTAAAACAAATTAGATTTTGGATGTAGAGGCTCTTGCCTTTCTTCTTCTTTTTTTAATTTAGTGGAAATAATCAATCACGAACCCGATAGCAAAAGTCTACAACAAAGATACATTCTCATTCTCACGAGTGAGAGGCTTCATTTAGGATTAAAAAAAAATGTACAATCCTATAACTAACTAATGTTCTCTTTATTTCTTATTATCCGAAATAGCGACACGTGTGTATAACATACCACGAATATTAACTCAAATCCTACGCAAATACTGAAAAACTACAATAATGAACCGACAAAAAATTCATTGGTTTGACTATGAAATCGACTAGTTTCTCCAACAACATCGCACAAATTGAACCACACATTCAAACATCAAAACTGCTTTGCTGATGAGAAGTTTACTCTCCCAACATTCTCCCCCAAGCTAGAGATTAGGCAGTAGCAAAAACCAGACTTAGCATGATATCTTTACCGAACAAATTACTGCAAAAATGAAATGCCGAACAGCAAGCCAAAGGTAACACTTTCCAAACCAAAATGCATCTACTTCATACTGTCCAACTGAAACTAAGTTCCATGTCACCTAAGAGACTTATGGATGTTCTACTCATCATCATGCATATTCAAGTGCAGACAGAGGAAGGAGTAGTGGCCGCCCCTCAATTGTGTTGTAATACCCCGATAATTTAGATTTAGGTTCGACCTTAATGCGTGATCGGTTGGATTGACGATTAAGTATTAAGAGTTACAACCGCGGATTAGGAATAACAATAATAACTATTATTATTATTACTATAATTAAAAAAAATTATATATACAGACCTAGAGGACCGAGAGGCCCTCATTTAATTGCTCCAAACCCTCTCAATTAATCTCCCCAGAGAGCAAGAATCCCCCAAGCAGCCAAACCCTAACTAGGGGCCGCAAATTCCCAAACCAAAATTCCCCTCCCAGTTTTTTTTGCCCAACAACCGCCGCCCTGATCTTGTTCCCAGCCCCGCGCGAGGCGAAAGAAAAAGAGGAAGAAAGAAGAAAGTGGCGCTCGCAGCCGATCCCGATTCCAATTCGAATCCCATCCCTTTCGTGTTTCTAGGTAAGGATCACGAAACCCTTCGCGATTTCTAAACTCGATTTATCGATGTCTAATCCGAAGCTCGTATTTTATTAGCGGTGACGTTTCAGGGTTCGATCAACGGGGAGATCAACGTCCCAGGTCATCCAACTAGGCCTAGGCACGTTCTAGAGGTAAGGGAACTTGATCCCTTTGAGTTAGATCGATCAATTTGGTAATTTTTCATAAGGATGCACTTCTGGGTTTTAGCAACAGGCTTTTAGTGACAGATTTTGATTGGTCACTAAAGCTGCTGGGAATTTCTAGAAACGTATTTTTGGATGTTTTAATTGTTTCAAGTCTCTGTGGGTGACAATTTTATAAATTGAGGGACGTCTAGGAAATGACTGTAATTTAATTTGATGATTTTTGAAGATGTATTTTTATTTTTAGAAATTTTTTTAATATTCGTTTTAATTAAATAAAAATCTTTCCGATGGGTTTTTAAGGGTTTGATAATTTTCCAGGGTATAGGTGCTCATGGCTGACATGGGAAGATTATTTTCCAAAATTATAAGAAGGTTCAAGTTAGGTGAAAAATTCGTCCAAGATAAAAATAATTAAAAAAAATGGTCGTTTTTGAATGGATAAATTCTAGAAAATTCTTCATCAAAAAAAAAAAATTCTAGAAAATTTTAATGAGGTTAGAGGACCTTTGGAATGAGGTTCAAGGACTGGAGTTTGAGGAGAGCATGTTCTAGTGATTCAAAAGGGGTTTTTAATCAAGAAAGGTCGTCTAAGAAAATGGATTCTCGTTAATAGGTTTTCCCAAGATAATCCGGCTAAGGAGGGGTTTCTTCGAGGAAGGAGTTGAGGAGTCATCTTTTCAAGGTGAGTGTAAAAGGGGTAAAATCTCTGTCGTAGGTCTTTTAGTTTCTGCTTTTCGTTCAAGTTATTAATTAGTTAATTTTTTAGTAATGCACGATATGTGTGTGAGGCATCCCAACGCCTGTAAGGGTGGAGGCACGCGTGGTGCTATGTATGAATGTATGTATGTTTATATGGTTGATGGTATGAGGAACCCCCGGGCGGTTGGGCCACTACTAGACGCGGTAGATGGTCGGATCACTGCTGGACGGCGAGACGTAACGCAGCAGTTGATCGAGTATGTTGGGTCACTACTGGACGGCGAGACGTAACGCAGTAGTTGACGGGCATGGACTGGACGGCGAGACGTAACGCAGTGCCATTGCCGAGTTTGGGTATGCAACCGGACGGCGAGACGTAACGCGATTGGCATACTAGGGTAGGACACAGGACGGCGAGGGGTAACGCGGTGGTCCTAGAGCTTTGGGTATAGATAAGGATAGAGGTCGAGAACTTCTGTGAGTTAATGTTGAATGAGTTGATAAGAATGGTTATTTAAGAGCAGAAAGCGAGAACGGCTTTCATTCTAGGAAGGCATTCCCCTAATAATGTGTTTAGTAAGGAGTTTGCCTAGGGCAAAGACCTTAGGAAATAACGACGAGACTGACCCCTTCTCACTCACCAGGTTGAGGATAGTCTAACAGACGTTGATCACGAGAAGAAGCAGGGAGAGGCGAGCAGCAGTACCAGCGTCGACGGGATATCAGAAAGCTCGTGAGGAGTTAAGTTAGATTAGTTAATTTTGTTTCTATTTCATGGTTATTAGTATAAACTGGAGATTTTGTGTTAAGTCGTTTTAAGTGTTTGAGATTGAGAATTTTTCCCAACTGTTGGGGCATTTGTTAAAAATTCTTAAATAATGTCAGTTTGTTTATTTTAAAATGTGGTTTGGGTTGCTCCGGAGTAACCGGTTTTTGGTTTGAGTTGTGGTTTAGTTTTTGATAAGAGACGGGACGTGTCATTTTGTTATCAGAGCCGACACTCCTCTGTTCCTTGGCCTCCAAGGAATACTGGAGTGACGATCTGCGTTTTTCGAGGTTTCAGTTTTTAAAAGGAAAAAGTGAGTGTCAGTTAAAAGTTTGGCTAAACGAGTCAGAGTCTTTGGGAAATTTTTATAATCTCTAGTACACTCTAATCATGATAAGGAAATAACTTTAGGATGCCCCATGGGATTATGATACGTCTTGGGAAGGAGAAGGAGCAAGTTCCTAGAGGGATCGTTTAGTGAAACCCCTTCATGAGTGAGAAGAGGAGGGTTAAGGGAGTTCATATTCTACGGGGATGTGAGCTGATCAGAATAAGGTTCTGGAAGGAGCCAAGTAGTTAGTACATCGACTGGTAGAGCCAATGAGTAATGGCAAATGTCGTCATAATCGAGAGGAAAGGGTGCAAGGAAGGGTCGTGGAGTTCAGGAGAATTGAACATAGGGCTACAACCCCAAGGAGCAGCTGAAAGTTAGACTTTGAAAAATACTAGGGCCACCTAAGCCACCAAAGCAAGAACTAAGTATATCATAGGGAGCATACCAAGATGTCATGGGATCAATACATCAAGGCTAGAAGGAGGTACAACTCCTTGCAAAGAGATTATCACAAGTGAAACTTGGAGTCGTCACAACGAACAAATTTCAAGGTCGAAATTTTTTTTAAGGAGGGTGGAAATGTGATGTCTCGATTTTGGATTTAGGTTCAACATCAACTACCAGGAGAATTGGATCAACATGACAAGCCGAATTGGCATTTTGTTTCACCATGTTTGGATCAAGCTGGGAAGTAAAAAGGGTAGTGAGACACTTATGATTACACGAGTGCTGCAAGCTAAGGAAACTAATTTGAGCAAAAGGTACCAACGAAGTTGTTATAGTAAGAATAGATGATTGTGGGAAGGAAGAAAAAGAAGGGTGTTGATGGAAGGACGAGTTCCGAGCAAATTTCGGGGACGAAATTTTTGTAAGGGTAGAGGAAATGTAACACCCCGATAATTAAGATTTAGGTTCGACCTTAATGGGTGATCAGTTGGATTGACGGTTAAGTATTAAGAGTTACAACCGCGGATTAGGAATAATAATAACAACTATTATTATTATTACTATAATTAAAAAAATTATATATACAGACCTAGAGGGTCGAGAGGTCCTCAATTAATTGCCCCAAACCCTCTCAATTAATCTCCCCAGAGAGCAAGAATCCCCCCAGCAGCCAAACCCTAACTAGCAGCCGCAAATTCCCAAACCAAAATTCTCCTCCCAGTTTTTTGGCCCAACAACCACCGCCCTGATCTTGTTCCCAACCCTGCGCGAGACGAAAGAAAAAGAGGAAGAAAGAAGAAAGTGGCACTCGCAGCCGATCCCGATCCCAATCCGAATCCCATCCCTTTCGTGTTTCTAGGTAAGGATCACGAACCCCTTCGCGATTTCTAAACTCGATTTATCGATAGTCTAATCTGAAGCTCGTATTTTATTAGCGATGACGTTTGAGGGTTCGATCAACGGGGAGATCAACGTCCCAGGTCATCCAACCTAGGCCTAGGCACGTTCTAGAGGTTGATCCCTTTGAGTTAGATAGATCGATTTGGTGATTTTTATGAGGATGCACTTCTGGGTTTTAGCAACAGGCTTTTAGTGACAGATTTTGATTGGTCAATAAAGCTACTAGGGATTTCCAGAAACGTATTTTTGGATGTTTTAATTGTTTCCAGTCTCTGTGGGTGTTTGTTCCGGGGTTTAATAATTTTATAAATTGAGGGACGTCTAGGAAAAGGCTGTAATTTAATTTGATGATTTTTGAAGATGTTTTTTTATTTTTAGAAATTGTTCTAATATTTTTGTTAATTAAATAAAAATCTTTCTGAGGGGTTTTTAAGGGTTTGATAATTTTCCAGGGTATAGGTGCTCATGGTTGACATGGGAAGATTATTTTCCAAAATTATAAGAAGGTTCAAGTTAGGTGAAAAATTCGTTCAAGATAAAAATAATTAAGAAAAATGGTCGTTTTTTACTGGATAAATTATAGAAAATTTTAATGGGGTTAGAGGACCTTTGGAATGAGGTTCAAGGACTGGAGTTTGAGGAGAGGATGTTCTAGTGATTCAAAAGGGGTTTTAAATCAAGAAAGGTCGTCTAAGAAAATGGACTCTCATTAATAGGTTTCCCCAAGATAATCCGGCTAAGGAGGGGTTTCTTCGAGCAAGGAGTTGAGGAGTCATCTTTTCAAGGTGAGTGTAAAGGGGGTAAAATCTTTGTCGTAGGTCTTTTAGTTTCTGCTTTTCGTTCAAGTTATTAATTAGTTAATTTTTGAGTAATGCGCGATATGTGTGTGAGGCATCCCACCTCCTGTAAGGGTGGAGGCACGCATGGTGCTATGTATGAATGTATGCATGTTTGTATGGTTGATGGTATGAGTAACCCCCGGGCGGTTGGGCCACTACTGGACGCGGTAGATGGTCTGATCACTGCTGGACCGCGAGTCGTAACGCAGCAGTTGATTGAGTATGTTGGGTCACTACTGGACGGCGAGACGTAACGCAGTAGTTAACGGGCATGGACTGGACGGCGAGACGTAACGCAGTGCCATTGTCGAGTTTGGGTATGCAACCGAACGGCGAGACGTAACGCGGTTGGCATACTAGGGTAGGACACCGGACGGCGAGGGGTAACGCGGTGGTCCTAGAGCTTTGGGTTGAGATAAGGATAGAGGTCGAGAACTTCTGTGAGTTAATGTTGAATGAGTTGATAAGAATGGTTATTTAAGAGCAGAAAGCGAGAACGGCTTTCATGCTAGGAAGGCATTCCCCTAATAATGTGTTTAGTAAGGAATTTGCCTAGGGCAAAGACCTTGGGAAGTAACGACGAGACTGACCCCTTCTCACTCACCGGGTTGAGGATAGTCTAACAGACGTGGATCACGAGAAGAAGATGGGCGAGGCGAGCAGCAGTACCAGCTTCGACGGGATATCAGAAAGCTCGTGAGGAGTCAAGTTAGATTAGTTAATTTTTTTCTGTTTCATGGTTATTAGTATAAACTGGAGATTCTGTGTTAAGTCGTTTTAAGTAATTGAGATTGAGAATTTTGCCCAAGTGTTGGGACTTTTCGTTAAAAATTCTTAAATAATGTCAGTTTGTTTATTTTAAAATGTGGTTGGGGTTGCTCCGGAGTAACCGGTTTTTTGTTTGAGTTGTGGTTTGGTTTTTGAAAAGAGACGGGACGTGTCATGTGTTCTCAAAAACATATATGCACGCACACACGAAGGGTTCACGCTAGGGTTCTAAGGATTAATTAGTTTATTAACTAGCTTATAATCCGGCCCGTTGGCCGGAATGTTCATATTTTAATATTTATATTTTTATGTTATGTTTAAGTCTATTAATTTGTTTAAGTTTATTGAAAATCATTCAATCGAGATTCTACATAAAGAATGAATATATAGGTCGAATATTCAGGAAAATACCCTCCTCATTTAAGAATTTAAAAATGTATCATTAATCCCATTTTCATAATAATAATTGAGCCCCCATTAAAATGATATTGGTTAATAGATTGTCCAAAAATATATAATATAAAAGCTCATTGGAATTCTCACACGATCCATAGATAGTTTAAAACTTAAATGAAACCTCACAATCCCACATAAATGGTTCAAAGCTCTCCTCTATGAATAACATGCCACTAATAAAACGGCTAAATTACACGTTTGGTCACTTAAATTATACAAATCTTTCACGTTTGCCACCCGAATTACTTTTCTTTCTTATTCGCCACTAAGTTTACGAATCGTTTCACGGTTGGTCACCGGCCGTTACACTCCGTTAAGTTTGTCTTACGTGGCAGTCAACTATAAAGTTTGACCGTTAACTAGATGACGTGGAAATTAAAAAAAATAAAATAAAATAAAAAAATTTCTTTCCACCTCATCATTGCCGCCGCCGCCCACACACTTCTCCTTCTCCTCGTCAAACTGGCCGAGAATCAGTGGGCTCGGGCGGCGGACACGATCGGAGTCGAACGAGTGGGAGACCAAGCAGTAGGAGAATCGGTTCTCGAGCTGAGGCGAATCGGCGGCGAGCTGAGCTGGCAAGGATAGCACTCCCCGGCCGAACTCTGCTACTCCGACGGGCTCCGTCAACGCCGTGTGGGCGCATCCGAAAGTGAAATTGCGGAGCTTCAGTGACGGAGACGCTAACGGGAGGGTAACGGCGTCTGTGTAAAGCCGGGCCACCAAGCTTCCGTCGCCGTAAGCGTAGTAGAAGGAAGCGCAATTGTAGGAGTGACAATCGAAGGTTTCGATTAAGTCCAAGGGGCAATTAGCGATTGCGCAGGTGGATTGAGTTTCGGTCTTGCCCTCATAGAGGATGCACAAATGGCACCCATCACCACCTTTTTCCTTTGCCTCTGTTCATGTCTAGACCTTCTGATCAACCCATCACCTTGGCTACTCCAACTCCATGTTCACCATTCCTCCTTCTCGTCGTCTTCTGATCAGCGGCGGCAAATCTCACCGGCGTCGCCGCTCACCCTTTCTGCTGTCGAAATGGGATACATTTTTCCTGATGTTTATTGATCTTCAATTCCTCAGCCACATGAGGTTAATTGCAGTTCGCAGCTTTATGATGCATCTCCAGTGGCAGCTTTAATTCTGATGGCTGGCTGGCTGGAGAAGAAGACTCTTTTCTTCTGTTCATCTGAGGGCCCATAAAAACTGTGTATGTAGCACATAATTTTAGTCTCTTTGCTTTTATCACCCGTTTCTTTATTGAATTTTTCGGTCATTTTTGTAATTTATTAAATTTTATTAAATTATTAATATGATAAATTATATAGACAAAATAAGTGCAATGATGAGGTGGAAAGAAAATTTTATTTTTTTTAATTTCCACGATTTTTTTTTAATTTCCACGTCATATAGTTAACGGTCAAACTTTATAGTTGACTGCCACGTAGGACAAACTTAATGGAGTGTAACAGCCGGTGACCAACCGTGAAACGATTCGTAAAGTTAGTGGCAAATAAGAAAGAAAAGTAATTCGGGTGGCAAACGTGAAAGATTTGTATAATTTGAGTGACCAAACGTGTAATTTAGCCATAAAAAGAAAAAGAAATGAAGATTTGTTGATTCAAGTAAATCATATGCTAACAACTCAACTAAAAGAAAACCATCAAAACTTGATAGCAAATAACAAAATTAGAATTACATCCAATAAACTAATAGACTCGATCAAAGTAATGAGGCACAAAATTAGACAATCCTTATCTACAGGTTCCAGTAGTTTCAATAGTGAATCGACATTAACTTTAGTAAATCAATCAATGATTCCTCGTTTTAACATAAACATAGGTTGTGGTAGTTGCAACAACCATAACACCTAAAGATCCAATAGTTTCCACTCTCCGTTGTACAAACAACTTTTTATCCCCTCCATCTTCAATCTCTCGACGTATATGTTTTAAACCAAAATTCAATTTCTAATCCTCCTTCTGCAACTCCATTTATGCTACTTTAATGGACCTTCTCTCCATGAACCTGAATTTCTCTTTCAATTGAGTTTCTTGTCAGTTTGCTCTCCAACTCCTCAATCCTCTTTATTGTATTTGGCCAACTCATCCTCCTCGGGGTAGTTTTAATAAGCTCGTAAAACCAACACTCATCTTCAATTCCATCAATATGCTCTTCTCCTCCTTCTCTGCCTTCACCTGATCTAGTTCACTTCCATGCCCTTTCAATACCCTCTCCATTTTCATTAATATCCTGATCATCTACCACTTCTCTCTCTTCAACTGCTCCGATTATGCTTCTATGTCTTTCAATACCCTCATTGGTTAAATCACTACCCTGACCAACTGCCTCTTCACTGCCTTCACTTGTTGCAAACTACTTCCATGACTTTTTATACATCTTCCTCAAAATCACAATCAACTAACCAATATCAATCCATGGCCTTGGATCAGTTTTACACTCTCTATGAACATCTCAATACCACAAAGTCTAAATCGAAATATTCTTTTCAGTTAATCATGAACTTGAGTTTATCAAAATCTAATCCACTCCTTCTAAGTTGGCACAAAGATAGTTTGCACAAAGATATTATTGTTTCACTATAGTTCTGAAAATTAATGATAATTTAAGAATTCAGAGTCGTTTCTACATATTCAATACTATAATTTGATATGAAATATTCGAACCAACAATATTTTGGTTGCAAATTTATGGTTATCGTCTATTTATAATATAGATAAAATTTTAAATTAAGTATTAAACTATAATTAAAATAAAAATATTAAAATCGAAGTATCAAAACACCAAATAAGTACTTACAGAATATTTATTGGGCTAGCTAACTGTTGAAAAGTTTTGTGATTTCATATTTTAGCTTCGTATATATTTTTAATTTAAAAAAATACAACAAATCTACATAGTCTGATTGATTTTAAACCTTTACTTTGTTTGAAGTGACCATGGTTCAAATCTCAATATGTCTATCTTTTTTCTGTAAATAAATAAAAAAAATACAGATAATTGTGAAGACAAAAATGTCCTTCCTAATTTTCCTCTCATTGCAGGAAATTTGAAAAGGGAGATTAAGTTTCCAATAATTAAATCATATACCCTAAACCTATAGAACTTAAACCCTAATATCACATAAATTAAGAACATAAGCAATGATTCTGATTCGCCAAGATGTATACAACATACCATATGCACTATATTAGGATTTAGTGAATTATGATATAGAATTTAGTTACGTGATTAATCTATGGTCTAGTGGCTCATTTGTCAATGGTATTTAGTCTTTCAATTCTATGCTCATAATTCTCAACCATTAGGGAAATTGTTAGCCAATGATTTTTGGTCATTCACTTATAACATTGAAAATGTCTCGTTACAAAACCATAGATCACAAATGTCAAATTTTATGTTTTGAAATAAAATTTTGTATAACACTTTTGTAAACAATCCTTATATTCCTACAAACTACAAAGTCATGTAACCTAATAAATGTAAAAGTTGTAAGGCATACATAAACTCAAAATGTACTATTTGATTCTTGGTGAAGAATTGTGTGATTAGAGGAACTCACTTAATTAGTTGATTCTTAAAGCTACGTAGGGCTGAAAATTTGTCTCTCCCGTCCATGTCCCTGTCTGACCCGTCCCTGAAGGGTTAAGATGTATAACCGTCCCGTCCTTGTCTCCTTCTTGACCCTGTCTGACCCTCAAGGGTTGGGACGGGACGGGACGGGTTAGTGGGTCGACCCTAATCAGCACACTACTTTGTTACAAATTACATTTTGGTACCCAAAATTATTTTTTCTGACAATTTAGTACCTAAATTTGATTTTTTTATAAATAAGTCCATAAATTTTGATGGTAAAATTACGTTTTGGTACCCAAATTTTTTATTTTTAAAAATTAGTACCTAAACTTTTAAAACTTTACAAAAAGGTCCAATGAATTATGAGATATTTGTTGTTGCTAAGGGTCACAGGGTCAAAACGTGACCCGTCCCTAAGTTGTCCCAACCCGTCCCGACCCTTACAGGGTCAACAAATGACTCGTCCATAATCTGTCCCTGTAGACAAACTGACCTGTCCCGACCCTTACAGGGTCAACAAATGACCCATCCCTAATCTGTCCCTGTAGACAAACGGGTCGGGACGGGTCAGTGGGTCTTCCGGGACAAGCTTTCACCCCTAAAGCTAGGTATATCATGATGATTCACTTTGTAAATAATTACAGTTATTAATTAATTCGATGATTGATTGTTGTGGTGGATAGTCCTATGATGTTGAGATATTTCAGTATTTTCTCTCTTTAATTCAAAAAATACATAAACATTGTTGTAGTCTTTGGTTAGGAATATTGACTATCAATCTGAATGACTCGAGTTCAAGTCTTGGTAATGACATTTTTTTACTCGTAAGAAGATATTAAAGTTCTAAGTTGAACTTACAAATTTACCCCTAGCTACAATTAAGGAGAGTGCAAGAAATTTGAAATGCTCAAAATCTCGTGAAGAACGGCTATATATTATAGAGGGATTAATTACAAACAAAAGAGGGGGTAATTTGAGGAATACATATATGTCTAAGGTTGGGGTGTTACAACAAACCCTATGATCAACAACAACAACAACAACAAAAAAACCGTTTCACAACTCTTATTCTCCCTTTTTAAGACGACCGTTTCGCAACTTCAAAAACAGAATTAAAAGACCAACAAAAGATAACTATTTTTCACACACAAACAAGTAAATAAGAGAGAGCCACAAAACAGAAGAGAAAAAAGAAAAAAGGAAAAAACAAAGAGAGCTTAGTTCGCTCTGTCTCCGTCGTCTTTGGTGTCCATCCACACACTCTCCGATCCGACGAAAAAATTCATATCGAGGAGGGACAACACAAGAAATTCAAGAAGCAATGGCGACGACTGTCAGCAACGTGCTAGTCGCGATAATCAACACCATCCTATTAGTGCTAGGCCTAATGGCCGTCGGCACCGGTCTGTACCTGATGATCGCCGGCGACTCCACGACCCAGTGCCGGCAAGGGCTCGAGCGGCCGCTCCTGATCACCGGCGCCGCGCTGGTCGGCGTGGCGGCGATCGGCCTCGTCGGCTCCTGCTGCCGCAACAGCTGCTTCATCTTCCTCTACTTGATCGTCATGTTCGCCGCCATCGTCCTCCTCGCCCTCTTCACCATTTTCCTCATCTTCGTCACAAATCAGAGCATCGCGCGGACCGTCACTAAATTGAAGATCTACAATCTCGACGGCTGGCTCCGTCGCTATTACGTCAACGACGAGAATTGGGGGGACATCAAGAGCTGCTTGATCGACGCCAGGATCTGTTACGGTGTCGTCGCTAAAAATCGTTCCGTCATCGATTTCATCAAGAAGCGGTTCTCCTCTACTCGCGTATGTACCCGATCATACCCCTGCCACTACTCTGTTTTTTCCCCTCCCCTGTTCTTTGATTTAGTTTTGTTAGAGTCATGAACATGGTGTTATTATGTTACAATGTGCAGTCTGGTTGCTGCACACCACCATCTTCGTGTGGTTTCACGATGAGGAACGAGACGTTCTGGATCCCGCCGAAGAAAGGGATCGCGGCGGGGGCAGATCCAGACTGCAATGGATGGAGCAACAAGCAGAACGAGTTGTGCTACGACTGCGAGTCGTGCAAGGCGTCATTCGTGTACAACATCAAGCAGCAGTGGAGGTCTCTGGCGATCATTAACGTCTGTGTTCTGATACTCGCCATCTCGGTGTACGTCATCGGTTGTTGTGCACGGTTTAGCAAATCGTCGTCCAGTTCCAGTAGAAAGTATCTTCCCGGGAAGTACCCTTGATGCTTGTTTTCTCTCTTTCTACTAGTTTCTTCACTAAGTGTAGCTTTCATCTGATATTCATTTGTTCTCTTCTCATTCTTGTTAGTTTCGATCTTTGTAGCTTGATTCAGTTGACCATTCTTCTCACGTTGGATTCATTGTTGTTTCACCCTGTTGTTTCAGTTTCAAAGAAAAAGCTTGTCTACTTGTTTTTAAACTTTTGTCATATGTGTACGTCGGGATAGGCAAACTATATGCATCAGACAGCAGCTTTGTAGTTAGCTGATCATAACAACAGAGTTGGTCCAGTACTCTACCCAAAAAAAAAAAAAAAAGAGTTGGTCAGTAGCTGGGAATGTGATTGATTTCACTTTCAGTGGCACTCGAAACAAAATTGATGCAGTACAGAGACATCGATTCGCATGGATCATTATCAAAGAAGAAATGCTGTAATCTAAGTTCAATAGAGTTGTGATCATACAGACTGAAAGTTCTGGTATCACTAACTGGAGTCTTTACTTCATTTGAGGAAAGTACAACCGAGGAACAAGAAACAGTAGGCTACCAACGACGTCATGAGTTCCAGCGTCCACGTAGGGTGTATTAGAACTGTTGGAATGATGGGAACCAGAATGGAGCCGCATACCCACCCAGTTGCAAGAGCTCCTAGACTGTAATATGCAGAGAGACAGTTTCGTCAGTAAAACAACTTTATGTTTCAGATGAAAGACGACTGTAACTTCGATGTTAGCTCTTCTCGTTCGTGTACTCACCCGATGGCAAAAGCTCTGCCCAGGCTCTTTGTCTTCTCATTGAGGAAATATATGCATGCTGCCAAAGAGACAGCCACCTGCAATAACAGAATAACTGCTCCTTTAGTACAGAAGATATAAGGGATCACAATCTCCACATGTATCCAGAACATAAGTCTCAAGACCACACTGAATCAGTTAATACTTCCAACTCCTATTGCTGGCTCAAACCTATTAGACTGACAAGGATTTTGCTATATGATAAGGGTCTTAGGTGACAGATATGGTGCAGTAGAACAGAGATTAGAGGAATTATTTGTCTCATCCATTGACCTTTTGAGCAAACTCTAACCATCTAGAGTAAAAAAAAAAAATTGACCTTTATCATGCAGGCACAACTACAAAATGGAAAAAACCATTCAACGGTTGACAACCTGAACAAAAGAAGCATAACTTGTTTCTCTAATTTTTACCCTAAGGATTTTCAACTACTCCTAAACATAACTCATTAGATCCTGAACCCAAATATTTTGAGGTGTCACACAATGCAGTTGGATGAGCAACCATTGTGCTGATACTAGCTGAACATTAGTCCAAGTCCAACCGATCCCACTCCATTTTCAGCAAAAACTTCCCATTTGAGTGCTTTAATTTTCAGAGGGTATATATATGGGACCAAAAGATAGCTTTATGCAACCAAAATGAAAGGAGTTTTGGAGAAGGGGGAAATGCAACTAGAAACAATGCAGACGAAATTTTTCAAGAAATGCAAGTAGGCCTAAACTACTAAAACGAAGTTCAAAAAATAGTTGCTTGGCATACTGATACTCCAAGGACAAACAAAGAACCATTTTTCCTATCTGTCCGAAAGGCCCCGCAAATCCTGGAGCCACGTCAGAAAGGAAATTTGAATCCGAATTTCAGGTAACAACATTCCCAACTCTACATGTATCACGTTCATACTTGGCTAATCTACCATTTCAGAGAGCCAGACTAGCCTTGCAGCTATAGGGGGAATAAGAAACCAGCCTAGGCATTCCAACTGGAACAAATAAGGAACTACTCAACAGTAAATAAGATGAGTCCAAAGGCATTCAGGGATGGGATCATAATACATGTAGTGGGAACAAACCTGAAAAGCAGGTCCGCCTTCGGCAGAGTTCATGATACTCCATCCACCCATAAATGCAAAAAGGAACAATCTCCTGAAGATGATATCCATTGGAGGGAGTTCCACAAAACTGAGCAAGTTCTTCACCCAAGCTGGAGACTCGTCGACCTGCTTCTTTAGCCTGGTTTTCAGATTAATCTTCGTCTTCTTACGTTGCTTGAAGCTGGTCATCAGAAGTCTCTCAAAAGCAGCTTCTATAGATTCTTCACTCCCCTCGTGTCCTGAATACTGTTCCAGGAGGAAGTTACGAGCACCCCAAATTTCCTCCTCGTTAGCGTAAGGGCTGACTCCCAGACGCTTATAAGGATCCCAAACAGTCATCCGAGGGAACTTCGGTGCACTGCCTGCACAGAACAACACGAGCATCATCATCCACCATCTGTATCAGACATTCAACCAGACAACGGAAAGAAATTCAGCTACAATACAGCACAATGTACAACACCAAAAGAAGGGGGGGGAGTTATCTTTAACACACCACATGAACAAAAAACAAACCTTTACCCTGTAAATCATCTAAGAGAAACTTCCGTTCTCAATCAAATTGGTTACGTCTGACCTCTAGAGAAAGGGTAAGATTCTCTATTGAAGGAACTCATCAAACGAATTACAAAGAGTCGGTCTTGTCGAACAAGACTGGTCTGAGGAAGATGATGGAAATGGAATTATACCTTCGTAAGGGGCATCCACGGAACACTTGACGACGGTATGACCTCTAGAGCACTTGGGAAGCGGATTGTAAGACGCAGCCGCCGCCGCGTCCTTCTTCTGTAAGCGTTTACTGCACAAAAGCAGAATGAATTGGGGGAAGAGGATTAGCATCGGAATTAGTATAGCAACAGAAGAAGCAGTAGAAAGCTAAGTGAGGTTTATGACAAGGGAAACAAGATAATTTCGAGCTGAATTTCAATCGAGATTAGCAGAAAAGGGAACGGATAGGGGAATTGGGGGAGAGAAATTACAGGGTTTGAGGGACGAAGGGAGAGGAGAGGTTAGGGTTGGAGATGAAGAGGGAAGCCATGATTGGTTCTCTGAGGTTTTATCTTTCCACCTCCCGGCCGCCGGTCTTTCGTCGGGAGCAAAATTACAGGAGGGTGCCCCGGCAGCGGGATGCTGGAAGAGAAGTAGTTGGGAAGGGAAAGGTAAAAATTATGAAGATGACTTGGGTTTTATCAATCTGGGAGGGAGATGAAGAATAGTAGGCCCCTCCACATCTCATTGTATTTCCATTTTTTTTAATTGTACTAGTTTATTACCCGGCCCCTTGGCCGGAGATAGCCCAAAAGAATTGGTCGCAGAACTGTTGCGAATATCTACACATCAGCTTGCGTCTTGAATGCGTCTTTGCTCGGCCCGTTGGTCTGTTGTGAAGTAATCATTATGAATAGATTTTGGTAATAATTAAGTAATGGTCAGTCATTTTGCATTTAAAAAATATTAGTATCGATACCCACAGTTACATCACGAAAGATTTAGAAGTATTTCATACATTTAAAAGCACTATAATGTTGATGAAAATACATATAAATTATATGAAGTAAGGAAGTACCATATTTTTTTTGGCAAATAATATTGACACTTTACACAACCCGGTCCATCAATTCATATTTCTTCATGAATTTACTTGCCCGACATCAACTACAATCCTGATACTATGTGCTTCCCAAGATTAAAAAAAAACAAATATTAATATTTAATAGGATGACAACTGACAAATGCTAGACGAATCCTTTTTCTAGAGGGGCATCTTAAATCGAGATCCAGAAGACCATTGAATCCGCACCGCAACTGTAAGTTCATAAGCTCTAACAAAACCCAGGAGAATCAGTTAACCTCTATTAACATTTCCGAAGCTGCAGTTTGACCCTTTATAAAACAAATAATGCATCAAAAACTTAGTTGTCAACACATCCCGGTTCTTGCTTTACAGCCTACATGTCGCAAATAGATAATTTGGACATGAACATATGGGTTGGGAAAATGGCAAGTCTACCGGTGTATACAGAAAAGAGCACATCAATTTTTAAAACAAAGGAAGCATAATATATCCTACCAACATATATAAAACAAAAGTACTTCCACAGTGCAACATACTGCATATATCCTACCAACATACTGCGGAAGACCATTGAATCCGCATCACCTGTAAGTTCATAAGCTCTAACACAAAACTCAGGAGAATCAGTTGACTATATTAACATTTCCAAAGCTGTAATCCTGATACAAAATTGTTTAATTCACGCCCAACAATTGAGCTATTGTGCAATTTTGGATTTGGAACAGTCATTAGTAAATTGGAGGGGGCTCAAACTATTTGCCACACATCCTACATATAAATTCCTAATTATCATAATCCCTCGTCCGGATGGCCCAAAAGAGTTTGCAACTCAACCATCCGAAAGTTCTAGCAATATATGGGTCATCCAACAACTACGTATAATTGCCTACTATATATGTACATTAATTAAGAAAGGAACGCATAATTGCCTACTATATATCTACATTAAGAAAGGAAGGTATATTTGCCTCACAAAACCTTCAGAAACTCCATAAATAAATAAAGCCACGACCTTTGACCAACTACTTTCAGTAACCCATTGGCAAGAATAACTTGAGAACAACCAAATCACAGTAATCTTCCACATCGTTCCACGGCCCGATCAAATCATAGCTGGTATTTTTTTCTCAGTTACCACTTACCATCTTGTCGTAGTTATACCACTACAATTTCTACTTCACAAAACAGTTATAAAATATTAAAGTATGATGCACCGACAAAGAAAGAAGACTCATTCACCAGTAAAGAGCATCGGTCAAGATAACGAACAATGTAGCATACATGAGTTATCTTTGGTTTCTGTAATAGGTTCGAAAAACCCCAACAAAGCTCCAATTATTTGGTAAAGCTTAAAACCAAAATGGGAATGGAAGAACGAAGTAAAAGGATAAATTTTGGTACCTAAAGCTGGGTTTGCCAGCTGCAAGTCTTCCGCATGCAAGACTACTGTATGTTACCCACTTGTGGAATGGGAGAGAAAGCAAGTGAGAATGAAGGGATTGGGATTCCACTTTATTAGGACCAACCCACTAATCTGATTCTTCCCGACCCGTCCTAACCTAAAGGGTCAGAAAGAGTCAATAAGAAAATATGAACGGAGAGGATTAGTCATATATCTTGACTCTTCAGAAGTGGGTCAAACAGGATCAAGGTTGGGCGAGGGAAATTTTTAGCGCTAAGCAGAGTTCTGGGTTTAATAACTTTACTTAGGCCTAGAAATTGGTGCTGATGCAGACTGCAGTTTTTATTATACCATCATCAATCATCATTAAATTAGTCCTGGGCATTCCTCCCCGTTGTCGGTCTGAATTCTAATGATGGCTTTCGTTCCTTGCACCAGCCATATTAGCGAGTTGTCATCTCGAGCATGATTTGCCTATGTACAAATGATACAATTAGAGTATGAAACTGAATTCAAAGAAAAGGAAAAGAGATTTCTATCACATGCCAATAAATACACACATAATAGTTGAAGCTAAGTGAAAGTCATTACTCGCACATCAATTCTAAAAAATTACAGACTAAACAATGGCTAGAATGGCACTGAAACTACCAAGAATCATGGACGAAACAACTTGTCAAATTAAATAATCCTTATACTGAAACTACCTTCTAACTTGAAATAAGACATGATCACAGTTCATAGCTCTCTTCTCACTATGAATTGGTTGCAGCTCATCTTTAACACTGCCTCCCAAGCTCATTTCACACAGAATAGAGACTGTTATGTAAGATAACCATATTCTTACTGATCATAATTCCTTTCTTCACTCCATTTTTGTCGGAGAAAAGAGTTACCCCCCTCTCCTGCATTTCCCTTTCCCCCTCTCTTCTCCCTCTTCTTCACAAACCGATCCCTAAACCAGCAACAACACACAAAAATAGCCTTCGCCTCTGCCATCTCCATCTACTGAACGCGTTGGTGGCAAGACAGGACTGCAGAAGCAAAATTTTCTAAAATCAAACTAAAATTTTTGAAGGAGACTCAACCACGAAAAAAGAGTAAAGCAACAATGCTAATAGTTCATATGGTTGGTTTTGATGTGATAAATTGCTTTTGTTCTGGTCTACAGTATATCAACTGCAACAGAAATGTTTCCTCCAATCATCTTTAGTGCACGATTTAGAAGCAATTCCTCCTGTTTGTGTCAAACGGAAACATTCATGGGTTCTTAACTCCCCTGTTAGTATAAAAGCAGCAGCAACAGCAAAGAAGTTTGACAACACAGCAAGCACCCAGGGAAAATGATACAATGCAGTAGGTGATATGTGTCTCGAAGGTTTTGAGTTACTAAAGTTCATGTTAAAAATAAACATGAATTAAAATATATTATTCTATTAAGCAAACATCCCCTCTAATCATACAAAGATCAGATATCCAATTCACAAACAATTAAGCCATAAAAAATCATCACACATCCACCACCTTTGATTGCCTAAATTTGGTTTTTCGCAAAGTTATGGACCCTTAAGGGTAACGTTCATGGGTAGTCTGTTTCATAACTCTAGAGAGCACAGTAAGCAGCCACCAGCCAGACACAGTGCGGTAGGCGAATATGATTCTCAATTCACAATTTCTCACCACCGGAAGTAAGAACAGACCATAATAAGCGTCGCGTTCATGGGTGGTCTGTTTCATAGCACTACTACACAATTTGTTAAAAAAGAAAGAAAGGTATTTAGCATCACGACTGAACAACTTTTACAGGCCAACAACGACAACATGCTGCAACCACCAGAACTGGTATCACAACTCATAGGGAAAATCAAAAGATTTACTCTCAAATTAAGCAGTTACAACATCGAGCAATCGTCAAGCACATACACCATCACAAAAGTCACGAAAACTGATTCACAATGCATTCAAACATTTGAGGACATTTCTGCAAAGGTACAACTTATATGTCTTTTTTCCAAGCCATTTCCATCAACATGCTAATAAATTTGCAATGCATAAAACAAACGGGCCAAAACTTGAAATTCAGCCTGTTTGACCGACCCATGCCAAATTCTAATTATTCTTTACTTTTAAACTTTCTATTTGAAAATAAAAAATAGTGAAAGAAAAGAGACGACTACAATTCGCCATTTGCACATCACTTATTCGGGAATAAAACCATAGAAATTCAAAAGGAACTGAAAATATTTAGGATCGTTTTAATGTTTAAAATAACTAAATAGATCTTTTATGTTTAGTTTTTTACTAACAAATACCAAACGACTCCCTATAAAATACATTATAATTTGATCATTATGATATCAAATAATTATAAAATATATATTTGAAATGATAAAAATTAGACTAATTGGGTTGGTCGAGGTTGAACCATGGAATAACTCTAAAATACATTATATTTTAGCCAATAAGATATAGAATAATAGCATAATATATATTATGCCAGAGAAAATAGCTTGTTTTAGAATGACAAACCAATGATGTTCATTTGTTTCACTTGATGGCCAAATCCCATGTAGGTCAGGCCCATTCAACTCTTTTATTTTATGGTTAGCGATTAGCTCATTAGATACCATACATTCAACTCCTTTTCATATATATTTTATCACAACAGAGAAATAAAAGGGCTTAAAGAAAAAAATTGACACTCCTGGGCCCGTTTAAATTCGCATGTGTACTGTAAGTTGGCCCGTTCCACAGAGGAAAGAGAAAAAAATTGACACTCCCTATTCTACCTTTCCTACAAACGCTCCTCGAGCAGAGAATTTGAAATGGGGAAAAGGTTTTTTCCTCCCTGCTATTATATGTTTTTAATTTAGAAAGATACAACAAATGTACTTAGTGTGATTGGTTGTGATCTTAGCTTTTCTTTAAAATGGTCATGGTTCGAATCCCAGTACGTGTCTTTTTAATGAATAAAAAAAAGTAATTGTGAAGACTAAAATGTCCTTCCTACTTTCACTCTCGTTGCAGGAAATTTGAAATGGGGCTCCCGTTTTTACCTTCGGCGTATTATATTATGTGTAGATTTCCTTTTGTTTTTGTTCCATTTTTCTTTTCTTTACTGGTTTGTCATTTTCATTTGGTTAATAGCATTTTGTACTCCTATACTATCATAAATTAACAAACGTGTTCCTGTATTATATTTGCACATAAACGTGCCTTTCTAATATCACCACATAACGAAAATACTCTTGCGTTAAAAATTATGTAAAGTGGTCGTTAACTGAAATGGGAAATGATCGATTTACCCTTACTTAAACTAAAATTGTAATTTAATTTATTGTACAAGCAGATCTAAAAATCCTAATCTAATTTTGTCTCCCTTCAACAGTTCAACTATGAGCATCTTTGTTTGTCTCCCTTCCCCTCCCAATCTGGCGGTCATCTTCACCTTTGCCGTCCACTAACTCCTCCGCCGATCTTCACCTCTGCGGAGTACGAGTACGAGTTGCAAATGGCGAGTACGAGTTGGACTTGAGGCCCAACAATTAGCTTTGGGCTGGAATTACGCTGGAAATGGCGAGCACTGGGGAATTATTTGGATCGCCAGGAGACTTGGACGGGGACACAAAATGGAGCAAGAAGGCATTCCTTGGAGCATTATTTTGGCCCTGTAGTGGGGGATAATGACAGCGTCTTTGGGAAAAAAGAATGGGACTTTGAATTGGACATGGGAAAAAAGAGATTGGCACGGGCGGAATTAATTCGCTTGGGACGGAATTAAGGAGAGGGGGCAGCAATTTGGGACGAGAAGAAATTCTTATGGAGGAATTAAAAGAAAATAAGGGAATTCTCGGGAGGAAGGGAGCAGTAGCGAACACGGGGAGAAAAAGAAAAAGCAGCGCAGGGCTTTATCTTCGTTCGGCAATTGGCGATCGGATTTCCCAGACGGCTTGAGCTGAGTTCAACGAGAGCGATTATTTGGTTGGATTTTCTGAACCAAATTAGTTATTTATTATTGATTAAGAATATGATGATCAAAACTTTATAGATTTATCTCAGTTTCATCATGAACTAAACCCCAATTTCTGGGGGAAACACCATAGGATGTAGCTATTTCTTGACTTGATGGATTAATTCGTATTTCTTTTCTTCCAATCTCTATCGCATGGAATTGCTTAATGCTTTGTGTTGACTGGCCACCAATACAATGATTTGTAGTTAATTAGGTTATTAGCGATAGTGAAACCCTAACAATTGAACCTATTTCATGTGACATAGTATCTTATCGAAGCGACAGTGGATTAAATAAGGTACTATGCGGTCTAGATTGGGATATCGTTCTTTAGGCTAAATAATTAATTCATTGAGCTACGACAGTAGGATTTGAATTGATTGTTTAGTACGCAGTAATTCCCGACAGGGATAGCTAGCACAGTCGTGATATCCTGGCTGTAGAGAGTTGAATTAAATTGATTGGAATATGTGAATTAATTTGGATATGAGAAGTAGCGAGTCCCGATGTTTCTCCCAGAGCTTTCTCCCATTGAATTTCTCCCGATGAGTTTACTTTGCTTAATTAGTTTAATTATTTTGCTAGTAGTTAATAATCTCATCAACCGAACCATTTTTCACTTGTAGTTTGCTCCAAAAAATTGATAAATTATAAGGTTGTACCAGTCCCTGAGAGACGATACCCGGATTTCCGGTTTTACTACAAGATAGGAATTGGCATTACGCTTTTGCCCTATCAAGTTTTTGGCGCCGTTGCCGGGGACTGCCATACCTTATTTTTGTTGATTTTTTTGAGTGAACTATTTTGATCTGGGTGTTAGTGTGCAGAAGAATTTTCAGGTTTATCTTCCTCGTGCATGCCAATGAGGACAACTGGCAATTTACTGCCACTAGATCCGGAGATCGAGAAGACCTGCCATCAGAACAAGAAGCAGGTCAAGTTAGGGAACCAGCCAACCACAACTACTAGGCCTTCCCTAACGCAGAGAGGGCAGGCTTCATCACCTGTCGTCCCTACATCACCGACACCACCACCACCACCTCGTGACATTGAGCATGTCATCATGGCAGACGATGATCGTTCGACCAGGGCTTGTTTGAATCGACGGACTGGAGCCCGATCTTCATGTGTTGTCATTCCGGCTGGGGATGCAACCATGGAGATTACCCCATCATTTATCAACATGATCACCAATGGATATACTTTCTCCGGGGCTAGCAATGAGGATCCTCACGAGCATCTCCGCCAGTTCGCGAGCATATGTGATACGATGAAGAGCCCAACTGTGTCTGATGATGCAATTCGTCTTCGGATGTTCTCATTCACTCTGATAGGGAATACATCACACTGGTTTCAGAACTTAACACCACGTTCCATCACGACATGGGCTCAACTTGAGAAGGTCTTTCTAGATAAATACTTCCCACCTGCCTTGGCAATGAAGAGGCAAGAAGAGATTGTTACTTTTAAGCAGGCTGATGATGAGAGTCTGACTAAGGCGTGGGAGTGCTATAAGGAGCTATTGATGAGATGCCCAAGCCATGGTCTTGAAGATTGGAACGTGATCATTATTTTCTTCAATGGAATCAGAAGGGAGTTTCTGGATGCCCTAAATAATGCTTCTCGAAATGGTTTCACATGGATGGAGGCTCCAGCAGCATATGAACTGGTAGAGAAGATCTGTTCAAAAGCCACTGAATGGGGTAGTGAGACCAGTATTCGAAGAAGAGGAGGCTTGCATGAGATAAATAGAGTTGCGAGTCTAGAAGCCAAGATAGATGCCAAGCTGGATTCTAAGTTTGATGCACTCGAACGAAGGCTGGCCAAGATTGCTCTGGGTAAACAAGAGGAGGTTGTTTCATGTGAACTTTGCGAGGGTCCTCATCATAGGGATATGTGTCCACTGGGAGCTGCTCAATTGGAAGATGTCCAATATATCAATCCGCGAAGTCAAGGCCAGGGTGGTATGTATTGAAATACATACAACCCTCAATGGAGCATCACCCCAATATGTCATGGTCAAATAATAATCCAGCTGGTGTTCAAAATATTCCACCTCCTGGTTTCCAGCAACAACAACTTCAACCAGAGAAAAAGCCTCAGTTGGAGGAGTTGATTTTGGCTCATATGCAGAAAACAGACAATAATTTCAAGGGTCTTGATCAATTTGTCACTCAACAGCTAGCCATCAACAATAATATGAAATCATCTATGCTAGCTATGGAGAGGCAAATAGGCCAGATGGCTCAAACTTTGCAGATATTCAAGGTAGGATTCTAGGGACTTTACCAGCAAATACCGAGAGGAATCCAAAGGATGCCATGGTTGTAGCAGTCACATTGAGGAGTGGGAAGGAGTTGGAGGATCCAAAGAGCAAGAAAAATCCGGTAGAAAAGGAGGGCAAAGCAGCTGCAGAGGAAGAAAGTGCAAAAGCTGAAAAATCTGACTTACACAGACAAACTGCATGCAATCTGCCAGTGCATGAGCATTCTGCCTGTGCAACTCCAACAGTGGAAAAACTCAAGAATGAAGAGGTAAAGCCTTATGAACCTCCCGCACCATTCCCTCAAAGGTTAATGAAGCCCATGGAAGACCCAAACTTCAAGAAATTTGTGAATCTCTTCAAGCAACTTCATATCAACATACCGTTGGCGGAGGCACTTGAACAGATGCCTACATATGCTAAATTCTTAAGGGAGTTGCTGAAAAAAAAGCGCAAATGGGCTGATCTGGAGAAGGTAACCCTTACTTCTGAATGTAGTGTTGTGATTCAGAATAAATTACCAGAAAAGAGGGATGATCTGGGCAGTTTCACCATTCCATGTGTCATTGGAGGTAGAGAGTTCGATAAATCACTTTGTGATCTTGGAGCATGAATTAATTTGATGACATACTCAGTCTACAAGAAATTGGGATTGGGAGATGTTCTTAAGCCTACTCGGATCACACTCCAATTGGCTGATCGATCAGTGAAAATTCCAAAGGGAGTGGTGGAGAATGTATTGGTGAAGGTGGGGAAGTTTATTCTCCCAACGGATTTTGTAATTCTGGAGATGGAAGATGATCGAGGAGTGCCTCTAAATCTCGGCAGACCTTTTCTAGCCACTGGCGATGCACTCATCGATGTCGGGAGAGGCAAGTTAACATTCAGAGTAGGTAAGGAGGAGGAACTTTTTAATGTTTTTCAAGTTGACCATAATCACGATGATGACTTTGAAAGTGGAGCTCGAGAAAGGAAAAATTCCTCTTCCTGTGATAGTGGACCACCCGAAGAACTATCACATGTCCTATCTGCTCAGATTCTGAAATCAAAGCAAGGGCAGAAATCCTTGTTAGGTCACCTCAAGTATAGATATTTGGGTAAGGATTTCAATTTTCCTGTTATTATTCCTTCTTCACTGACATTGAAACGGGAAGAGTACTTACTTGAGGCGCTGCAATACCACCTACGCCTCACTAAAGGGTCCAACATGCAAACTAAGAAGGTCATACCCAATTTTCGCATACCTGGCCCTGCAGAGGTGACTCATATGTTTGATGGAGGTTATGCGTTCTATCATTGCTCGGGAGGGTATTCTGGATACCTTTCCATACCCATTGGTTGAAAGCTCCATGAACGTCAGGCTGAGGACGTTAAACAAGCGCTTCTTGGGAGGCAACCCAAGGTAAGTTTTCTTTTCTTTATTTTTCTTTTTAGTTGTGTCAAACCCGTGCATGTTTAGATTAGGAGTTGAGCATTAGGGACAATGTTTCATCTTGAGTGTGGGGTGGTGAGTCTTAGTGTTGTTTGTCCCTGTTGCATGTGGTAAAAAAAACTGTCATTTGGGTTGTGCATAGCCAAACTGCATGCAATCCACCTGAGCTGGTGCAGTCTGCCTGTGCTAACCTAATGGCTAAAAAACACCTAAAAATCAGAAAAATTAAAAACAAAACCTTCTTGTGGTAACATGATGTAAATGACCATGATGCGTGTGAAATGAGTTTGTGCTTGAATGAAATCATCAAAATCACCCCACTAGTGTTGAATTACAAAGTTCTTCACAATGAACTTGATTTTTTGACTGACTTTATATGCTTTGAATGAGCAAACTCTTTTAGCAAAACTCTCTTTTGTGAGGATAGTGTAATGACTTATGGTGAAGTGGTTAGGTGGAGAACATTGACCATTCGACATGTTTGGATACCGTGCTTACTTGCATCATTTGTGAGCTTTTGATTTTGAAATGAGTCTCTCTGTTTTGAATGTTTTAGATGGGGTGAACTGTATCTTTATAAAAGAAAATCCTACCTGACAAGTAAAATATAAGAAAGTTTCCATAACAATTAAAGTGTGGGTAAAAATGCCAAAATCGTGTGAGGCAATCACTCATTGCACATGGGGATTAGGAAAGATTCAATTGAGAATCGATTCGCGACCGTACGATGTTGCTTATCAAGTACGATCCTCGTTGAGTGAAGTGTCATTAGAGGATGTGCAATGACCCTCCACACGGACCGAGGAAAAGGAGTTGAAAGAAGCCCTTATGCGAGTGCTAAGAAGCAGAAATTGCTCTTGCTCGGTCACCGGTAGTAAGAAACAAATCCCACTTGTACTAAATACGACAACTCGGCAAGCAAAATCAGAAAGAGAGAAAGCCTCTCCTTGTCAAGAAAGGTAGTGATGTGCTTAAAGTTAAAATCATGTTTGCGAAAGGCTTCCCCCATTAGTTTTTTAGACTCTTGTGCTTAGTTGGTTGCTTATGATTTATGTGAGTAAGCCAGATTGTCCTCACGAGATATGCACCTCACTAATGTGGTTAGATTCTCCTAATAACTGTTACACCATAAGTTGTTAATCACCCACTACCGACGATCGGAATTGAGTGTTGCTATTTGAGTTTTTTGTGGATTAGAGTCAATCAATGTTAAAGGGTTGCAAAAGCTTGAGTGTGGGGTGAATGGTATGATCATTAAAGCACAACTTGTCTTTTGAGAAAGAAACTACTGATTACAACAAGAGTACAAATAAATTTTTGTTTTATTTTGAGTGCTTGAGTGGTGAGTTTGTAATGTGTCATTGTTATAGATTGATAGGTTTGTGTGTCTTTTGAGTCGTTGCTTAGGGACAAGCAACAATTGAGTGTGGGGTTGTGATAATCGGCTTTAATATATCGGATTCTTGAGGTTTATGTGACTATCTCATAGTATGTTTAAGCCGATTGGTGATATTTTAGGGAGAATTAATATGAAATGGTTGAAAAGCCATTACCATCTTGTGTTAGAGTTTTGGTGTGTTTCTAGGTGAAGAAATAGAGAAAGTGGGCGCACAGGTAGATTTCAGAAGTTGCAAATGGCGAGTACGAGTTGGACTTGAGGCCCAACAATTAGCTTTGGGCTGGAAATGGCGAGCACTGGGGAATTATTTGGATCGCCAGGAGACTTGGACGGGGACACAAAATGGAGCAAGAAGGCATTCCTTGGAGCATTATTTTGGCCCAAGCCTGCTGTCCTGTAGTGGGGGGATAATGACAGCGTCTTTGGGAAAAAAGAATGGGACTTTGAATTGGACATGGGAAAAAAGAGATTGGCACGGGCGGAATTAATTCGCTTGGGACGGAATTAAGGAGAGGGGGCAGCAATTTGGGACGAGAGGAAATGTTTGTGCAAAAATATAATATAGGGGCACGTTTGTTAGCCAACTCGTTAGTAAACGAAACAAGATTGAGTTAGACCATGCTTAGCTTGATAAGCTCGTGAGGTAGCATGACTCAGTGACTTTTGAGTTTAGCTCGTGGGCTGGCTTGTTTAGAGCTTATTGAAGGATTAATTACTCTTTTGAACAAGAAAATTACCTTGTTAATACAATGTGTATGAAAATTAGCTGTTATTTTGAGTTTCTAGTGTTATTTTCATAATTTAAATTCCTACCGATAAAATCTTATAGTGATTTTAATTCTAACAACATATTTTTCGAGTCCCACGTACGATACAATAAGGTTTTGCAAACACTGGATAAAACTCCGCGCCAAAGTAAGATACACAACCCATCCGATGATACTTGCGGAACAAGTAATGCCCCACATGGCCAATCGGGGCTAGTCAAGTGGCGTGGGTGGGGTAGAAATTACCTTCAGAACTGGTGTGCTTTCAAGTGATTAGTCTATACTTTAAAAGTTAAAACTGAAACTAGGGGTGAAAATTAAATGAGTGACAAACAGAACGTTTGGTGATACCACGAGTAATATTTAACTTAATGTTGAAATCACTGGATCCATATCCAAGAGTACAATCAACAACAACAACAACAACGACTAGTTTCAGGATTTCAGCTATGTAAAAGCAGGCCTACATAGATTCTCCATATCCACCCTAAATTGAGGTTCATTTCAAGCATTCTACAGCTAGTCGATTGCGCTTGACAATTCATTCATGAAAATGGGAATTCCTCCCAACCCTATAGACAAAGAGATGGAGCCCAATCCCAGATTCGATCATTTACCAAGCTCACAGTTTAGGATTCATGTCCTGTGGCTGACTGAACTGCTGCCGCAGAACTCGCCTCATGACCTTGTTGGTAGCCGTTCTTGGAAGGGAAGCAACAGTGACAACCACAGAAACCTGCATCATGCAATAAACACACACCATGGTTAATTAGCGAACGCCCTATGGTATTTCTGTAGTAATAATTGGCTATCAGAGGGCAAATACCCTGAACAATGGATTCAGCTTCTTTTGCACTGCCAGATTGAAAGACTTCTTCAGCTGATCCAAGTCTACTAAATGATCTGGGTTCTTGAGAACAACAGCTATAACCAAGTGTTCAGGACCACCTTCAGGGGGTGGCACCCCAATTGCAGCTGTCTCGAGGACACAGTCGTCTGCTGCATTACAAATTCGCTCGATCTCCACAGAACTAACCTGGCATTCAAATTGATCAAGGAGGGTATTAACGTCAAAATCTTTATGCAACTATGAGAGATAAGTAAACCTCATCTAGATGCTCCTCGATTATCAAAACAGGACTTGACACTGCGTTAAGAAGTTCATGCATGTACCTTGATACCCCCGAGATTCATCGTATCATCAGCACGACCGTGTGCCCTATAGTATCCGCTTGCAGTGCGCTCAAAAAAGTCGCCATGCCTCCGCAGGACCTGTTAGCCAAGGTTCAAAAAAGGAAGGAAAAAATAAACAGGCAGAGAGACTTTACTAGTGGGTAGGAATGAGCATCACTTACTTTTCCATCAAGCGAAGGCATTCCCTTGAAATACACGCTATAGTGGTCAGCATTCAGCAGTGTGCTTGAAGAACCAAACATGTGAGGACCAAGAGCTAGTTCACCGATTCCAGCCGCATCCTGTGGCTGTACTTCAAGGTAGATAGGATAGGGACAGAAGAGAAGCGAGTGAGTTCTTACAAACAAGCAAAATCAAAACTCTATTTATCTGACAGGAATTTGTTTGAACTTACTATAGGAAGTCCATTGTCACCTAGAATGTATAATCTGCAGCCCATTGCTGGAGTGCTGAAAGCAGCCAATGATTGTGGTTGCAACAAGGATCCTGTAACGAAACCACCTCCAATTTCTGTGCCACCACAGTATTCAATGACCGGTTTGTAGTTGGCTCTCCCCATCAACCATAAATATTCATCAACACTTGAAGCTTCACCAGTCGAGCCAAAGCAGCTACCAGTTTTGGAAATGACTAGTGTGATTAGTGTAGACAGCAAACATGCACCTTATAGTAGTAAAGCAGGAGAAAAGAAGCAAAAATGCTGCTATGTGCATCATAGGCTCCAATATGATGAATGATGAACCTGAGACCACGAGATTGTGAACATCACATAAATGACAAATATGAACCTTACCGAATTGATGACCAGTCGTAGCCAGCTGTACTGTTCGAACTTTTCCACGCACGGACAATACTGGGGATGACCCCAAGCATTGTAACATTGACATCCTGAGAATTTTAAAGGAACGTTGTTACACTTCATATACTCTACTTTTAAATTTAAGGACATCAAAAGCTCATGGCATATTTATGTCAGAAAGGAAAAAAGCACCTCAACACATTCTCAAAAAAGGCGAGAAAGAAAATTGCATATCTAACATGGTTCATATGAAATTACAGATTTGCCAGCATATCAGATTCACAAAAATAGATGGCAACAGGAGATAACAAGTGTCGTGGAATCTGTTTACCTGCACAAATTTGGCAAACGAGGAACCAAGTGGTGATCCATTATACAAAGCAATTGAAGCTCCATTCAACAATGAAGCATACACCAGCCAGGGACCCATCATCCAGCCAAGGTTAGTGGGCCAGGCAACAACATCTGCTTTGCGGATATCCATGTGGCACCATGCATCTGCTGCAGATTTCAAAGGAGTTGCCTGGGTCCATGGAATTGCTTTCGGATCCCCTATAACAGGAAAAGAATAAATGGAAGACAAGGTTTACACAAACAAATTATTGGAAAAGAAGACAATGAGACATCAAATATGAAATCCAATCCAGTTCCTAGTTGGGAGTATTATGTATTGTCAAAAGTGATTTATGCATGAAATAACTAAACAAATCTTAACTAAGAGCACCTCCCCCTGAATTTAGGAAAGACGTAAGGGAAAATAAACAACTGGTTATGAAATACCTACTTTACCTGTTGTACCAGATGAGAAAAGAATATTTGTGAAAGCACCAACTGGTTGTTCCACAGCAGCAAATTCATTCCCTCTGCAGGTTGACATAATAAGCAACAGTGTGATTAACTGTAAAAGAAAGAGAAGAACGCAGGGATAAATCGAAAAAACCCAAGAACAGAAAAGAGATGCGTACTTCCAAGCTGCAACAAAGGTTAAGCTCTTTCAGCCAGAAAAAAGAAGAAAGAGACAGAAAATCCTTTCCTCGCGAGATCCAAAAGGATGGTTTCTGGTACGCATTACATATTTCAGGATAGCATGCATTTTATTCTGAGCATAAAAGAAAACATAGGATATGCAAGAATCCTGAAGAAAAAGACGCCTCTCACCAAGATCAAACACTAAGATTGATTTTATATGTCTACCTGGAATCTATAACTCTATCCAGGAGATCGTGCCAAGAAACATCACCATCTCGCAACTCTGTACTGAAGCTTCTTCCTTTGGAAGGAATAACAACTGCCATGGGTGCCTGAGCCTCCACAACTCGACTGCAGATGAATCAATGATGTTAGACAGAGTGTCAAAGTACAGTAGAAACCAAAAAAGTTAATAACCAAGTATGAGGTCAGAGTTTCACGAAGTGAACCTGTACAGGGGAATACTTTTCTCACCACGAATTATAAGGTCCTACAGATATGATTACCAGAAACAAGATGATTAAGTACGAACATTTGATAGGATAATAATAACCAACTGTAAGTTAGAGCCATAAACTAATGGTAATGCAGAGGTTTAAGAGCAGACAGCATATTATATTAAGCTTTTATCAGCTCGACATAGGCCTTATGAAAAAATATAAAAAAATTATCCACGTTCACATTCTCATCTTTCATTCAGATCCTTTCATTGACACTGTTGGAGTGGTATCAAAATGGGTAAATGAGAAGAAAAGGCTAAAAGGCATGTGCATGTATCAGATGCAAGGAGAAACTCGAAGAAATTAGAGACAATCGTTAAACATATCATTGAGGATGATCATCATAAATCCATGTTTGTATACTTTTCTAATCTCCACTGGGGAGTATTTACAGTTAGGAGCTATCCAATATTGCTCAGGCGCATGCTCCAGTACCTTTTACAAACTCAGACAACTATTGCAAGCTCTGTAATAGAAGTTGTACCACAACAATGATCCAATGACAGATATGTTGTATGAAGAAATGGAACAACAAGATTGAATTCATATCCCTATAAAGACTATGAATTCTGTCAAATACTTACAGCTGCAAGCCTGAACATCATTACCAATTTAACTTGAGTATGATCTATCTCTGCTCTCTATTAAAATAGATCAGAAGAAAACAAGTTTTGAATCACCTCAACAAAGAAAATGCTGTCATCTTTCCATTGATTGATATAATGGTTTGCAAAGATGCGATTAAAGTATGAAATTCGCGAACAACAAATAAGGATAGTACCTAATAGCAATAATAACATCTCTATGGAAATGAAGAAAATAAAAATCACCTGTGTAAATATGGCTTTTGCTTTGGATATTTTAAGTCTGGTTGATATTTCTGTTGATGCAAAGCTGTCAGCAATTGACACAACTACATATCCAGCCAGCACAATAGCCAAGTAGACAACCACAGACTTGACGTTCATTGGCATGTCAATTGCAATGGCTGATCCATTCTCCAAACCCAATGTATCAAGTGCATAGGCAACTAACCTATGATTCATGGCAGAAAGCACCATCCTTCAGGTTAGATAAAGACAACAGCACTCGCGAAAAAATTGCTGACCAAGGAAAAATTGCCAACAACAACCTTAAGCTTTTGGGTTATCTCCCATATCTTAGCCCTCAACTAAGCTTTAAGTCAAACAGAATCAATGCCTACCATTTCTTTCATCTAGGGATTCTCTTAGTGAAATCACATCTAAACACTAAACAGCATAAGATCACCTTAGTAGATTTCATGGAATTGTCAATAGGGTTCTCCAATCTAGTAATTGAACATAATTAAAACTTTGTATCTTTTTGAAGAAATACAATCTTCAACATTTAGATTGATTAACTGGTCAGAGCACTGAGTAATAACAAAAGTAGAAGATGAAACCCAGGCATACCAGACCTCTTGGCGCAACTCCTCTAGTGTCATGCTGCTTACAGGCAGATCATCATTTCCTTCGTCCCGCCATCTCAGTACTACATCATTCAAGATTCTCTTACTGTTGCAACTCAAGCAACTCTTTGCAGGATTGAGATATGCTCCAGGCAGCCATTCACCACCTGGGTTTGGCACAGAGCTCTCATGTGATGGATTCTCATGCAAAATACATTTGGGTGGGACCGAGAATGAAATGTCCATTTCTTCAAACACAGTTCTCCAATAAACCTGTCCACCCAAACAGAGCAAATTAGTTATCAAGTGGTATCCACTATCCACAGCGTAATAGTATGCTACAGAGAAAAAACAAAAAAAACAAAAGATGTCCTACTCCTGGTTTCGAGACTGAAAACTGCTGAAAATCAGCAAAATTTGAGATGGGATCCTTGTACCCTGAACCCAAAAACTCTTCCCCATGTTTGTCCAAGAGCTGGCCAACATTACTCAAGATTGCACTAGCCCTGTTATTCACAAGCAAAGAGAATCAAACACCATAATCAAACCACTCCAATTTAATAGCTATATGTGTAACCTAAATTAAACAGATATGTCAATAACACATCAATCAAGTTCTTTTTTGCCGCTCAAAATTTTCCTTGTTGTAATTTCGAGAACCAGCAGAATTCATTCCCGGAACGAAATTCAAACAAATCAAGCAGAAATGTAAAATTTCCAAATATAGCTAAAACGATAAGCTCAGGTTAGTAACCCTCGAACCCAAAAGTGTTCAAGCAGAGCGACTGGCGATTGATTGATCGGAGGACTTACGGGTCGGGGGACCAAGCGGGCGGGTCAGGTCCGAAGTCCTTGAAGCAACCATAGTACATCATCTGATGTAGCGAGAAGGGAAGGTCAGGGTTCAGGAGGCGTCTGGAAATGTGAGTCCACGTCGCTGGTGTGCCGGCGCCGTGATCTCGGACGATTTCGGCGAGTTCGGCATGGAATTTCTGGGCTAGCGACGGCGTAATTCCCGCCAGGGATTGGATATCGGCGACGGAGATGGCGTCGAGGGACTTGTAATTCGCCATACTGACTTGAGCAGTTGATCGGGAAAGGGACTGGAGCCGGTGAGGTGGGGGCGATACGATATGATCATCATACAGATAAGAATGCGTAGGAGAGAGAGAATGATTGAATTGCTGACAAGTGCAATGAATGCACGACAGGTCAGTCGTCAATTCTAAGCCAAAACAAGGCCCAACTAAAAAAAACCAGATCGGAATATGGGGCCCAAGCCCAATCCATAAATAGGAACCACTTACACATTGGGGCGGGGCCGAGCTGCACAAAAAATCAGAACTTAAAAATAGTAACTGGCAATGGGTGCGCAACGGGCTCAGGGTTCAGATGGTTTCACGAGAAGCTTTTTCAGAGCTTTCTGGCCAATTGAGGGAGCCAGTGCCATTAATGCAGTCACTTCCTTTTTTCAGACCGGTAAGTTACTACGTTCGATTAGCTTTTGTCCATTCCACTACAAGGTTATTACTAAGATCATTGCGAATAGGCTTTGTGCTATTCTTCCTCGCATAATTACTTCTGAACAAAATTGGTTCGTTAGGGAAAGACAAATTATTGATAGCGTTCTGGCTTTGAAATTAGATATGGAAAAAAGGTTATGACAGGATTGAATGGTCGTTCTTTTTTCTGTTCTTCATAAGCTTGGCTTTTCTCTGACTTGGATTCATTGGATAAAACAATGTGAGTGTGACAACCACCACTTTTCCGTGATGAAGAATGGGCAGCCGACTGGATATTTTTCCTCTTCCCGTGGAATTCGACAGGGGATCCTCTTTCTCCACTCCTCTTTACTTTATGTTCTGAAGAGTTTATTGCTCTTATTCGGAAAGTTATTTCTAGGAGGGAACTTCATGGGATTCAAATGAATCATCGTTGTCCTGTTATTTCTCATCTTCTATTTGCAAATGACTCTTGTTTCTTCTGGCTTCCAGGAGAGATGGTGAGAATCTCCTTCATGCTCTACGAGATTATGAGATGATTAGTGGGAAGAAAGTAAATTTAGACAAATCAACAACCTTCTTCAGTCCTAATCTCTCTCAAACGGATAGAGAGGATCTTGGTGAATTCCTTGGAGTTGGTTCCATTGGTCTCGAGGATAGGTATCCGGGTTTACCTTTCCTTATTGTGTTACAGGGATGGAAACTGCGTTCTATTTCTCCTGCTGCCAAAGAAGTCTTGCTCAAGTCGGTGGCGGCAGCTTTTCCCGTATAGATCATGTTATGTTTTCGATTGCCGGCAGAGCTTATCCGACATATGAATGCTCATATGGTTAGATTTTGGCGGGGAGCGACTCAGGGGCAATGGCGGATCCATTGGCGGGCTTGGAAGTCCCTTTGTATGAGTAAATTTAAAGGTGGGCTAGGGTTCCGTGAGTTTGGATGTTTTAACCAAGCTTTACTTGTTAAAGTTCCTTGGCGGGTTCTCACGAAACCTACGTCTTTGTTATTTAAGATTTGTAGAGGGAGGTATTATCGTGATGATGCCGCTATTTTGGATGCTCCTTTAGGCGCTAACCCTTCGTGCGATTGGCGAAGTGTTGTTTGGTAGTGACTTGTTGTTGTAGGGTTTGAGGTGGCAAGTTGGTAATGTATTTTCAATTTGGGCGTTTTCTTATCCTTGGATTCCATGGGACCATCCTTCCGTAACACCTAGACGATGAGGTTTGGGTGATGCTAACACTTTTGTATCTTCGCTTATTGATCCTGGTACTTGTTCTTGGAATCAAGAGGCTCTGAACCATTTTCGCCTGTCTGTGGTTTCTAGAATTGTTTTCATTCCTCTCCCTCTTAGACCTATTTTGGATCGGCTCATTTGGCATTTTGAGTCTTCTAGAATTTTCTCAGTTAAGTCTGCTTACCACTTGGCTTTGAGTTAGGGAAAGCTCCTCCTTCTAAATTGGGGGCATATTTCATGGATCATCGTTTATGGTATTGACTATGGAATCGTAAGGTCCCTCCCTAGTTGTTGATCTTATTGTGGCAGGTGCTTCTTCGCATACTTCCTACGAGGGAGGCTTTGGTGACCAGAGGTATGGATATTATCCCTATCTGTGCAGTTTGTGGAGGGAAGGAAGAAACCTTGAAGCATTTATTTTTCAATTGTCCATTACCAAAAAGATTGTGGATGATTACAGGTTTTCAATCTCGATTCTCCTCTTGGCATACTAGGACTTTTGCAGGTTTTATCCGTTTCACTTTATTCACTTACTCTGCTGCGGATCAAGATTATTTTTTCCTCCAAATTGTCGCTCTGCTATGGCGGCTTTGGAAGAATCGTTGTACTGTTTTCTTTAATCGCAAACAAGTACACATTGACACTTTGGCTAGATGAGACTGCTTTGCTCCACTCACCTTTTGGGCGTGCCTCAACTTCTGTTATGCTTCCTTTGGTGGTGAATTTATGGCAAGATTTCCACTCCTTCCTCATCACAAGGAAAATGTGGTGCAACTTATTGGCTTCTTCGTGATGCGGGAGGATCAACCCTAGCTGCTCAAGGGTGTATTTATGAGGGTATTTCATATCCGTACGTTATTGAAGCTCTTGCTCTTCGAGATTCTCTCATGTACTGCAACCATCAGCATTTATCTGCTGTACTTTTTGGGGGAGATGCGAAGATCATTCTGGACAAATGCACAACTCAGAACAACTCTAACAATAGGATTGGGAGTATTCTAGATGAAATTTACCAACTCGTTCATGAGATTGGCCATTGTTCTTTTTGTTTCATTGGTCGTAATTGTAACAGAGAGGCTCATTCTATAGCTCGTCGTTCTCTGTCTTTATCACCACGCATGTTAATGGGGTTTGATTTCGTTTCCTAGCTTCGTAGTCGATAGGTCTCTTTGTTAGGGTCCCTATATATCTTGATTCTGACTTTCACCTCGAGTGCTGAGGAATCTAATGACAAAAAAAAAGTAACTGGCAATGGGGCGGGGCGGGTTCCTCAACACCCATGCCCTGCCCCATGTTACTATGAGTTAGGACGGGTAAAATCCGGGTGGGTACGAGGCGCAACGGGGCGACCCACCCTTAGATGTTATATGAAAAAAATACATGTAAAATTTACTTTTTACAAAAAACGAAGGAGAAAACACTTTATGAATGAAAAATAATGATAACAGAATGAGTAATTGAATCTAACAATTCGCCGCTTCCTCCCAATATCCGAATCCCTTCTCCGTCCGTTCGGCCCCCTCCTCCACCTCCAAACCTTCTTCCTCCTCGTTCCTTTTTTATGTACTTTTTATTTTTGCCTGGTGGGGCTTTTCGTTGCCACAAAGTAGATTTCTTGCGGAAACCCAGAGAGTGAATCGTCAATTGAGAACGGAAAAGGGGAGGTGAAAGTTTGCCGAGGAATCTGTTTCGTCGCCTGTGCCGACGATAGGTGAATCGCCTTGTGCGCCTGGAAACCGCCTTCGTGCGCCTGTGCCGATCTAGCTTCCTGCCGTTGTGCGGAGACGGGGCCTGGCTCTTCGGAGCCAATGGCTATAAATCCAGGTTCCCTTCGGGGTGGGATTATGGGTCTTGGTCTCAATTCAATTGAATCTTCTGATTTGCTTGTTGTTCTTGCTTCTGTGCGTTCTTTGAAAATGGCAATTGTGGTGCAGTTCGGTGATGACGATGTGGCTGCTGGAGTTGCCCGCGGAGAGCTATCTCTAATTGGGCGTTTGTTTGGCTCTCCCCCGCCGTTGTATGCCCTGAAGTCGATGCTGGGCAGGGTGTGGCACTTCAATGGTGGCCTTACCATTTCCAGTGTGGAGGAGGGTTTGACGCACTTCCTGTTTTCCCAACAGGCTGATCTTCGCAAGGCGGTCAACAAATCCCCTTGGATTTTTGATAACTTTATGATTGTGTTGGCTAGATGGGCGAATCCCTCTCCTGATGTCGCTGATCAACTACGCCGAGCTCCGATGGCGGTTCACATCTGGCAGGTTCCGTTTGACTGCTTCACTGAGAAGATGGCTTTGCTCCTGGGCTCTTCTTTGGGAACGCTCATCGCACCTCCTTCTCTTCATCGCTCTGACGTCTCGGGGGGACTCTATATCCGGGCGGAACCAGTGCTTGATCTCACTGCCCCTCTTCCGGTCGAGATAACGGCTGGGCACGTTGATCCGCTCAAAGGTAACTTTGTTGCCAAGGTTAAATTTGAGAGGGTGCCTCACTTTTGTTTCCTTTGTGGTGTGATTGGCCACATAGGGGAAAGGTGTCCGCAGAAGGAGGAGTTTGCAGGGAAGCCACCTAGGTATGGGTTTTTCTCGGTGGAGACTGAATCGGGTCCCCCTATCTCGGAAGCTACTCTGTCGAATCGGCGTCGGCGATTCACTTGGATACGTGCAGCCGCGAAGCGCCCCGCAAAGCCTAGATCTGGTGGCAGCTTTAAGGAACCCGCTCCTTGCCTGGATCCTACCCGGCTGCTGACTGCCCAGGAAGCTGGTGCCGGCAATGTGTGGCAGGACACTCGGAGACCTCGGTCGACGGCCATGGGAGATAGGCTCCAAGGGCTTTCGCTTCATTCGGCCATGGAGGATGAAAGTGATCCGGCTTCAATGTCTCCAACTGCTAAGCGTTCCCGATCCAGCCAGGTGGTGGCGACGAACTCTGAAGACAATGGTAAGGTGGCGGTTTCCAGCCTCAACTGGGCCCAGCTTGATCCATGAGTTTCATGGTGTGGAATTGTCGAGGGATGGGCTCCCCCTTGACCGTTCCCGCGCTTGGTGGAGCTGTTTCGAGATTCTTGCCTAGTCTGGTTTTTCTTAGTGAAACCAAGCATGAGGATGAGTATGTCAAAGCTAAATTTGCTAGGCTTGGGTTCAAGTCAGTTGTTTGTTTTAGTGCTTCTCAAGGCAGTGGTGGGTTAGCAGTAGCTTGGGGGGGATCATGTGTCTTGTTCAGTTCACAAGTTTTCTTCTTTTCTTTGTTTTATGGAGTGTCTTGTTCCACCAGTAGGTCGCTTTGTCATTTTCTTTGTTCACCTCTCGTGTGATGGTTCTTCTAGGCTTTCTCAGCTTAATGAAATCGCTTCTTTGGTTTTGTCGGTGTCCTTACCAGCCTTTGTTGTAGGTGACTTTAACTGCCTCCTGTCCTCAGCAGAGAAGAGGGGGGGGATTGTTCCTTCCATGGCTGCCCTAGATCACCTCAATGAGTTCATTTTATCCACCGGACTTGTGGACTTAGGCTTCCATGGGTCTCCTTTCACTTGGTCAAATCGGCGAGCCGGGGGGGACCACATTCTAGAGAGATTGGATAGGTGCCTCGGGTGTACATCGGCGATGACGGACTGGCCCGACCTAAAGGTAATTCATTTATCAGATTTAGGATCTGATCATCGTATCATTCTTGTGCAGCTCATTAATCAGGGTCAGCATCGGCACACCCGGTTTCAGTTTGATGGGCGCTGGAATTCCAATGATGAGGCACTGGAAATTATCCGGGCAGCGTGGGCCAAACCGACCCGTGGCTCAATGCAGTTCAGGGCTTTTACCCAGCTTAAAATAGTACGCCATGACTTAGTGGAATGGGCTAAGTTAGGTACCTCTAATTCGGCCCGGCAAATTAGGGAACTCAAGGCAGCAATTCTGGATCTTCGAGAAGCAGAGGCGGTGGATTGGGATGCTATCCGGCAGCTGGAACATTCTCTTTCGAATGCATTCGTGGAGGAGGAGTGTTTTTGGCGTCAGAAATCCCGGGTGGGCTGGTTACGGGAAGGGGATGCCAATACTAACCTCTTTCACCGAGCAGTCATGCAGCGACGTCGGTTCAACCGGTTACGAGGCCTGAAAGATGAGTCTGGTAACTTGCATCATGAGGAGGACGCTATGGCAGGTATAGCTGTATCCTTTTATCAATCCATCTTTTCCTCTAACAATGTGGATGCTGCAGCCTATGTAGAGTCTTTGGGACTGTCCACTCGTGTGACTAGGGAGATGAATGACCGCCTAGTTGCACCCGTCTCAACTATGGAAGTCAAAGAAGCAGTATTCCGGATTGGGAGCCATCAAGCCCCAGGATCGGATGGGCTTTCAGCTGCTTTTTTCCAAGCTAATTGGGAGGTGGTGGGAGCACTAATCACAGATGCGGTTCTCAGCTTCTTCCACATTGGCCGGCTCCTTCATAGCTTCAACCATACGCTGATTTCCTTGCTGCCGAAGGTTCTCAATGCCGACTCAATGCGCCAAATTCGACCCATAGGTTTGTGCCAGGTATTCTACAAAATCATAGCAAAAATTTTAGCTACAAGGTTAAGTGTGATTCTTCCTGATGTGGTTAGCTCCTTTCAAAATGGCTTTGTTCGTGGTCGGTCCATTACTGACAATGTTTTAATTGGCCAAGAAGTTATGCAATTCTTGAAAACTAAGGTGCAGGGACGCGACAAGTGGATGGCGCTTAAGCTCGATATGGAAAAAGCTTACGACCGGGTCGAATGGTCGTTTTTGTTACTGATCATGGAGCAGTTGGGGTTCTGTTATGAGTGGCGGCGCTGGATCCATGCGTGTATTTCTACGGTGTCCTTCTCAGTGTTGATCAATGGGCACCCTCATGGGTACTTCAGGCCCCAGCGTGGGTTGCGACAAGGTGATCCCCTCTCGCCCCTCCTCTATGCTCTTTTCTCTGAGGCCTTCTCGGCTAAGATTTCCAGTGAGATCATGGGTTCCGCTTTACATGGTTTGCGTGTTCATCGATTTGCTCCTATGATTTCTCATTTACTTTTTGCTGATGACACCTACCTTTTCCTCCGTGCTTCTTTACCGGAATGTAATGCTTTGCTGTCTATTCTGGATGAGCTTGGCCGGGTGAGCGGGCAGCGAGTGAACCTGTCCAAGTCGTCTATGTCGGTGAGCTCCAATGTTTCTGACCAGGAACGGGCAGATTTGGGAGCGTGCCTGGGGGTGGCTGACTCCCAATCGCAGGACAAGTATTTAGGGCTTCCGGTTCATATGCAGAGATCAAAGACTCAAACCTTCAGGTTTGTTGAGGAAGGGTTGGCTAACCGTATCCGTTCTTGGAAATCAAAATGCATGTCTTTGGCGGCTAAAGAAACGGTGATTAAATCTATTGGTTCAGCTTCCTCTATATATGCTATGTCGGCTTTTCGGTTGCCAGCTTTTACTTGTCGCAGGTTAAACGGTCAACTCTCGCGGTTTTGGTGGTCTGGCCAAGACAAGGAGATTGGCATGCATTGGCTCTCGTGGCAGGAGGTTTGCCTTAGTAAATTCGAAGGGGGCCTTGGCTTTCGAGACTTTGATCGTTTCAACGTAGCTTTACTAGCCAAACAAGCCTGGCGGGTCCTTTCCAATCCAGATTCTACACTGGCGGAAGTGTATAGGGCCAGGTACCACCCTCACTCCTCGTTCCTGGAAGCCAGACCCGGTCCTCGTCCGTCTTGGGCTTGGCAGGGCATTTTAGCTGGACGGGATCTCCTCGTTAAGGGCCTGCGGTGGCGGATTGGTAACGGGACTACCGTTCAAGTCCTCGCAGATAAGTGGCTGCCATCTAACCCTCCTTCCTCTCCTCTGCTACTTCAGAATGTTTGGGCTTGTCCAATTTTTGTCTCTGAACTAATCTGTCCTGCCTCTCGTGCGTGGAACTTGCAGTTGCTTGGAAGTCTGTTTCAACCTTGTTCGGTAGCGCTGATCATTTCCATTCCCCTTGCGGTTCAGCCACAGCCGGACAAGCTAATCTGGCATTATTCTCCAAGCGGGGAATATACTGTCAAGACGGGTTACCACATGTTGTCTAATGAGTTGCTTGCGTTACACCCTCCTTCCCCATTGCCGTATGACAGCAGGTTTTGGAAGATGCTTTGGGGCTTGCAGGTACCACCCAAGCTTAAATTTTTCTGGTGGCGGCTAGTTCGGGGCTTCCTTCCAGTATGTGCGGTACTACAAGTGAAGCGTCTGGTTTCGGATGCCACTTGCCCGATTTGTTCGGCAGGGGCAGAAACTTTGACCCACACCTTTCTCCAATGTCGGGTCGCAACTGATTTGTGGGAGCTAGCTGGTTTGGGGAATCTGCGACGGAGATTGGTTAGTTTATCCTTTTCGGAGTGTTGGGTTGCTCTATTCTTTTCCTGCAACTTATCTAAACTCGTTATGGCTGATGTTGTATTTCTGTGTTGGCGAGTTTGGAAATCCCGGTGTTGGGCGGTCCATAAGCACGTTCAGTACTTAGGGCCTGCCCTTCTCAGACAATTCAGGGCTCAGTCTGAGGAGTGGAGGCTTGCTACAGCGCCATTGACACTGCGCAGGGGACTTGGTGGGGATTCGGTTGACGCTGCACAGGCTGTGCCGAGGTTGAATCGGCTACAAACTGCTGGGGAATGTCCAACGGATGGGATCTTGGTCAGGTTTGATGGCGCGTACAAGCGGGGAATCGGTGGTGGCGCTGGCTATGTAGGCTATACCCCTGAGGGGCAGGTTCTGTTCGCATTCGGGCAATTTTATCCAGGTGTGTCTGATCCATTTGTATCTGAAGCTTTAGCTTTTCGTGATGCGATTAATTGGTGTTTGTTGCATGGGTTTAAGGTAGCCAATTTCTGTGGAGACTGTCAACCATTGATTCGCAGGATTCAAGACCAGGATGTGGCGCATGGGACTTGTGGAGCGGTCTTAGACGAGATTTGTTTGGTTTCCGAGTCTTTTAATTTCTTTGTTTGTACGTTTACGCCAAGGTTGTACAACAGGGCTGCCCACTTAGTGGCTTCTTATGCCCTTTCATCGACAGCTCGATTTAGTGTCGACTGTCGCGTTTGGTTGTCTAGTGTCCTGTAATATCTATTACCTTCCCGATCTATGACAAAAAAAAAACAAATTGAAAGATCAACTATAATTATTTGAAAAAAGTCAAATAGTAGAAATTGTTATTTGGCCTCAACTATACACCATATAGACTAGTTTGGCCAGATGCGTGTTTTGACCGTCAATTTGGATGGTCAACATTGTTGACTAACGGTCAACATTCCAAGTCATTTTCATTTGGGGTGGCTAGACGGTCCGACCCGGTTATATTGGCCCAAATTGATCCGGTCTTTTCGGGAATATAAGGACCAAAGATTGGATTGGATACAATCCGATCTTGATCCAGTCCAGTCCCAATTCTGTCTTGATTTTAGATTGACCTTGTGGGGATTTGAGTGGCTTGAGGCCTCAAAAGGTGAGGAGTTGGTTAGGTTTTGCGTATTGGGCTCTTTTATTAGGACTTTATCCGGTTTTCCGTCTGGTCCCAAATGAATTTTTTACCTAAAATCTAAGCCCGAAAATGAGATTGGATTGTTTGCTATCCGGTCCCGGTCTAGGTTATACGGTCCGATTTCGGGTAAAACCATAAAGTCTGGACCAAATAGCCACTCCTAATTGTCATGATAGCAAAAAATTATTAAAAATTCAAATTCAAATGATTTTTCATAATTACCAATGATTTATCATTTTAAATAAAAAACAGAAAAAAATAAAGGGAAATTCCCCTTTTCTGCTCCCTCTCTCTCATCACCCCCACGAGCTCTCATCCCCGTCCCAAGCTTCCTTCCATCCGGCCATCCGCCATCAAAATTTGGTTAGAGAAACAGGGGAAATACCCTTCTCCTCAATAAACCTAAACCCTATCTCAATATATCCAATTTTTTCTGCTCCCATCCCTGGACGGAGGCTACCGACTGCTTACAGCCAGAGCCGGAATCCCAAAACTCAGATTGGGGGAGACAATCGGTCATGCGACAACGATTGAAGCATCGAGAAGAGTGCCAGGTAGATCTGAGCAGTGACCTACTCGCTCGACGGTGCTTCATATGTGATGGGTTGTTGTGGATATTATATTTGCTTTCGGATCTCACGGAGAGGGGAAGTTCGTTGTCACCGTCGTCGGCGGAGGTAGGTTGAACTGGAGGCAGAGCCCATCAATGGTGTTGACCATCTAATTTGACAAAAATTTACGAATCGGGCCAAATTAGTCTAGATGGGGCATAGTTGAGGCTAGGATATCAATTTCTATCACCACACCACGGGCAAAAGTAGACTACATGGGTATAGTTCATACTAGAATAAGGTATTAACCCCTTATAAATACGGTAAGAAATTAGGGGTGGGAAACGGTGCGGTCCGGACAAGACCAGACCATAGACACGGTCTCTGGTTCAGACCGAGGGGCCGGAACATAGATCATTGACCAGACCATATACTATACCGTCCATACCAGACCATGCCTGTGCGGTGCGGCCGGTACGGTCTAGACCAGGCAGATCATGTTAAAAAAAATTCACTCTTATTCCGCCCTCGAAGCCTTCGTTTGTATCTGCAAAAATAAAAATTCCAGTGACCAATGTGCTAGTGAAACAAAAATTTAGTGATCGTAATTAAAATGAGAAGAAATATATGAGAGAAGTGAGGTTTTTCAATTTTCAAACTCTCTTCTAGTCTCCACGACTCTATCTCGTATCCATTAAAAACACACACATCAAATAGTCTTGTTTCCGTCTCTCGGGTATTCCAAAGGTTCTTTGTGCTACTGCTTTTGTCCCTCTCTCGGGTATTCCGAAGGTTCTCGAGGTCAATCACCTCCGTGATGACATCGAGGTCGATTTGAACCACTAACATGGTCGCTCATCTCTCAATATTTTTCCTTATCTTACCAGGGTGAATGATTTTTTTTAGTGTTTATGTTTTATCGACTCCATAGTCTAGACATTGTGGGTGAATATTATTTATGAATCTTTCTGGATTTTGTGTGATTCTTTGATAATGAGATAACGCATAAGTGATCATTTGGGCTCTCAACAGGATGAAGAATCAACAAACTTTGTTCTTTAAATACATAAATCGAGGGTAAATTAAATGTTATTTTGGTATGAGTTAGCAGGTAGTGTGCCACCGTTTGTTACGGTTTACTAAGGTAAACCGCGGTCGAGACCATTTCAGACCACACACTAAAGAAGGAGACCACAAACCAGACCAGACCATAGTCCCGGTCTCATGATCCAGACCAAACCATACGACACGGTCTAGACCGCGGTTCCTCATACGGTTTGGTCTAGATTCCCAGCCCTATAAGAAATTGAGATATAATATGCCAAGAACGGGGCGGGATGGAGTAGGACGGTTCGAAAGTAGATATCCATCCCCCGCCCCACGCTACTACGGGTCAGATCAGGTAATACCCGCGGGACGGGTTCAAATTGACATCCCTAATAATATCAATTCCCGCTAATCACTTGTTATTGTGTTAGTAGGGCTCTTAAGGAACGACTAGGCGTTAGATTCGAGAAAAAATTTGTTCGACATTCAACTCGATTTTAACCGAGTCGGCTCACAAATAAGCTCGTCAATTAACGGGCCGTGCTCGAGCTATGACATGTTTAGCTTTATAGACTCGCGAACAAGCTCGAAAGACTTTATAATGTGATTTTGAGCCAAGTCGTGCTCTTTTTTCTAACCGAGATAGATAGTTAATAGATAGGGAATTACAAACAGTTGTAAGATAAACAGCGTTAGTCAGCCAAGTGATGATCCACCGATACAAGAGCCGTTTTCGTCATGCAATAGGCAACCCTGTTAGTTCTACGAGGAGAGAAAACAAAACGAATGAACGCAACAGAGGCCTTCATCAATCGAACTTCCTCTAGGATCGCACCACCACGATCATGTTGTATATCATTCTCCAGCGCTTGACGGATCACCAATTGCGAGTCAACACAAAAACAAACATAATAGATACCCTGAATTAAGCACCAATCCATAGCATCTCTTAAGGCTAACAATTCTAATAGAAATGGGTCTGATAAGCCTTCATAATACTTACCGTGGGTGAAGACAATCGAATCAGTTGGTGACAAACCCACAAATCCCATACTTCCTCCGATATTTCCCTGGGTGGCACCATCGAAACGAATCAAGATTCCACCAGCAGGGCAAGCGGCGGCCGGAACCGAATGAGGAGATTGCCCTGTAGGATTCCTCCTGCGGCTTGCAGAGGAGGTATCAGCAATCCATTCATCCCACTGTTGTAGAAATTGTCTGTTACGCGGCCTTTGAAGATACACATGCCCCACCCCACGCTACTATGGATCAGATCGGGTAATACTTGCGGGTCAGGTTCAAATTGACATCAGTAATAGTAACAATTCCCGCTAATCACTCGTTCAATATTCAACTCGATTTTAACCGAGTCGGCTCACGAATAAGCTCTTCAATTAATGGGCCTCGCTCGAGCTATGACATGTTTAGCTTTATAGTCTCGCGAACAAGCTCGAAAGACTTTATAATGTGATTTTGAGCCAAGTAGTGCTCTTTCTAAAGCTACGGTTGACATTTTATCATGTGAACTCGATTTTTGCTCGTGAACCTCATTTGGTGAGCCTAACTCAAGTCAAGCTCGAGCTTCTATTTTATACATGAGTCGAGTTCTAGTTTGCATATTAGAGCTCGAGTTTGGAATTATCTTAATGAGCCGAATCCAAACCATAGAACTCTGTTTGGCGTGGATCATTAACAACTCTATGTGTTAGTTTCTTTCAATTGCTGGTTTCTAGCTAGTATTATTGTTTTATCGCACACATTTTGTGGTTTATCTAAATGTTGGATCGAAACAAACAAGCAAGATGAAAAAGACAATTTCCATCACGACGAAGTCATATTCGATATAATCGATGTATGAAATTACGAATGTAGGACGAAGTTGAACAATTTGTCCTGCTGAGAAAGCAACACCAAGGTATCATGTTCAGAAGCAACGAAGTAAGCAAGATGACACCATGGGAAGAAGGTTTATCCATGAAATTATGTTTATACTAGTCCTATGAAGGTATAATAGAGATCCTATGTAGGGCACCAACACCTTGGCCGAACCTTACAAAAGCTTATGTTAGATTCAAATTCATGTGTGATGATCTGGTAGAGTACTCTTTTATAAGATTCGAAAAAAACGAATCCCGTCTCTGTAGCAGCATTCTGGGAGTATCATACTCTGCAATTCGTCCTGTTACCAATGGAAAATTTTTGCCCAACAAAGCAAAAATCAGGAGCATTAAAAAAACCCATTGTGGATGACCTTCTGCAGAACATCAAATGGAGGAAACTTACCATCACTAAGCACCAACACGAGATCGCTATCAATGACAGTGTGGATTCTGTGAGCTATTGTCACAACTGTTCGATCCTTGAACTCTTCACTGATCACCTTCTGTATGACTCCGTCGGTCGTCGAATCGACTGACGCTGTCGCTTCGTCCAGCACAAGTATGCTACTCTTTTTCAGGAGGGCTCTCCCTAGACAGAACAATTGTCTCTGCCCTGCACTCCAGTTCTCTCCATTCTCCGTCACTGTGTCGCCGCACAAACCCAACCCATTGATTTGTTATATTGCATCGTTCAATCAAACATCACAATGAAATAACTTAGATGAGTAAAATCATAACAAACAAGTACCTGAAGCATCCAGCTTTTCGTCTTTCTCCTGCACCAGACTTCCCAGCTGACATTTTGCTAAAGCCTGCAAGTTTTTTAACAAACACTTACCGCGATAACAATCGATGTAGATACTTAATGCCTAGTAATGTGACAAGAGAATTGTTGAAAATACCTCCCACACATCAAAGTCGGTGTATTGGCATAACGGGTCGAGGTTCCCTCTTACTGTTCCCTCAAACATGGTAGGGTCCTGAGGGATGATGCTTAGTTTCGATCTCAAGTCATCGAGTCCTATCTTCGAAATGTCTATGTCGTCGATGATTATACTGCCTTCTCTTGCTTCTACCATCCTGAAGATTGCTTGTGTTAGTGTCGATTTCCCACTCCCTGTCCTCCCAACGACCCCGATTTTCCTCTTCCCTGGAAATGTACAGCTTATGTTCTTCAACACAGATGGGAGATGCTCCGCGTATCGTATCTGGTACCGTGATTATTAGTAAGTACTCATGCCATATGAATATGTTCAACACGTTTCAGGATTCTGGAAGCAAAATTCACTGAGTACCTGTAAGTTCTTGAAGCAAATTGTTCCGATACTGGGCCAGTTGGGTGGTGGTCTGCGATCTTCGATCACTAGGGGTGCTTCACTCTTTATGTTTGTGTACTGAAGCACTCTTTCTACAGAGATCATCTTGTTCTCGGCATTGCATATGTTCCATATAACTGAAGCCTGCAAGACATTCAAGTTTATGCCGTATGTGACAGCCAATCCTGCAATGCCTGCATCAATCATGTAACGAAGAGTTCATCATTAGTGGGTTAAGGAAATTTCAGTAGGAAAGAATTTGACAAGGATAAATCCAAACAATGGTTCCATATATTAACTTACTAGGGTTGATGATTCCTTCCGGGAGTGTCACTAGCAGAACCAATGAAAAAGCAAATACAAAATTGGACAACACGTTCAACCTGAAAGAGAGCCATTCCATTGCTGATACATTGTGAAACCATGGCCTGGAGTAGTTATCTACAAGACCGAGGTTCCCGGTGATGAATCGTTCACCATGACCAAATGCACGGATTGTGGCTGCTCCAGCTAGTGACTCCGAGAAATGGTGAAGTATTGGAGTCAATTGGATTCCTGATAGGCGGGCCAACTCTCGAGCCGTTGGTGTGTAGTATTGCTGAAATTCACATCAGTACCATTGGTATCAATAAAAGAAATACTCACAATGAAAACGACGAAGAACAATGCTAGATGAAGTGTTGATGGAGGTAAGAAGCTGCTTACCTGGTACCATATACAAACTGCTGTAACTGGGATGAAGATGACAAATACTTCCCAAGCAACTTGAGACATCACGGCAATGGTACCCAGAATCTGTATTATCGAGAAGGCGCACCATCCTAATCTCTGCCCTATTTCCAAGTCTAGCACACTTTGATCAGTGGATGCCTGAATGCGTAAAATGTAAATGATTAATTTCTCATACACTTGCACAGTTGAGTTACAAATGTTTTCCCACTTACTCGGTTCAAGATTCTGCCTGTCGGGGTTGAATCAAAGAACTGCATTGGAGCCCTGATGACACTGTGCAGCATATCAGTGAAGAGTTTCTCTGCGGTGGAGAGACCTACTGTAGTAACTAGGATGGCCCTGACTAGCACGCATAGCGCACTTCCAGCAGCCAACAACGTATACACGAGTAGAATGGTATCCATCCCTAACCCGACTGCAGGTTCATTGCTATCGCTTGTGGGAGGACAAGCCCAAGCCATCCAGTAGTTACTTGCTATTTGCAACACCTGAAATGATGACTGGGCCAATACTATAAATGGAACCAAGACTCCACCTTTCACAGCAGTCAAGTAGGACCAGTACACTTCTTTCCCAATGCTTCCCGTCTCTCTTTCTTCGTCTTGCACTAGTTTCCCACTTTGATTATCAGTACCCACCCCAACGGGGTCTCGTTGTTGTTGTTGTTGGCATGGCTTGCTCGTTCTACTTGGACCGGAATTTTCTTCCTCGTCGGCAACTAATAAGGATGTGGTTTGCTGCATTGAACTTTCGACTGCATGAACTAACTCCAGAGCCTGGCTGTGAGCACCAACTAAAGCTTCAAATCCTACATTTTGTTTCATAAGTTCATCGAACTTCCCTGTTTGCGCGATCTTTCCATTTTGCATTACCTGTACCACACAATGGTAGAAACTCGAGCTATAGAGTGCAGAATGATCAATTTCAAGAAGAAAAAAAAACTCTTAAAACTGTTTTGCACTTACCACAATAACGTCTGCTGCAGGTAGAAACTCGACCTGGTGGGTAACATATATTATAGTTTTGTCTCTCAATATTCCCATAAGGCAATCCTGCATGATAAAGCAATCAACAAGTTAAGCATCCATTACAGACATTTAATTGACTGTTGTAGTTTGTAGGGGATTAGAATGCATTACACCAACCTGAAAGAGGTGAGTACCGGTATGAGCATCGACTGCACTGAAAGGATCATCTAATAGGTAAATGTCTGCATCCTGATACACCGCACGAGCAATTTGTATCCTCTGCTTCTGCCCTCCGCTCATGTTTATCCCTCTTTCCCCGATCTCAGTCAAATCCCCGCATGAGAATAGCTCGAAATCCTTTACCATCGCGCATGCTTGCACAGTCCTCTCATACCGCTCGCTCTCGTATGCCTTCCCAAACAGAATGTTGTCCCTAATGCTCCCAGTCAATATCCATGGACACTGAGGTACATATGCTTTTGTTCCCCTCACCTTCACGGTTCCTGACAGCTTGTGTATTTCCCCTAAGATACACGAAAGCAGGCTCGATTTTCCTGAACCAACCGTCCCACACACTGCCACCCTCATTCCTCTCTTCACTCTCAGATCAATCCCATCTAAGGTCACGTTACTGCTGCTTCTACTGCTTACTAATTCGGGAGTCCAGCTGAACTTCCCGCTCTCTATTTCAACATCGAACCGTTCATCGCCCCCAGGAGGAACATACTCCACTGCATCCTGCTGAACTTCCTCCTCCTGCAAGTAGGAAGTAATCCTGTCCGCCGAAACTTTCGCCTGTGCAATCACAGACAACAAATCGGGCAAGTTGAAGATTGGATCCTGCAACATCCGGAACGTTGCCAAAGCAGACAGAACCCTCCCGGCTGTCAGCGGCACCCCCATCATCAAACAAGCCCCGAACGTGATCGTCGAGATGAATGCCGGAGAGCCCCAGAAGATGAAAGCAGTGATGGCAGTAAGTCTGAGAGACTTCCACAACCAGCTCCGCTCCACCTCCCTCAAGCATTTCAGCTTCCCGAGAAACTGAGAGTCCCAAGATTGAAGCTTGATGGTCTTCATGTTCCGCAGCACCTCGGAGGTGGCCTTCATCCTGCCATCTTTCGCTTCCATAATCTTGGTCTGGTACGACTTCTGCATCCTTGTCAGGGGAACATTACACGACATGACGAGCAGAGTCGCAGCCAGAGCTGCCAGCGACCCTGGTGCTCCAAGATTGGTCCTGAGGATGTAAATCGCCAGGGAGATTTGAATCGGCAGCATCCACACCGTGTTGACGTACCATATGAAATCGGTGATCCTGTTGACATCGACGCTCATGTAGTTGATGATCTCGCCACTTGTGTGCCCCTGGCGGGAGTGCGCAGACAGGACAAGCCCCTTGGCGTAAATGCGAGTGGTCAGAGCTGCACGGAGGCGGAGGCCGAGCTGCCGAGCCCCGAATATCCACTGCCGTTGCGTTACGGTTTCAACAATTTTAGCGCAGAGGAATCCCAGTGCTATGAGGTACCCGCTCGTCAAGCTGCGTTCCTTCTTCCGGCTGAGGAAGTCGACGAAATCGTTGATGAGGTAAGGGCCGACGTACGATGCCGTCGCGCTGGCCATCGCGAAGAATGCGTTGATTGCTGCTTTCCTGCGTACAAGTAGGAAGATTGCTCTGTAGATGGATGGACTACTACTACTGCCACCAGCAGCATCTGCGTTATCGCTGCTCTGTTGCCTCTCTGTTTCTCTGTCGAGGCACTCTGCGAAGGCAGAGGAGAGAAATGCCGCGGATTCGTTGATTCCGACGTCTGGAATGTCATCTTGTTCTAAAGGCTTCTTTATCCCGACACTGAACAGCGGGTTGAGCCAGGAGAAAGTGACCAGCTGCAGGAGCGTGGCATCTCCGTATGGTGATCGGGTTCTCTGCTTGCTCTGCCCCTCGGCAGGAAGGAGGGGCTCCTTCATATCAGAAGAGAACGTGGCCGTGGCAATGCCGGTCTTGCCATGGATCGAGATTCCGAAGAGGAATGATGACAATGAGAGAGATAGGAAGTTGACGTAGTCTGGCAATTCGAGCTTCTTGCCGGGGTGTGTGGTTCTGAGGTAAGTGAAAAGAGAGGCGGATGATGCTGACAACAGGAACCCGCAGATCCACCATGCTCTCAACATCCATGGGAACATGGTGGATTCGGCCTTGATAACATTTCGGATAGCAAATAGGCTTACAGCCAGCGATAACACCTGTGCAATCTCGGACGCAAGGGTTCCGATTCTAGAACTGCAGCAGCCAGCAAGAGCAGGGGAAATGATGTTGTGGCCGCTGAAGGAGAGGAGCATGGCAAGCAGCAAGAGGCAGTGGACAGCCAGCAACAGAATGGTACATGCGATGCTTGTTTTGGTAGGGATCCCGCATTTAGCTGTCTGCTGCCGGTCGGCTGTTGGGTTTTCTGGTGGCTCCTCGTCGTCGTCATGATCACCGTTGGCATATATTTTGGTGTTCCCATTGGTAGTGATGCCATCTTCATGATTGCTCTTTTGTTTGAATAGTTGGAGAAGGGAAGCGAGTAATAGAACGCCGAGAAAAACCAGCTGGACACATACGAGGAGATAGGCTGGGAAACAGGGGAGTTCCGGCCAGGGCAATGCCATTATTCTGATTAATCACCATAAAAAAACCCGCGAGGGATAGAATTAGTCAATAATTGAAGGCATCCAAATCGGAAAGTTTGTTAAATTATAACAAAGAAAACTGTGTATGAGATATATGTCAAGAACCAGTTGATCCCAATAACTCGAGTTGTTGGGAGAGGTTCAATCGTGGATCATATACCACAACACTAACAGACCCCCTCAAACGAAAGCCACTCACAAGGGCTTGAAGTTTGCACAGGTTTGAAGACAAGAATACCACGTGCTTAACAAATGGGGGTCACCGGGAACCGAACACAAGACCTCTCGATCAGAGAAGGCTCTGATACCATGTCAAGAATCAGTTGATCCCAATAACTCGAGTTGTTGGGAGAGGTTCAATCTTGAATCTGATGAGAATCGGGATGTCTTCCCGGCCTGGTCGAAAGACGTGAAGGAATGCGAGGCCAAGTACGAAGTCGACATTCTGCAGGGGCTGCACGCTGCAGAGGTGGAGAAGAGGCACCAGATCTATGGCCACAACGAGTTGGAGAAGCATGAAGGGACGTCTATTTGGGAATTGATAGTGGAGCAATTCAAGGACACTTTAGTTAGGATATTGTTGGCCGCTGCCGTCATATCTTTTGTTTTGGCGTGGTATGATGGGAAAGAAGGTGGCGAGATGGAGATCACGGCTTTCGTGGAGCCGTTGGTGATTTTCCTTATATTGATTGTGAATGCGATTGTCGGGATTTGGCAGGAGAGCAACGCCGAGAAGGCCTTGGAAGCGTTGAAGGAAATCCAGTCAGAGCATGCTGCTGTAGTAAGAGATGGGAAGAAGATTTCCAGCCTCCCTGCTAAGGAACTTGTCCCTGGGGATATTGTGGAGTTGAGGGTCGGTGATAAGGTGCCTGCAGATATGCGGGTTGTCAGTCTGGTCAGCTCTACGCTAAGGGTCGAGCAAGGCTCTTTGACGGGAGAGAGTGAAGCTGTGAGCAAGACTGTTAAACCTGTTGCCGAGCATACTGATATCCAGGGCAAAAAATGTATGGTTTTTGCTGGAACGACAGTGGTGAATGGTAACTGCATGTGCTTGGTCACTGGCACTGGAATGAACACTGAGATAGGGAAGGTGCATTCACAAATTCATGAAGCTGCCCAGCACGAGGAAGATACACCGTTGAAGAAGAAGTTGAATGAGTTGTTGGGAGAGGTTCAATAGTGGATCATATACCACAACACTAACAATATATTGGTCGTGCAAAGAAGAATTATCCTCTGAAGACTGAACTAATATTTTGAAACCTTACTGCAAATAAGGCTAAAATGTTCACGATTGGTTCGTTGAAATTCTGAAAGCAAAAAATGTCAATTAAGATCAAATTAACTACTTTAACATGGATATGGTCGTGATTAGTTGATTAAGTTTAGTGTAGTAGGGAGAGAGATGATTATTATTAGTATTGTGGCCATTCTTGACGAACTAAGCAAAAAAAGATAGAAAATGGTAGTCGGAGAAGATCGTATAGTTGTTGCAATATGGATTTGAGTGTTGAGGTAAAAAAAAAAAAAATGTCAAAACACAACATAGTGTGGTACGTACACTATGTCAGTGCAATAACGGTGTGGGACGGTGAAAGTAAGGTTCCAATTTTATCAGATGTCACCGAATACACTGGACGATACAAGTGAAGTGAAGTAAGAAGAAAGGGATAGAGAGACGAAGAAAGAGTGTAGATAGGCGTACCGTACACTTGCCTCCGCCGCTGATTCCTATCTGCGCGCCTGTTCACCGGTGCCACAACCTTCTGTCCTCTTTAACTCTTCATTTGGGGATCCGGCGTACCTTTATACCATAATTCCAAGAGAATATCGCCCATTATGTTCCCAAGGAAAAAAATATATTAAAAGAAACGTACAAGACATAAAAAAAAAACAAAGTAGAAAAAGAAGAACAGGAAAAAAAAGGGGGGGAGAAATTGATAAGAGGGAAGTCGCATGCGTTGTTTGGTTTGGTGGTGGTCATATGGAGGAAATGGCTTGGCTTTTGGAAAGAGATTCGTAATGTTTGCCAGTACGGGGTAAAAGGTGCATGGCACTATTGTGTTGATTATGTGAATGAAACTAAATACGTCAGATAACAAATATTCACGCTACAAAAGCAGGAAAACAACAAAAATAATTGTACCTTTAAACAAAGACGGGGATTCAGAGACGTAAAGGATTTTATTTCAACAAAAGGGAAAAGACAGAAAAGGAAAGGGAGAAAAAGATTAAGTGGACGTGATGAATCGGAGAGTAGGAAGAATGTTATCTTAATGCTGTCTAGTCTAGGCCACTCATCAAGTCATTAAATCGATTCCAGTCTTCCCCCACTGCATTTACTATGACGCTTTAGGAGTCTCTTAGGGTCATTAATAATTCGATCGAGTTTTCTATATATAACAAGTCACTAGCTAGTACAGAAGCTAAAACTACGCAAGGGGGCTTGAAATGTCTACAGAAATTGCAATGTCTTGACAAAAGATGTGATGAATGTGAGAGTAACAAACCTTTAGTATTTTCAGATAGGCCACGTACGCATGGCAATGGCTGAATTCGAAAGCAAACGTCTGCAGACAGAGTTAATCTTAGACAACTGGGTAACTGGATCATCAGCTGGACTCCGGAATAGGATGTTGGATGCTTCGTGGCGCAACATAAACCTGCATGTTCAGGTTTTTCTCAGTAATGAAAATGACGAGAAGAGGAAACTGCTACGTGGTAACCGAAATGTGATTGTAGCTTGATAGTCATTCATTACATGAAATGAAATGAAATGAACGCAGCTGAAAGTGTTGTGCTGCTTCCTCCTAGTTTAAGTCAACATACTCGGCTCACCTTACTTGAATTGTGCTCTGTCCTTGAAGAGTTGGGGCTTGAAACAGCCATTTGTTTCGGAGTTTCTTCTAATTTTTACTCCTTTTGTCCACCTACAATCAGAGGGTTTCTTGTTGTTTCTAGGTAGCAGCGTTTCTCACAATCGCCTCACCTGAATCCAGTTATGATGTGTCCTTCAAGAAAATACCTCTGAAACCAACCATCCCAAGTGAAATGCAATCTTCTGATTTTCAGTCTTTTGCATTTCACGGAGGAATGATTAGGAAATTAACATCCAGCACAAAATAGTAGCAGAGAGAAAGGAGCTCACCGGTACCGTCGGTTCCCCTGCTGATTCGCCAACACCGACCGACCGGGAGTAAATCCTTGAAAGAAACGGCCGGAGAACGAGAAAGATGTTTCGGGGGAGAGAAGGGGAAGGGGACAATAGTAAGAAGCAGCAAAAACCCCCCATTGAAACAAAGGGGCAAGCAAACATTAGATTCCAATCCTGGCGATGATTCTAACTTGGTCATCTCTCTCAGTGTCCGTCCCTTCTGCTTTCTTGTCCTCACAGAGCGGTTGTTGGATGGTAGCTATAGGCATTGGTTTCCACGTACGGACAAGGATCCAAATATTTCTTTTGTGAGCTACAAAGATTCTCATACGAAATTGACTTGGAGGAGCTAGTCCGGGATCGGAATGGCCGATTTCGTCTAGGGTTTTGCTCGCCGGGAACGAGTAAACTTGCCGGACGGAGGTTAGGCCAGGGCGATATCAAACGAGCCTTGGATCGTGACTTCATTCCCTTGATCATGGAAATTGATCGCGAGTGTCTAATTTTGAAGAGGAAGAGAAAAGGAGTTTGATCGAACTGAGCTGGGGAGTCACTGCGACGAGGCGATGAGAATGGCGGAGGCGGAGGCGGCGGCAGGGAACACGAGGAGCAATCAGGAACGGGCCGGGTTTGGGGCCTTTATCCTGAGACGGGCCAACCAAGTGGCCCATTCTCTTGTCCACTTTCAGACCCATTGGAATTAGTCTGTTTCATTTTTTCTTTTGGCAAGGTGTTTAAATGGTTACCATTATAATTATTAATTAAATTAAATATATTTAAATTATATTAATTATGGAATACAATATCAAAATTAAACCGTCAAAATTAATACAATAATCAAATTAACCAAACTAAAGTTTGATCGGTTTGATTAATTGGTTAACCAAAATAACCAATATACCATTGCATTATCATTAAGTGGGAAAATTTCCGTTTAGTGCATCAAATTGCAATCTATATATTGAATAACACAAAAAAATCAAGACATAATTATAGTTAACCATTAACATAAATACATGTAACTAATACATCTATCTTACATTTGACTCTTAAGTGGTTATGCTAAGTATTAAGTATGTGGTATAATATATCTACAAAATATATAAAGGCAAAACATGAGTTGAAATTTTCTCGTTTCATATTTCGTGGCCTGCCAGTAATTCTAGGAAGGTCATTTTTGTCATTGCACCTAGTTCAGCTTTATATATTAAAAATGTTATCATTGGAGTTTGAACTTTGGTCACTTAAATGAAGTAAGAGCATTATAACTAATCTATTTTTATAGAAAGAGATTAGTTATGAAATCGAAAATCAAGTAACATTGATTCAAACATTAATATTAAATTGTATGTGTAGTTTAGTTTAGACAAAATACAGAAGTGTAACAAAAACATAGACTTTTGTGACGAGTATAGTCATTTTTTGTGACAAATCTACACATAATCTAATGATAAAATTGAAAAATGAGAGTCTCATTTCAAATTTCGTGGTCTGAGAGTGATTCTACGAACCTCTTTTTTGTCATAGCACCCAATTATCTTTATATTATGTGTAGAATTGTCAAAAAAATTAATATATTTGTCAAGAAGATCCACGTTTTGGCTACACACATGTACTTTGTCTAAACTGAACCACACATACAATTTAATATTTAAAGTTTGAATCAATGTTACTTGAGTTCCTATTTCACAATTAATCACTTTCTATATGATAAAATAGTTTCAGGTACAATATCTTTCCTACTTGGTTGAAGAAACTCTTTCTACAAGATATATTCAATGTTTTAAGATTTCCATTTCAAATTTGGTGAAAAGAGAGTGAAAGTAGGAAGAGTATTTTTGTCATAACAATTATCTATCTACTTCCTATAAAAAGTATCAATATCAAGATTTGAATCATGGTCTTTTCAAACAAAAACAATAATCACAACCAATTACATTAAACAAATTTATTTTGTCTTCTTAAATTTTAAACATACACTAAGTGAAGATTTGAAAAACAAAGGACTTTTCCATCATGGTTAGCTAGGCTATTAAATCTTCTGAAAAGAAAATTTAATGCATGATATATAATTTTTTATAACCTATAAAATGATGAGGTAATCTTAAAATTGCAACACAAATTTCAATGCTTGAAATATTGCATATCAAATTGTGATATTGAATATGCTAAAGTGATGTAGAATTCTTTAAATTAATATAAATTTGTAGAACTACTACAAAGCAATAATATTTTATATATACTATGGGTGAGTGGTTCTTTAAAATTTTAGCATGGTCAACTGCTAAACGTCAAACCACTGGCTAATCCGACATGAATGGATCCGACAATAATGAGACGATATTGGGTTTAATGTGATGTTCATTTTGTCATTTTTGGATGTGTTGATCAATTTAAGGGCATTAACATATACATGAGTTATAATTAACTTCATTATATAAATTTTACTCTTTATAATAATTGATGTAATCTTAATATTTGCGATGTTAGAAATATTTTATGTATGATACAGAGGTATACTTATTATTTGTGACACTAATGATAGTTGGTTCAAATGTAGTATGTTATCAGGTAGTCAAAATAGAATACTGGGTGCATTTATGACTTTTTTTATCTTGATGCCGTGAAGAGGCATAAACTTAATTATTAGAATGCATATAACTATACGTCTATACCTAGGCACATGGTCGAGCTAGCATGAATGACATAGTTAGAGCATACCATGAATACAATGTATATGGATCGACCATGTACAAACATGAATGCTTCATGGGTCGTACCAGACTTAAACTTCAAGGGCACGCGCACAAGTGCGAGCACCACACAGTCTATATTGGTGAACTCATGTTTTATGAAGAAATGCTCTATTTGATAAAAATAAAATAAAATATTATATAAATAACATATAAAATTTGAATTAGTGAGTAGTTTTTTTTTTTGATGAATCATTGGGTTTCATTCATCAAAAAAGTGTTGCTAGCAACACACCCTGCTAGCTAGGTATTCAAACAAAACTGTTTAAAAAAAAAAGAACCCTCATGTCAAAAAAGAAGAAACCAAAACAGACCACTGCAGACTAAGGATCCCAGAACAGATGAACACGATGAGACCCTAACAGACATTCAATTTCTGATTTTATCTCCCTCGCTAACACATTACAGCTCTTCTCCTTTGCTGAGTACAGCCTTTTGCAACGTTCTCTCCATATGTAACTTACCCAGGCCTGCCATATCAGTTTTCCTGTCTCAGTTTCCTCTGTGACTCCCCCAAGCTTAGACAGCATCAGACCTAGAATCTCATCCCAACTCTGCATAACTGGAATTTGCATAAACTTGACAAAAACTGCTTCAAGTACATAACGAGAGAAAGGACAACAAGCATACAAATGATCTCTGCCCTCCTCTCCTGCTCCACAAAGACAACATTCCATGCCCCCATTGTAGCCCCACCTCTTCATCCTTTCCTTAGTATTGATTTTCCCTCTAATTACAAGCCAGGTAATCACCCTATTCCGAGGGATGGCTTTCCCCTTCCAGACTAACTTCCACCAGCTAACAGTCTGCTGAATAGGCCTCAGATTCTGCCACACCCTCTTGATAGAGTAAATAGCCATAGGGGCATTCTTGAATCTTAGTTCCCCACCACTAGTCGAGATGAAAGGGGCAATCTTTCCTCTTAACTTTAACACCTTGTGCCAATTCCAGGATCCTGATGTGCAAGTATAACTCCACAGGTCTCTTCCCTTCAGTTTATAGGTATGAATCCAAGCAACCCACAATGAGCCTTCTTTCAGAAGAAGCAGCCATATATGCCTCATCATGCATGCCTGATTCCAGCTCCACATATCTCGAAGTCCCAGTCCACCTTCTTTCTTTGGATATGTAATCTTCTGCCAGAGAATATTTGCTCTCAGTTTGGTCCCAACTCCTACTCCCCATATATAATTGCTACAAATTCTCTCCACCTCTTTAATAACAGATTTAGGCAACAGGAACACTGACATCCAGAATTGTGCAAGACTATATAAAACTGTGCCAACAAGTTCAATTCTTCCACCATAAGAGAGGGACTTTGCCTGCCAACTTTTCACTTTTGCAACAATCTTATCAATTAAAGCTTGACAGGAAGATAAACTGAGCTTCCCAGATATTAAAGGAACTCCCAGATATCTGACTGGGAATTCACCAAGCTTATATCCATACCTTGCTGCCCTGATTTTCTGTTCTTCTTTGTCAAGTCCCCCAAAAAACACCTCACATTTGCTAGGGTTAGACTTAAGGCCAGATACTATCCTGAATTGGTCTAAGACCCTTTTCATCTCCTGTATCCCATAATTGGAACCATCCGAGAAAACCAGGAGGTCATCCGCAAAACAAAGGTGGGTGAGCTTGATACCTTTACACATAGGGTGATAAGGAAACAGCCCTCTAGCAGCCGAGTCATCAAGCAAACAAGTGAAAACTTCCATCACTATAGAGAACAAATAGGGAGACAAGGGGTCACCCTGCCTGACCCCTTTCTTTGCTTGAAAATAACCAACTAGACCTCCATTGAAACAAACACTGAGCATGGGAGTACACATACACATACTGATCCAGTTTATAAACCTTTCAGGGAATTTCATGCATCTTAAAACTTGAATTATGAACTCCCAGTTAACTGAGTCGAAGGCCTTCATGAGATCAATCTTAAGGGCACATCTCATAGAAATATTCTGCCTAGAGTACTTATGAACCAGTTCATGAGCCAAAAGGATATTCTCCCCTATTAGCCTGCCCTTGACAAAAGCAGTCTGGTTTTTGCTAATTAGAGAAGGTAATAGAGGGCTAAGTCTATTAGCAATGAGTTTGGATATACACTTGTATAATATGTTGCAGCATGAGATGGGGCGAAAATTTTTCATTTCATCAGGATTTGGGACTTTAGGGATGAGAGAGAGAATGGTAGCATTAATTGGCTTAGGAATCCTATCTTGCTCAAAACAGAACTTAATAGCAGAGCATACCTCATCTCCAATGAGTGGCCAAGCGTATTGAAAGAAGGCTGCAGAGAACCCATCGGGACCAGGACTTTTGTCCCCATCCATTGCAAATAGAACAGCCTTAATCTGCTCATTTGTAAATGGTGCACAGAGATCATCAGTCTGCTCCTCATTGAGCTTATTCTTCAGTAAGGCAGAGACATAGCTATCTGGCATCTTCTTCACTTCTGGATCCACTACCCCCAACAGGTTTTCATAAAAACCAACTGCAATCTTAGCCATATCTTCTACTTCTTGAACTTGCTCCCCTGATTCATTCCTTAGCATTCGAATAGTACATCTTTTTTGTCTTGATCTGACTGAACGATGGAAATAGGCAGAGTTCATATCCCCAGTTTTTAGCCAGCACTCTCTTGACTTCTGTCTAAAGAAACACTCCTCAGCATCCTTTAACACTTTCAGCTCCTGCCCTAGTTTCCTTTCAGCTTCAAAATTTGAAGTGGAAGGATCACTGAGTGCCAGCTTTTGGATTTTCTGGACCTCATCTTCTTTCTCTCTCACCTTCTTCGTAATATCTGCGAACTCCTCCCTGTTTAACTGCCTTAGTAAATTCTTAAGATTCTTCAACTTCTGGCAGACTCTAATCAGAGGATGTTTACTTGTAACTACACTACTCCAAGCCGTATCAAGCAACTCATCAAATCGAGGGTGCTTCAACCAAAACTTAAAAAATTTGAAAGGCTTAGGGAGTGACTTCTGTGAGGCTAAGGTGTCAACAAAAATAGGGCAGTGATCCGAGACTCCTGGTGCTTGAAAATGAACCTTACTGTCCTTGACTTTGTCCATCCAAAGAAAGTTAATAAGAGCCCTATCCAACCTCTTGGCAATAGGGTTTGCTGTCTGTTTATTAAACCATGTGTACCAGGGACCTGTAGCTTGGTGTTCTTCTAATTCATTGTTCACTATCCACTCATTAAAAAGGGTCGTTGAGGTATCAACTCTGGGGGAGTTTGAGGCTTCCTCAGGTCTTCTAATGTCATTAAAGTCACCTAGCACAATCCAGGGGGCATTAGAAACCTTAATTCTGCTAATATCATTGTAAAGGGCCTGCCTGCTTCCTTCATTGTTTGATGCATAAACAACAGTGCCAAAAAATGGTTGAGAACCCCCCACCATAAACTGGATAAATTGATCAGAGGAGTGAAGTACTGTTAGACTCACATCATTCTTCCACAACAACCAAATCTTACCCAACCCATCTTGGTTGTGTTCTACTCTACTCATCCATTCTGGGAATCTCTTGCCTAGCAGCTTATCTGTCTCAGTAATTCTAATTCGAGGTTCTAATATAGCTACTATATCAATACTATATTTATTTACTTTCTTTATAACTGCTTTATACTTACTATCAGCCTTGAAGCCTCTGGTGTTCCAAGTAAGAATTCTCATTTCTTCCCTCTGCCTTTACCACCTTTACCCTTTTTTGGTTGGAGTGGAACCAGTGGTGAGTCCACCCAAACCTTCTTTCCCTTATCAGGGGGTTTCTTGTTCTCTTTCCCCATAGCAGGATTCGATCCACCTCCTTGAGGTTGTGATTGCGCCAAACTCCCAGAGACTGGTGATTTGGCACAGTTCACAATTTGCTCAGAAGAGCTTGGACTCCCACCCCCTGGTGATGATCCACGCACAATCTGGGCAAAGCTCAATGGAGGGCTTTCAACAGTATGAGGAGTCACAGTCTGAGAGTCTGTCCGAGTTGCAACATCAGGGCTCTCCTCCCCAGCAGTCTGAGAGTCTGTCTGAGTTGCAACATCAGGGCTCTCCTCCCCGGCAGCCACTTCCAACACAGGAGTGATAATGATTGTCTCTTCCCCTTTTCTAGGTTCATTGTTATCAGACACAGGTAGCTCTTCCAGTCCTCGCTTATCTATCGAGCTTTCCTCAACAGTAGTAGACCCTTCTCCACTCTCAGCCATAACATTCTCCTTTTCCACAACATTGGATGCAATCTGGTTCACTTCCTTAACTCTCCATTGCATTTGAACCTCCTTCTGGCATATGTGACCAAACACACAACACTTTGAACAAACTGTTGGGAGCTGCAGATATTCCACCCCAATCTCAAAAACTGGATCATTGTCTGGATACATCCGAATTGTTGAGGGGAATTCACTATCTGCTGAGATCTCAATACAAACCTTAGAGAACCCTAGCTGATCACCAAATCGAGTCTTCTGGTCCGTCCAGAGTGGCTTGCCTATGGTGCTCGCAACCCATTCTATCCCATCCTTGCCCAGATACTCAAGGGGCAGTCCCCAGAGCTTAACCCATATAGGAAGTGATTCAACTTGAGGAGTAAGAGGCTGTATACCTGCTTCCCACTTTCGAAAGAAAACCGGGTTACCCATGAAGTGCCACGGTCCCGATTTGAAAACCCAGTCGCAAGCCTGCAACGAAGGAAATTGGAACACCAGGAGTCTGGGACCAAATCGCGAAACGCGAACCACGCCATCTCTTCCCCATAGACGGTTTGCCCAGGGCTGCAGCTCCGCAATTTTGGGACACTTGCCGACGAATTGCCCGATTAGAGACAGCTTCCATCGTTCAGCCCCCTTCTCCTTGACCGCTTCCGGAATCCGAAACCCATCCTTGACTCGTTCAGGCGGATGATAGATGAGACGTTTTTCAGGCGCCACGGAGAATAACTGAGCCCAGGACGAAGAACCCTCGCCAGCCGGCGCGGCGGCCGACGGCGAGGCTGCCATTGAAATAGGTCTGGTTCAGAGAAAACGGAAAGGAGAGAGAAGAGGAAGAGGAAGACAATTGGAAAACTTAGTGAGTAGTTTTCACATCAACATGTGATGACTTATATTCTAAAAAATTTATAAAATACATTCATTGTTCATTTTGAGACTCAAACCTTTTTCAATCTGTACAACTAAACACTCATTTATAAAATCATTCTTGATTAATTTCATTGTGAGACTCGAACCTTTTTCAATCTGTACAACTAAACACTCATTTTTCAATCTGTACAACGTCAACAATATTTTTAGAAGCAAGTAAAGTGAAGAAGAAATTATGATTTAGTATTTCTTTGCAAATGTGTGCGTGTGTTGGGGGAGGGGATATTTTTTTGTCTAAAATTTTTGAGAAGGGTTGACAATCATATATCATTTGTTTGTATATTGCATATTGAATTAGTATTAAACATTTGAAAGCAATATATAATTCTTAAATTGGTATTAATTTTTAGCCTAATTGACCAATAACCTTAGACATTTTGCTAATATGATGTGGATCCAATAATCATTAGATGAGATTTATTTTGATATGCCCATTCAAAACCATTTTTTATGTGTAATAAATTGGTACGACAAATACATGTAAATAAGTGAAGATGAACCTGATTATGCATTTTGATTCTTTAGATAAATAAAATGGCTTAAGTGAAGAACTAACTATACACTCACTTGAGTGATTAAACGAGTTCTGTTTTTATCATTTTTCGTAATTTCACAAGCTATCAAACTACTTTGCTTCATTGAAGAATAAGCGGCCATCTATTCGCCAGGTTTCAGGTGCTCTGATTCACACTATCGACTGTGAATGGAGAATAAGCATTTCGAAAGCAAAATTGGAGAATCAAGTGGGATGTTTCTAGGTTTCTCTCGATTCCAGGCGGTGGGAAGAAAGAGGAAGGGAAAGGGAGAGAGTAGGGATGACAACAAAACCCGAACCCACGGGTACCCTATCCAACCCAACCTAGTCAACGCGGGTAAAACCCGTGTTCAGGTCCCGCTCATCTTGCCACTCAATGAAGTAATTCTGCTCCAAAGGTCTGCGCTCCACGATGGCTAGAGGGTTGAAAGAGGCTGGGTCAGGGGACGGGGAATAAGGGGATAAGATGGCCGCAGGGGAAAAGGGACTGCCGGGTGGGGTGAGAACAGGGGAAGAGGGAGTAAGGGGAGGGCTGGCAAGAATAGAATCAGGTGAGAGATCCTCATCAACACGGGTAAAGGAAACACCGGTAACGGGGCGATCTGACAACACATATAGGGAGCTAGGTTCGGACAAAGAGGCGAGGGTAAACTCCAGAGTTTTTGAAGGGTTAAGCAAGAAGCCAGGGAGATTAAGTAGCACAGAAAATTGATTAGAGGAGAGGACGATTTTTGAGGCTGGAAGGGGGAGGGAACGGGGATGAGAAAACTCCAGAAGGTGAAGGAAGGTGACGAAACGAGAGGGTGGGGACAGCTGGGCTAACAGGGAAGGAAAGGTTTTCTGGGTAAGCAGCAAGGGTAGAGGGTTGGGTTGGTTTGCAGGGTTGGAGTCGTGATCAGGAAACAGGTTGGGGCAGGTTAGGTTAGGTTAGGGGTGTACAACGGGCTTAAAGATGAGGCGGGCAGACAAGGTGAGAAGGTTGAGCTAACAGGCTCAGAGGTCTCGAGAGGGCTGGGGAGGCTGTCCGACTTGGGTTTGGGGTTAGGCAACGACCCAAACTTTCTCATCCGTACCTTCTTCACCAATTTGGGCCTGTCTACCCGCTGCATGCATGGGGAACTCCTTCCACTGCCGCATCCACCTTGTAACTCGCCTGGATCCTCGAGGTTGGTGAGCGGGGGGAAAGGTGGCGGTTCGACTTCCACAGGAAAACTTTTCGCCTGACAGCTGAACTGAAGAAGGAGGTGGCGGCGACTCTGGTCCGCGAGCGGGCTCTGGGCGGCCGGAGGGACCACAATCTTGACCGGAAACAGCGTAGTGCCAAAGATCAATGGTACCTGTTCTGGGATCTGAGCTCCCGACTTAACTTGGATACAAATGAACGGCCCATCCCAACCATTGCGATTAACATCCACAAAACCCCCACAGAACTCGCCGATTTTTCTGCAGACGTCCAAGCTTTTGAGGTGAGCTGGGATTCCAAACGCCATGATCCAAGTCAAGCCCTCCTGCGGTCGAAAGCACCTGCCGACAAGATTGTACTCGAATAGCCTCTTGCCGCGAGGGATTTTCTTGGAGAAGGCGAAGTTGTCGTTCAACTTCCAGTTTTCACGAGCCCACTCCAAAAAAGGCTTCTCCAGCGCATCAGGGAGCCCCCTATTATTGACACCAAAGAAATCAATGGTAAGGCACCGCTCCAAGAGGGTCATGCGATCCTTAACCGCTCCCTCCTCCGCCTCAACAAACCGAAAACCATTCAAGTTTTTGATTTTGCAAGCTCCTTCCGCTCACTCTCTCTTGCGAAATCTCTCTCATCTCTCTCTGCCTATTGGATTACTTCTATTTCATGTTGGCCAAGAAAGATTAATCTTTCTCTCTATCTATCTCTCTGTGGTTGATTCCTTTCTTCTAAGAACAGAAAACAGAGGGGAGGAAGAGGATGGATGAATCAATCTTCCTTTGGATTGAGCTTAATATTTTTCCACCAGTTGGGTGAGCAGGAAATCCACAAAGGTTCTTCACAATCCACATCCTTCATTTTTATGCAATGTTCCTCATATCCTTAACATATTTAGCCAATGAGAAACTGAAGCTCCAAGGGCTAGAGCCTAGAGATAACAAGGGAAGTAAAATTCCCTACATTGAGTGGAGATAATGATTTCTTCTCTAAAGTAAGACGAGCTGTACCTTGTTGAAGGGGATTTCAGCCTAAAGTTTCTTATTTGGCGATGCTCCAATTACAAGAATTAAGTACCTAGTATTAATATTAGATGCTTGATCAAGAGCTCTTAATTTAGGATACACAAGAATTAAGTGACAGGAAATTTTAAAGCATTCACAAGAATCTACACGAGTTCAACGTTGTTCAGGTGACTAGACTAGACCAGGAGAGAATCAATGCCATTCCATACAGAGCCCAAACGAAAGAGAGAAATACCATCCAAATCTTAATCAGCTCCTCCTGGAAGCAACTTGGTGGTGGTAGTACCAAACCGTTTGGCAGCTGCAGGGATTATTCGAGACGGCGAGATGACCTCTGCAAAGGATACATTGTAAGAATCTATCCCCAAACGACTCTGCAGCCAACCTTTGCCTCCTGAGAACCCATCTCCTACAATCCAGCACTTCTTGAACCCAAGACTCGTCAGTGTTCTGGCAACTGTTTTCGCTGAATCCGCGTACCTGGAAAAAACCATTTCTTGGTAAACAAGGTACATAAAAGGGGAAATTTCGAGACCATGGAAAAAAGAAGAGCTTTTCTTGGGAAACTCACGAGTCCAATATGATGATGTTGGATCCCTTATTGATTTTCTTGAGGAATGAGATCTTCAATGCTACTAGCTCAGCTTCTAGCTTCTTTGTGTTCCTCACAAGGCCTTTCAGCTTACTTGGCACTTCTTCCAATCTGCAAAACAATGAGTAGAGAAAAAGGCTCCTCTTGGTTTCAATAGAGCATCATCGGAATATTAGAAATCGAGAGCAAAAAGATAAAACTCTCACGGAATGGAGATCATCTTGTTCTTGGCATTGGAGGGTAGGCGTGGAATGCCAGCTTTGTCCTTGTCCTTTTCCGACCGGATATCAATCATGATATGGTCTTTGGTGGAGATCATATCAAGCGCTTGTGCAGCAGTGAGCTCGCCTATAGTTAGCCAGCAATGTCAACTATCCATGACATAGCTTGAAGAGAAACAACAACAAAATCAATGGAGTTCGACATGGGGAAAAAAGGAAGAAACGAACTCAATCAAACCTTGGTAGCCACGAAGGTTGAAAGATAAAGCGGAAAATATCGGAGGAAGGAGCAAGTAGACAAGGTAACTTGCTCCAACAGCTCCAACTAGCACAACAGGGTCAGTGGACGATATGGTCTCAAAGGTTGATGTAGCCATAGGCTTCGCCTCTACAATCACCTTGGTGGACTGCTGTGCAACACCAGCCACAGTCTGCAACCCAACCATAAATTGCATTTGGAAACAAGCAATCAGCTTTTAAGTCAAGTCTTTCAAACGGCTAATTGATTGCTCCCCAAGTTAAATGGAGCTTTGAATCTAACACTTATAATCACATTAGTTGCAGCTTTACTGAAATCAAGATTCAGAAAGTGCATTATAGTTGTGTTTGCTGGGATGTCCATGCCCTTATCATTGATGTATAAGATAGTATCAGATGTACTGCTGTACAGATAGTATCAGATGAATAAAGCACAATGCACCCATTCATCGGAAAAAGAAAAAAAAGATTCAGAGAGTTCATGAATGGCAAATCTACTCAAAACATGTAAGGTGAAATTGGAACAAACCTTGGCGGCAGTAACTACAGGCTGGGTGTCAATGCCGGTGCTCTGAATGGCCTCTTGGGCCTTCCTGGAGATCTCAGAAACAGCCGGAGAGGCAATCTTCACTGCTTGCTCGCCGGCCTGCTTCGCAATTGGGACCGCCGCTTCAATCGCCGGCTTCAGCGCATCAATCACACTGCCGAAAACGCGCTGGGTAGTGTCGAAAACACCCGTACCCACTTCCACAGCCTGCTCAATCGTCTTCTCTACCTACCAAAACACAACACAGAACCCCCAGAGATTCCATTCAACAAAATTGGGCAGAAATTATAAACCCAAAAGACTGTAAGAAGGAAGTTTCCATTTTTTTCCAGCTTTGAGAGAGAAATGAAAGTTAGAACCTCGGTGAGGGAAGAGGCGATCTGGTCTTTGGAAACGGCGACTGCTCGAGCTTCTAAGGAAGTCGAGAAGAGACCCAGGAGCGAGATGGTGGTGGAAGTTGGGAGTGACACGGAGATGGGTCGTCGGGACTGTGCAGTGGGCCTCCTCGGTAATGAGAGCTTAGAAGGAGGTGAAGACGACGTTGAAGGCGAAGAAGCAGCAGAAACGGAGAGCTTGGCAGCGGCGGCCACTGGAGATCTCAGCGCCATCTCCAGTGGTAGCGGTGGCAAGGATGGCTGGAGTTGTTTTTGGTTTTTCTAATTGTAGGATGGCGGGCAGGGAATGGCTGGCTGATGATGGTTCTTTGTGAAGAAGAAGAAGAAGAAGAAGAAGAGCATTGGGCCGATGGAGTCATGATTTTGTTGATGGGAAATCGATGGCTCAGAAAAGTTTTGGGGTCACTGGTTGATGGCAAATGGAATAGTTAATTAGACAAAATCCCTGCTTGGCCATATCCTCCGAGGTGCACTTTTTCTAATTGAAAAAAGTGTTCATTTTGTGCCACCAAAACTTGACGCTAGAATCTAATATGGTGTTGTAATTGTTCCATCGATCTGGTTGGTAGAGACTATGAGAGAAAAGTACGGTTTAGACCTCCAGAAGAACCAAGCAGAGCTGATGAATTTTCTGCAGAATTATCACTGACCACCTACACATTTAGAGTAACAAATTTAGACCTACACTTCCACATATTCACGAAAGAATAATCACCACAATTTCAATTTATAACCTAAATCATGGTCTTAAATCATGGCCGCTTTTCGACTTATCAACAACTTCTGCAGTTGGTTAAGGACGGTTCAAATGTGTATGCAACACCTTAGCATGAATCTCCTTCAGAATAGCCTGTTTCAGCACACCATGTCACGCAATGACCATTGAGACATATGGTGAGGGCAACAACAAAGAAATCTACTGAAATTTGAGCAATCAGCATACCTTTGCCCTGTAAATCTGGAGTCGCTTTAGGCCAGCCTGCCAATGCTCGACCACCTTTGCTTCTCCAGAACTCAGCAGCAGCTCGATCTCCGATTTGGTCACTTCAAGCTCGCTGGAGGTTTTACCTTCCAAAAGATCTCTCGCATCGGCTTCGTTGCAGGAATGCAGACCCCTTTCTTCAGCAACCAACTGTGCAGTATGTTCTTCACCAGGTACCCTTGCTCGGTCAAGAGCCTCCTTTTTCCAAGCTTCAGTTAGTTTCCAGTTACAAACCACCAAAAGGGCCTGGACATTTGCTACCAGTTAAGCTTTAAAGATTAAATGTTTGAAAACTTCAACAACCTTGCTTGTGAACCATGATCAGAGGAAAAATGCAACAGTCTAATTCATCATCTCAAGGAACATAAAGAGGAAGGTAGTAAGTGAAGGTGAAGCCATGATTTTCTGACATTAAATGGTAATTGGTTCCTGAGAGAAAGAATGATTCTAGGACACAAGCAGAGGAAGGCAGAAGGAAAAGCATAGTACCTCCCAATAATTAACGTGTATTTGTGTTGTTCATTCCATATCCAAATGCATCTTGATGTCGTCGTGGAGTCCTTCCATTTCTTTAACAGTCAAAACTCTACATTACGCATCTCAGTTAACCAGAGGTAGATACAATAATCATGTTATTTGAAGCTCAGCAAACAACTGAAAATAACATGCTGACTATGTCACAATGAGTAACTAAATCAAGATAATCTAACCAACAACTCACTCATCCTCCTTGTTCTCCCAGTCTTGGAATTCAGCCCTTGCACGTTCTCTTGCCAACAGTGTCTGCAGGACAGGACATCAGCAACCATAACCAAGCTACAAACATCGCAAAGCAGAGAAAATTTAGTTAGGACAGGACTTACCATTTCTTCTTCGCGTTGCGCTTTCCCGAGTGCCCTCTCCTCCCGTCTCTTTTTGAATTTTTCCAACTCTTCCTACTAGATGAGAAGGAACCAAATCAACCAATGTCCATCAAGTATGGAACAAAGAAATGCAGCAAGGTCTGGGAGAAGAATAACATTAAGAGGTTGTTTGCTTGATGGTATTGGGGATGGATTTGAGGATGGACTTGGGTTGGTCAAATCTTTCTTAAATGAGTCCAAACCCCCTTCTTCCTCGAAACCCAAATCCATCCTCCTTCCCCTTCTCCTTCGCCGTCGTCAACCCAAATCCATCCTCCTTCCCCTTCCAATTTTGAGCCACCGTCATCCCTAAATCCCATTTACCAGTGTAGCGTTGCTGGCCATGACGAGCCGCTGTCGCCTCGTCTCGGTCCTCTACCTATCATGATTCGATCAATTTCTCTCGCTCTCCGATATCAAATCGCCGTCGTTGAGAAGCATTTTTTTTACTAGTCTTGTCTATTAGCTTCCTAGAATAAGAGGCCATTCTGGTCCTCGTCGATTGAATCGACAGCTTAGGGTTTAACTGCTCTTGGAATTCCATTGAGGTGGTATTGCCGTCCCCCAATTCTGAGTATCTTCAATTGAGGTTTTGCTTGAAGGTTCAGAG